AAAAACGTCGTATGTACACTCGAGCTTTTCCACATTGCTTCCGATGTAATAAGAAATTCCAGGAGAACTTGTGAGCTCCTAGTTTTTTAAGGCATAGAGAATATTCTGCGCAATCTAATCTCATAATTCTTAAATTCAAAAGAAAAAATGTTTCTAACTTTCCTCAAAAATAATGCTTTATCAGAAAGAAATTAGCGAGGTCTGGATCCTCATACAACGTTTTTCCGCCACGGAAAACTTGTTTTGGCGGCAGCCAAGCCTGGGATGGGTGATCAGAAACACACTGTAATAACTTTGCAACGCTCTAGGTAGCATGACTGATTGCTAGATCTTAGTGTTAACAACAGTCTCAATATCCCATCGACTGATAAAATTGTGCTCCGGAAATCCCCCCCCCCCAAGAGGATTGATTAAGTATGTTTTTTAATCAAACAACTTCAAAAGAATAATTTTTTTAATAGCACAAAATGCAAACTTTCCAGCCCTGGATACCTATTATTGAAACGAGCATTGAACTCAAGCTTAATCTTTCATTGGAGGATTGCCTCATCATGAGGTTTCTCTTGGGATAGATTTAAAGGACATCCCCGCATTCCCCAAAAAAGGGCGCTTTTTTGGAAGGCACATTAGTTATCATAGTGGAGGAACATCAGCGGCTGTCGCGTCCTCTTTTTAACTGGCCTGGAGAAAATGGAAGATTTTGACGACTGATCGTCAACAACGAGAGGGATATACATGGCCATGGCCGTATTCCTTTTCCCGGGAAAATAACGCGTCACTCTCATCGTCGTCAAACTCGGTCACCGCGGATGACCACGTTATTGATATTCTTGTCAGATTCCTTGTTTTGTTTCCCACTCACAGAGGTTCCGCGATAGATTTTCAGCCATAACCGCACGAAAACATCTTCTCAAATTCCATCGAGTAAAAACATGAGTGGGAGGGCTTTTTAAGAGTTCGAAGACTACTTCATGATGTCATTACCACTGTGTAAGACGATAAAATTTCCACCAATTTTTAGAAAAACGCTTTTCGATACATCCAAAGGAACTAAAGCTTCAGTCATTGATCACTGGGGGAAAAAAAAAAAACACATTGGATCTAGAGTCCAGACTCTTAGAAACATCGACAAGAAAAAGTACTCTTGATTCAATCAGAATCTAGCTTAAATCAAGAACCAAGCCTCTTAATTTAAGCGGATTTCGTTTTGATTCAAGAAAAAATCCGATTGAATCAAGATTATTTTTTCTTGTCAATGTTTTCGACAGTCTGGACTCTAGATCCAATGTGGTTTTTTTTTCAGTGATGGTAATCCAAGGGTACCTATAAAACGATAAAATTTCCACCACTTTTCAGAAAAATCTTTCTTGATACGTTCAAAGTACTCCAAAGAAACAAGAACTTCAGTCCAAATGAGGGCCGAATGAACTGTTGTTTGCAAAAAGCGAACATCATGAAATCTACATCAGCTACTTTCTTAACCTCGCGTTTAAGTCTCCTCTAATATCTACTTTTTCCCATTGACGCTCTATGAGTCTACGACGATGCGCGTGACTGTTGGTTGAGATGACAACGAGTGTGATCAACCCGCCTGCTTATTTTCATGAATTCAAATTTAAATTTAAACTTCAGTTTTCTGATATTCCTCACATGCTAACATTGTCTAGGATATTAAAGTCTGATTTTCAAAGAAGCAGTTCCCTCTCAATCACAAATTTTCTCAATACTTTTTTTTTTTTTTTTTTTTTTTTGGGGGGGGGGTGAATTTTTCTGATAAAAAACTTCTTGTTATTATTTTCAATTTCAGCATTATCGATGTTAGTTTTGGTGATTTAGAAATGGAACACAATCCAGCCAGTGCCTATCGGAGCCATTTTGAATACGCAGTTGGTACCGGGTGGAAGGGCCGGCGGGTCTATACCCCAGTTCAGTGGCGTGGCGTGAATTGCGATATATCGATTGTTATGCCATTTAAACCTATGGAAAGGATCGATAAACAGGGTGTTCGCAGCAAAAGCCTTAATAATCGATTCTTTACCATGGGTTTAAATGGCATAACAATCGATACATCGCAATTCGCGCCACGCCACTGCCCCAGTTACGAAAAGTAATTGCTTCGACCTCTACCCTCATAAAAATGCACCGAACCTGAACCTGCAGATTGCCCCTCCCCCCCTCTCCGTCTTCCTAGTTATTGATAAAGTCACTGGGTACACCATTCAATGAATGACCGTCAAATGCATTGAGCTGCTCCTAAAGAAGATAGCTAAGACAGCGGAGCAATGATGAAAAAACGAAATCGTCCGTTTGATCTGGGTGGAGCGTCATCGAATACAGAATGATGTAGCCACCAAGTCTAAAGGGCATCACGCAAGAGGCAAGACCAGAATAGCCTCTTGGTGGATAGTACCCAGCATCACTATCGGTACTTATCCTCAATCAGGAGATCCACGGCATTCAAATTACCGAGTTTGAAGACCGAAATCCAACATACAACTGAACGGTTAATTATTGGATGGTGCAACGCGATAACTTGGGGCTTCGGATGAGTCTATTGCAGCATCATCTCTTTATCTCTTTCCAGAGTTATCTCTTAGATACGAAATGAAGAGGGTGGAAGGGGGGGGGGGATTTGGCGCACTATAAAGTGTCGTCTTTGAATTCCCGTGATGCAACTTTGCTCAGTGGCAGCTGATGATGACATGGTGACCTTGAACTGTGTCGCAGTAATGACGAGGTGTCGAGCACGGGCACGCATACTTCTCTAGATCGGGTCCGCTCTCATTTTACGATCTGATTGTGAGACTGAATGTCCACATCCGTCACTTTTTCCATTCACGTTTAATTTATTTTTGAGCTATCCCTTCAAATGAAGCTCTTGCATCATACGGGAATTTGGGATCTTTATAAGAACTTTATTCGTTGCTAAATTTCGTTAAGTTTCCATTATGCTGAAAAGTTATGAGGCAAAAGGCTTTCACCGGGTTTTACATCTTTGTCTCCCCGATCGCTCTACCAGATTTTTTTTGGGAGGGGCGGCTGAAATTTTGGAAAGAGATGCTTTTCGGTATATTATTTTTAAAAACCATAAACCACAAATAAAACAAATTCAGAAGTGAGAAAAAGGTCGATGTTGCAACAACCTCTTATCATTATTACCTTTTCTAGAAAGAGAAACTATCAAGAATTAAGTGAAAAATCATAAAAAAAAATTTAATAAACAGTTATTATTAGTAAGATTACGCGGCGATTAAGTCTCGCAGGGTAGCAAATAGCGTAGTGAAAGCTGTATGGAATATTAGCATACATCACTTACGATATAGGTACTATGCAAATTTATGTCACAATAATGGTCTGTTGTCGTTTTTTAAAAATATTCCTTATTTCATTTTTACGCTAGCGAGAGAACTCTGCCAAGAGCAACAGCAACAGCTCCCTCGAGAATGACTGAGGATATTGGAAAGTTCCTTCATTCCAACGGTTATGCAATATGGACTACGGATATAAGAGAATGCTTGTGGTTCCTTATTGGATCCCAGTTAATTCACTAACTTATTGCGGTGCGCACGGGTCGTAAGACAGTATGTTGGGATTTTTTAGACAACGTGCGTTAAAAATTCAGCATAAAGCTGAAAATTTCAATGCAAAGGGAAAAAGCTCGCACGCAAGCACAATTTTCCCTCAACACATTTCTCCTCATTTTTAACGCACGTTGGCTAAAAAAATCCCAACATACTGTCCATATAACATTGTGCGATTCCCAAGAAATTTAGTATCCAACCACTAAATTTATATAAATATAAATCATGCATCTGGTTACGCTTACGAACTGCGTGACACGTACAGTCAGACATTTATTACTGGCTGCCTATCAACTTCTCAGATGATCATACTTAAAAGCAGGGCCGGATTTACCTACTTGCCGCCCACGGGCCGCTATAGTATTTTGCCGCCCCCTTCTCATTCGTTTTGAAACATCAATGAAAACCATCATCATCAAATGAACGTACCAAGGGGGAGGGGTGCATAAGACGCGTTTATTGTTGTTGTACACATTTTTTTGGAAAGCCCTGTCAACATTACTAGCAAAAGTTCACGGAACTTTGCGCGAAAGTTAAGTTTCGTAAACCTATCTCGTGGACAAGGCCTTCCATTCATAAGAAATGAACGAAAAAATTATGAAAGAACAAACATAAATGTGGAATGATTTTAACTTCCGCCGCCGCGCCTCGCAGACCGCACTGTATTTCACGCAATGCGTGAAGTATTCACGCAGTCTTGTAGGAGCCATGCGTCTCACGCTGATCGCACTGTGTTTGCCGCAATGCGTGAGGTATTCATGCATTCTTGTAGGCGCTATCCGTTTCACGCTGTCCGCTATGACAGCACTGTGTTTGATGCAATGCGTGAAGTATTCGTGCAGTCTTGTAGGCGCTAATATGTGTTACATGCCGATCGCCGCGCCGAGGGCTTCTCCTTTTCATCTGAAGTCCTCGTCATCATTTCTCTCTAGGCAAGTCGAACCGCGCCGTTCCAGGCCAAATTGCGTGTTTGGTTTCTCTCTTAACTCGACTAATTAAAGGTGCTGTCTTTTGTGTATCACTGAAAGATGACAAAAGTAGAAATTACTATACTCTCAGAAAATTAGAGAATTTGGCGCCTTTTCTCGTTTGTAATTTTTTTTCTAAATCCGAATTTTTTTTGTACCTACATTTAAAAAAATTGCAAAATTTGCCGCCCCCTATAGATTTGCCGCCATGGGCCGCGGCCCATGTGGCCACCCCCTTAATCTGGCCCTGCTTAAAAGGAATTCAATGCCCACTACTTATAATTTTTTCCCCCATGTTGAAATATTACTAAGTATTATACTGTAAGAGTTGCATAACAATGATTTTTTCTTTTCTGTGTCTGCATGACGCTTTAAAACGAAATTTTGCAATATTGTATACTCAATTATGCATTTCATACCTTATCCTCGGTTTTTTATTTATTTGTTGCAGGCAAACGAATAATGAAAGCAATCCAGAAAGGCCTTTGTTTTGTACTCCTGTGGGGAATTTTCGTACTGGCTTTCCTTCACTTTCGGGACCACAAGTTTCGCGGGCTAATGCGATCACCCAACGATGCGGTGAATTCAAGGCTTCTCTTAGAACAGGATGTGAGAAGCGATGCGTCGGCCGGATCAAGCTCCACTCAGCATCTCAACATACTGCTCAACCTGGAGCCAACCGTGGATAAAACCCCCAAACAATCGGAGGCATCCCTAATAGCACAGATAGAGGAGCGCTTCCCGAGTCTCCCCATCGTTTACTGGAACAAACACAAGAACAAGCCCATGTTTTACAAGAATGACAACTGCGCGAAATTTCCCAGCATCTACGAGCTCGAGTTTAACAATATCTACTGGCAGACTCTCCACTCCTCCAACGGGACTTTCTATCTGTACGGGGCTTACTACGACGTCCGGAAGCTGAGCCGCATCGGCCCCGCCGTAAGGATCCTGGGCATGCTTAACCGAATCGAACCCAAGATGGTGACGCACTGCCAGTTCTGGTTCGAGAACGAGAAGGAGCCAGTCGTCAACAAAGTGATGGAGTACAAGTATGTTTGGTACAAGAAGTGGGGCAACTACAAACAGGGGATCCTTCAGCCTTATCTTATCACCTGTCAGATCCCGGCCAGCCACCACAAGAAGGTCCCCGCGTCCGTCTCCATCGTCGAGAAGATTTGCGACGTGGCCACCAACAACCTCCGGGTCATCTACAATCGGCCGCCTAAGAAGAAAGGTTTCGGCGTTTGCGTTAAAGGGCTCGACTTCATCCACGAGGATCTATCCGTTCGACTCGTCGAGTGGATCGAGCTCCTGGGCATCCTCGGGGCCGACAAGATATTCTTCTACGAGCTCCAAGTCCACCCCAACGTCTCGAGGGTTCTCAACTACTACAAGAGCAAAGGGCGAGTCCACGTCACTCCTCTCACCCTACCCGGCGGCCAGCCCAACCTCCCAGTCTTCCAACACCTCTACCTTACCAAGAAAGTCAACTACAAGCGGCAGAACGAGCTGATCCCATACAACGACTGCCTGTACAAGAATCTCTACACCTACGAATACATCGCCCTGCTGGATATTGACGAAGTCATCATGCCGGTGAAGCGACGCACCTGGCGGGAGCTCATGGATGACGTCATGGTGAAAGCGCTCAAGATAAAGAACGAGACGCGGGCCTCGTACAACGTTCGCAACGTCTACTTCCTTGACGATCTGATCCACTCGCACGGGTGGTTCAAAGACATCCCGCGCTACATGCACATGTCGCAGCACGTTTACCGGAGCAAGAACTTCACCAAACCGAACCAATACGTCAAGTGCTTCCACAACCCTGAGCGGGCGCTCACCCTCCACAACCACTTCCCGCTGGCTTGCCTGAGTCAGGGCTGCACCTCCTACGCCGTCGAGACGAGCGACGCCCAGCTCCAGCACTATCGGGCCGACTGCGTCAACTCGCTGAAAAAGACCTGCACCGAGTACAGGTCGAACAGTGTGGCCGACACAACCATCTGGAAGTACAAAGATGAGCTTATCGCAAAGACCTTCGAGACGCTCAAAGTTCTCGGGTTCTTCGGCGAGATCACGTGATGCGGAAGCCGTGGATGGCTCCTGCTTTGTCTCAGCGACGGGCTCCACTTTGGATCCGCTCTCTGCCCGAGTGGACGGAGATCGCCGACGCCACGCCATGCCGCAAGGCGCTACCCTTCTCCTGGGGTATGTCTGCGTCTGCAATCACGTCACCGATGATGACGCTACTAGGTGCAGGTCTGTGTCACCGACGGACGTTACCTCCGAACATACCTGTCACAACTGAGATGTGTGTGCGCGTTTTTCAAGTTTCACCATCAGTAATATAGGTAGAATGGATTTTGATAGAGAGAAAAGAGAGATTTGAAATGTTTTAATTGGTATGTAGAGCAGTTGTCATGCGCTACCTGCACACTTATGATAGGAGGGAATTCTGTTATGATACAATTTTACGAAAGACAATTGCCATAACAAGACCAGAGATGTTATCTACTAACAACGCAGCCATATTGGAGCAACTTTGCCCAAAACGTTAACGTAGGTTTGGAGTTAAGCGACCTGGGCTACTGGTGTCAGTTAAACGATTTAGATTCAGTTTAGCTGTCTTATAAGCTTTGATGATATGCAGAGCTGTGAAAAATTCTAGTGCCTAAGATTTTCCTATCAATTCTTTTATAAAATCTGAATATTAGACATTCCGCCTGTAGATTTATAACTATACATCTCTAGTCATTTTGAAAAATTCTCTTTCCTCTGTTCTTTTTAATTCGTATGAGTGCATAAGCATCTGAATTGAATCCATCTGAGTTTAGTATGAGGTTCTATAAATGTTTAATGAAATAAACAGGAGTGACCTAAAACCAATACTACCTTTATACTGCAGTTACAGATTTACTTTGAAAAAACATTGCAATGGTGAAAAGCATACTACGTAGTGGTTACTACCTGAACTTCTTTTGCAAGTTATATGTAGATTTAATGAAGCTGCTCCTGTTGACACTTTCAGTTGCTCTTCATAAATCAGCAACTACTTTTAACAGATTGAAACATTTTGAGCTATCTCAATATCATTGGCTACCTCTTTGAAGTACACATAGAAAAGATATTTTGTACTTTTGTGGTGTGAGGTAACAACTGATCTAAATTTTATGCCAGCTAGACCTTACCTATTCGTAACATGTTGAAAAGAAGAGATAAGATACACAAACCCACCTTTAAAGGTTGGGAAACGGCTCCAAAATGGAGTGATTCTTTAATCCTGCATATTACTTTATAAACGCATCCGACCTTGTTTGTAAAAACTAGAATGATTCTAAACTGTGAGCGTTTTGAAACCACTAAAAAGGATTGCTCAAATTCATCGAGGAAATTTTTCCGCTTAAGTACTCAAAGAAAAGCTGAGAATGGCATAATATTTCAGTTAAAAAACTATTCTCACCTTTATTGAGAAACACCGATGCAATTAGATTATGGAAATAGAATGTAGGACTTGTACAGATATTATTAAAAGAGAAAAAAAAAGATCTAGTCGTTTACTTAGTAACAGGGTTTTATCAATTTATTATTTATATTTTCAATAATTTATTTACGAAATAATGTGAGATAGTGTAAAATGCATTCAAGTATACATCCTTGGTATTTAGATTGCCACGAAGGAGATCTGCAGGGTTTAAATAAATCGTTTTACTATATGCCCTACTTCATCTATGAAATTGAATACTGGAAAGACTTTGACTTGAGAGTTGGTACTTACTAGCAAACCTTCGATAAGCCCACATCAAGTAGAAGCCTGCGATTAACTGCTGACTGTCCATGTAAAGAGATTGAGCAAACACTTAACAATTGTCATAAGGAAAAGTGAAAGTTGTTCTAATCACATTTTGAGAGTCTCAACATTCTCAATTAACAGAGAAATGACTTAAAACGGGACTAAGGCCGCAAATAATAAAAAGAAACACATAAAATAAAATAAGAAACTCTGTTTCTCTGTTTATGTTTTGGGCCGATTACGTTGTTTTTTCTATTCTCAATTGAATTACTTTCAGTGATAGAATTCTTGTGATTGAAATCTTTCCGTTTCCTGAATCTCAGATTCTTGCTTGTTCAATTTTCAGTAAGATTTGGTGTAACTCAAATGCCTTATCTATATAAATAAAATCGTTGGGGGTTTCACTGTAACGCTTATTTCTGGAGTTCTACCGGACCGATTTCGACGATGCTTGACTCTGGTTAAAGCCCTTGACGTCCCGATGTCCGCAAAATTTTCAGACTTCCAAATTTTTCAGCCTCTTTCGCTTGAGACGNTTCCTGAATCTCAGATTCTTGCTTGTTCAATTTTCAGTAAGATTTGGTGTAACTCAAATGCCTTATTCATTATAAAACAGAAATCTAATTTTAAAACAGACAGTTGCCTTACTTAGTAAAGTTAAAGTTTTTACGTTTATATTAAGAATTAGAAATTGTTACTTTAAGTCATTCCTCCAAGTATTTGCCTTAACAATGGAAAAAAGTATTTCCAGTCTTTAAACCCTGAGCAGCCAAATACGGGCCCAGAGGATTGTGTGTACGGATTTTTGTAGAGTTACAAGCTCTAGCCACCCTAAAACTAGATATTGTTAAAATTTTTCTTTAGGGATCCTTCCAGTGAGAAAAAAGCAGATGTGATGCGTTTTTCAAGACTCTTTATACATTAGAACACCACTAAAAGGTAGTGAACGGCTAGAGCTGTTGACTTAAGAACCGATTTTGACAATTTCACCCTGACAAGAAAAATTGGTATCTGCCTAGCAATATTCTTTCAGAAATTGAGTTCCGTTTCTAATGATTTTGCTTGAAATTGGAGAGGTCATTTACCTGGATCAGTGCTGTGCCTTTTAACAAGTGCGAAGTGTTGCAACAATTATTTGGACGTCAATGGGAGTTATTATTTCTTTATGTCATGATTGACTGAATACTGGATACTGGTCCAAGTTGTTTCTCAGCAGAGACTTACTTCGTTAATTTCGGTTACGTATATTTTTAGTGATAAAAGACAATTAGTCTGATTCTGTAACTTTCGTCTGCTAAATCTTACTTTTGCCAGGTGCTTCTGCCATTGACAACAAGTAAATGTTCCTGCTTGGTCCATTCAATTGAATGACAACACTAGTCACAGAATCAAGACAAATTTTGAAAAATAAATCTTTGTTTTCACTCCTTTGATCTGAAATCTAAAATAAAAAGAGAAGAGCTCTCTGTTGGCTCATTTATTTTTTTTACTTACTTCAAATTATTAGTAAATTTCTTTGACTGTGATCACCAGAACATGTTTGAGTTTTGGTACCAAAATAGAGACAATCCATCATCATTTTTTCCCTCTCCCTTTTTTAAGGCCTATTTATGATTAAATTGGGAGGGGCGAATAATATAAGATGCAATTTGGTTTGGTATTTTGGAATACTAAAATTGACCTGTACATTGTTGAGTATTAGTTGTGAACTTTCATGTGATATTCTTCTTGTTTGAAATTAAAGAAGAGAAAATAAAAATGTTGTAAAATATTTTGTTGCCCTAATTTTTTTCACTTCATACATGAGGACCTTTTTGACTAAACAACTTATACCCATGTTATCAACAAGACTAAGATTGTGCATACATTCAACTGTTTAGTTGGTAGAAAGCTGTGAGCTTTGTTCTGAAATTTGCCTCAAATTTTCTTTCCATTTTTCTGAATATATTGGCAGGGAAACTTATAATGTGGATGATTTTGAATATTTGTAAATGAAAGGAAAAGTTGCACAATCTTAGCAACGTTGACATGGGTATGAGCTGTTTGGTTGGAAAGGTCCCCATATGCACCTGTATTCTTACAGAGAGAACATGGACTTAAAATGTTTTTCTCAAGAGAAAAAAAACCTCATTTTATGAGTCAAAATTGGCATGTGAGGAATTAACATGCTTGGTGGCAGTCCTTGAGAGGATGCCAATAGGACCTAAAAGTTGGCTCTTGTTAGATTACGAGCAACGAATTTTAGTATTTTATACACTGTCTTTTTAGGAACAATCAACTTTAGAAAGAATTCTGAAATGAATTGAGACACCTATTACAACTTTAAAGGTGCTAGTTCCGCCGCAGTTTCAGTACTAACTGCACTTTTGCTTTGAAGCATATGAAACGAGATATCACTTGCTGGGGTCTCAAAAATATTTTTAGAGTAATTACTTACTGAGAGAAGATAAATTGAATCAATTTAAATTCAGATTAGGTGTAAAAGCTGCTTACAGATGTGAGTATGTCAAACACTTTTTTTGGAGGCAAATTAATTTATTCAACATATTTACGTTGTTAAACAAAGAAAATCAGTCTTTCTGTCAGTGTCGAAAATGCTTGTGTCTTCGGGCTGATTGATTGTCACCTGACAGTGGCAGTAGTTCATGCCGCCATGCTAGGATTTACTGTTGTGTAAATATTCCCGATGCGCTTGCTGCCTCTACTGCTTGCGATCTCCAGGTAGACTTAAGAGCCTGCGTGGTGCGCGTGCCGCCAATCCCAATGCGCGTGCAAAAGTTACCCATCTTACTGCCATCGAAACGCCCGCAGAACGCTAACAGACCACAAAATGCGAATATGTTAAAAAAGTTGCCGCAGCGCATAGTGATTAAGATGACATATGCCAGGCTTATGCTTTGTTATTTGAGGTCAGACAAAGTCTGATCAGGGACCTTGGGAACAAATAGGAGATTGACTCCCAGGAATCTCCCCGCTACCTTTGAGGATACACAGAGGGGAGGTTCCTAATTTTTCAAGTAGAAGTTCCCGGGAAAATTTTGAAACTATTTTATGAAAATTGGGAAGAGCCTGAAGTCGATGTCACAAGTCCAAAGTCTACCTATCCCTGTCTGAAGTATGGACCCCTATAGGTGGAGGACAGATCCCCCTCAACAAAACACCAGGTCACCAAATTGACATGGAGGAAAGGAACGAAGATGTTCTCTGAAGAAATCCGACTCAAAGAATTTGAATTTGATGGTCATTAAGCCCCTGATGATGAGGCACAGGAGTTCCTGAAACTTGTAAATTCAGAAGGTTTGAGATCCTCCTGTACCCCAGCAGTGAAGCCTTGAGGGGCTACAACACATGATAACAACTTCAGATTCTTTGGATCCAATTTCCTGGGAAAATTTCCTTATTCTGAGCTTTGGTGTCAATTTTGCAACTGGTATTTCTGTCCCCTCAATTAAGGGTCAGTATTTCGGACAGGGATGAACAGATTTTGGACATTTTGGTGTTGACTTGGGTTAATATGTTTTGTACTTCCTGATTTTGATGGAATGATATCGAAATACTGCCAGAAACTCTGACTTTTGAAGACGGAACCCTCTTTCAACCCCAAAAATGGCCACATGGCTATGAAACTCAGATTCCTATGGGTCAATCCCTTATTCTTTCCTGCGATTCTTGACCTTGTTAGACCTGAAATAACCCAAAGAAACCTTAGTGAGGTCTTGATCACCTGGTATAAGAGGTGAATAGAGGAATTCCTTCTTGTTTATCGGATTCAAATTTTATTGAGATCACACGATGTATTGAGACGTTGATGATCAATTTCAGTTTGTAAAGAGTAGCACTACAATTGGCCTGTCCTGAGGGTCTTCGTTTCCACAATAGGTGGTTGGAAGGCTTCTGCCCGGACTAGAACTTGCTCCTACTGTCCCGAAGACAACACTGCTGTTGGTATTATTGAGACACTGCTTCTTAGAGTGCGTTTTGTCCATTTGCAAAGTTGCTATGATTTATGCTTGAATTCACGTAGTTAAGTTTTAACCCTGGTTAGGGTATGTTCATCTTTAGGAAAGACTCTGTTTTCTTCCTTCACAAAACACAAAATATTTAATTGCTCCTCGTCAGTAACTGACATGATGTCACGTGTAGTAAAAGATGTAATGCTTTCAAAAGTAAAAGTGCGACGAAAATGGCCTTGAAATCAGGAGGAAATCTCTCATGCTACAATGATAGAGAGCCGCAACAAAAATATCAGTATTTATTTAATTACTCACCATCCAATTGAGAGCTTGCTATTTTGTCATACTGCAGGCAGATTTGTGCTTTCATCTTTTGAAACTACGCCACCATTACGAAAAGTCAAATCATCTTGAAGATTCGACAAAGGAACCATGAGGAGAGATAAGGATGAAGCCTGAAGGAAAATCTGCAAAAGAACAAAATATATCGCTAAAATCAAATTAAATGTTGGAAAGAAGTGAAGAGATAGCCTTGGTGAGGAAACTCCAGGCCTGTGTTGCGAGAAATTAGATAGGGCTACTATCGTGTATTCTTCTTCAACCGATTCTACCACCATCTTGATGCATGAATTCAAAGGCAATGAGCGAGCAGTTCGAAACCCATTTTCGGCTACCATAATTTTTTGCACTTTCGTGTGAGCTTTTCTCCCGGTTGCCATTATCAAAAAAAGTTGAGAGGAAAACAATAAGCTTGGCTCAATGAATACTTTCGAGCGATACAATAAGAAAAATTGATCAAAAGGGCATGGTGCAACGCGCCTGGAGCTGCTAAGAAATACTCCATCAGGTCACTGATATTTTTATGGTTCATTTCCTTGGAAAAATTTCCATACAAAAGGCTTCATCTGACACCGACTCTTTGAAACCATACAATATATGCTGATTCAACATGTTGAGCATAAATCTAAAATCTGAAATATATGAACACATAACAAAAAGTTTCCTGCAATGCCACCTTCCATGCTTGTCATGGAAAAGAAAAAACCCACACACATACACTCTGAGAGATTTGAAGTTTAAAAAGTAAACAGCTAATGAAAACTGGCTTTTAATAAAACGTAAGTTGAGGATATAGGATACTTACGGTATTAGAAATACATAGCAGGAGAAGACATCTCTGCAAGGTTGTCAGCAAACAAGTGTCACTCCAAGAATTCTTGTGGCTGTGCAATGACAAGGATTTACTGGAAAAAGTTGCAAGTCTCCACTCCATCCAGGGGTGTTGAGATCGATTGCAGTCTGGAGGGCATCCTCATAAGTTTTATACCTTCTTTAGTGTTGCGTTGCATTCATTTGCATTAGTAATGACGCTGAAAAAGAAAACGCATTATCTTTTAGGCCAAAGGATAATTAATGAGCGATGACCTAATGACGTTTTTCATAATGGGGCATAGATAATTGAACTTTTTAATCATTGAAGTGTGATGGGAAATATGAGCAGTAACTGAAAGTGAAGTGTTCCTATAATCTTACACCATCTTCACATTTGAGCCTTAAAATTTAACACTGAATATTAATTGGCCTATTAACTGAACATAATATGAAGATAAGAATAGTCCTTAAAGCCTTACCCAACCTCCTAACATTTCTGATTCTGCAAATATTTTCTGTTGAGTCCTGGTTTTTTTTGAGCCTAAAAAAGGTAAGATATGTTGGCCTACCTACATTCCTTAGTGCATCTTTAGAATTTAAAATATCCTACTTTAGAGGCTGTAATTCAAGAGCGACCTTCCTGCAGATGTCCTGCCACTGAAAACCCCAAGTTCAAGAGTCCTGTAACAACATAGGAAACTCACATTTTTGTTCATTTAATGACAGCTACTAAAAATATCATAACAAGGGAAAAACTTGAGGATACACAAGGTACTTGAGACAGGGGAGGAAATATCAACACCAGTGTGAGGTTCGAGCATTCGAAGTTAAAAAAAAAAAAAAAAAAAATAGTTACTGGTATATTGCATACTCCATCAGAGCCTGTTGAAGTGCTGAAGAGAGAAATTTGACGGAAAAGAGAAGGGATGATTAGAGAAGCGCTAAGAGACAATACCAAAAAATTGAGTAAAAAATGAGAAAATGGATAATTTGTAACATTTGGTGTGGACTTACCGAGCTACAATGGACTGGGATGCTCCTATAATTTCCTAGCATTCGATCAAGAATTATGATGCTGATAAGCTTCCTTAAATTCTGGAAATGTTTACAGCCATATTTTACACCTCATTTCCTCCTTTCAGATTGATTTTTAGGTGGAAGAATAGAAACAGAGGGGCAGTAGACACTCAAACTAATATTTGAATAGCTGAGGGTTCTTCTCATTAACTGAGTATACAGATAGTACGGGAAATAGAATATTGCTCACTCATACCAACTTCAAAATTTCTTTTTGGTAAATATGGGAGAAGCCACTCGGAATTAATGTTCAAACTTCTAAGGATAGTTAGCATGACAGTGCATTGATTTTTTGATGGACAAAAGATATTTCAGTGGTAAAAGTGCAGAAACGCATTTCTTGGTTTGTGATGTTGCAGATTTCTTTTCACACTCTATTTTCTATGTGGGAAACTTCTCAGCATCATTTCTTAAAAATTTAGGATGATTTTGCTTGTCTACGTACAGAATATTTTGGGAAAATTTCAAGCCCTGATAGATGATTTGATCTCTTTTTTCAAAATATGACAGAGGCAGAGATTTTGAAACACCGGGACAGAGATACAAAATTTTTCAGTTTCACCGCCGATTTGTAGATAGTTAAGAAGTTGCATAACTAGTGTCAGGAGTAATTAATAAGAGGTTTCGTCTCCTAAAAAATTGTTTCATCTTTACTTGTGGTCAATTCAAATGGTCTTTGCTGATGACAAAATATTGGATTACACAATAAACACACGACAAGTATAAGATCATCATCAGACGATACACACTACAGTGAATAAAAAACAGAGCAGTAACTTTCAATCCAGAATTGGCTATCACTTAAAAGGAACAGATCTAACCAACCAAGCATGGCACCTGGTTCATCTATACTTCCTTTTCTTATGCTGCATGCTATCAAGGCCTGTTAAGAGGATAAATAAAAAACGATAACTTCTACGCGGAAGAGAAGTAGACAGTGAAGGTAATAAATAACAGGTGCTGTCAAAATTGAGGAACTTCAAAATTGTCAGCGAAATGTTATAATCCAAAACTGCATAAAATTTGTGACTCAAAAGTTTTCTTCTAGCTCTTGATACTTGCCGGGATAGGTACCAATGAATAAGAATCCATTTTATCAATAAATAAATATATAAATATAAAAAAATGATAATAAAGATAAAAAACTGCACTTTTTACAACTTTCGAGGTAACTTACCTCCCTCTTTTCAAGTACTCCTCAAAATGTATGTCCACACAAGCTGACAATATACCACCAGGATTAAGAGCAGTTAGCTCCTTTCAATAGGCTAAGTATTTATCTACATGCTAATCAGTTCCTACATGGGGAGAGTTCAGCCTTTTGTAACTCTTTAACGTAGAAAAGCTGATCCATTTTTAAAAGAGCTTGTAAGTTCTCTTATGTCTCAAAAGTCACAGATTTAAGTAAACAAATGTTCTCAATGGTCAATAGACTTCAAGGAGTTTCAGCCAACCTCAACAATTATCAGCCTCCTCTTCATAGAACCATGCGAACTAACAGTATCCTCCAAATTTGCACATTATCATAACTTGAGATTACCCCCCTAGTTTTTTCTATTTAATACTCACACTCTCAAGTAAACAGTATAGTTAAAATTAATTTCATTACATTTTTTCTTAAATTCTGAAATTGAAAAATGCAATACTGGGAATCCTTCATGAAAAGTAAGATATCTCGGAGGATTATTTTCAACACTGAAAGGAAAAGGCAGTAAGTCCAGGGAAAAATAAATGACTTGCACTTATTCAGTTTTCGAATTTGTTCCGTCCTACTTAAGGTCACAAGACATGTTTGTTACATAGCATGCTAACGTGTTGAAACAAATACATTGTTCACCCTATTACAGATAAGAGCCCTCATTTAAATGGAGACGTTTAATTTTTAGGGCACTCCTCAAAAGGAAAATCAACACTAATAACTTAAATAATCTTCTAAGTCCTTCATGTAATTTTTCCTTCACGAGTAGAAATGATCTCTTCATAATCGTCTTGAGTTGATGGGACCGGATTTATCTAAATGGCATTACAATTTTAAAAACATCAAAACTAGATGCCTTCTCTCACATCGGAAGAGGTAAGTTCAATGTAACAAGACCTCCTCATACTCTTGAGCTCTGGATGCGCCTTATGAATACACTTGCTAATTGCCGAAAGAGACCTGGCTAAAAAAATTATGAATCAAGAAAATAGTAACCGCCAAACTGTGTCTTAACGTTCATAATTTTGTACCTGACTTCAAGTGGTAAGGAAATTTTAGTGCGTCAACCATTCTGGGTTGCTCAATGGGGGCTGATGATACATCTCCTGACACTCAGCCGAGTGAGGATGGTAAGTCAATCGGCTCTTGAAGAGTACATTAATTTAATTGGACTTTATTTTCAACCAATGATTCCGTAGATTGTTTATTTCTGTTTCATTAGAGTTTCATAACTGAAATTCTAGGAATGTTTTATGCTTAAAGAGAGCAATGTCAATTTGAAGTACTTAAAGGGTAACACACAGGATTATCGGAAATGGTTGTGAGTGTAGTAAGAACTGACATTACTTCATTCAAAAGGGGGATCCAGAGCATAATTACGGAATATTGAAGGGGTTGAGTGGAAACCGTAATCAGTAACTTTAGCCTTACATGATTTGTAGAAAGCCTCTCCTCCCAACACTTCCAGGATTTTTTATCCATTTAAATCAGCAAAGACCAAAATTAATTCATTTTTCCAGCTTTTTCCAACCAAATTCTTTGTTTGAAAGGAGGAAAAGTAGATTAGATTATTTGTAAAGGAGGGGAAATTTTCTGAGAAAAAAAGAATCTTTTGCTTTAAGTGTCAGAGCGCAAAAACGTATTCATGTATTTCCACCGGAAAAAGTATTCCTAACATTCAGAATTTAGAAACAAAATTTAACATTCAGGCAACATGAAAAAAAGGAGAGAATTTAAAAAAATTATTAAGTTTTCTTCTTACACATATCTGCTGATCTAAACCACTTTTTTTAATATAACTATAAAATATAAAATTATGCTACTACCCTTACTTCCTAAAAGAAAGAAAGAAATACATGTTGATTCAGTTTACTTTCCCAGTCAAGATTTTTAACATTGATTAGGGACTTGGCATCAACCTTTGACTACTTGTCATAATGGGGTTTGCATGAAACTAATTTTTTGGCAGGGCTAGGAGAAATAGATTTACATAAAATAAACATGACTAACATTTGACTCTTCAAGTAAGAGCGATACCTGTCAAATTGAATCCTTGCTGCTGATGGACGATAGTGAAACATGTCTTGAATTGTTCGTTAAATATTGAAGCTTGGCTTTTCTACTCCGATTAATAATAGTGGGGAAAAATGAATTCAGGAATAAGAAAAAATTAAAACCCTAGGTTTCAAAGAAGTATAAAGATTAAGATTTTACTAAAGTAGAAATGAAGGTCGACTAATCAGTTACTAAAATCTTAATTACCAGCCCAGTTTATAACTGACATTAACAAGCTATCGCTTAAGGTATGATTGGCCTACAACAACTGTCTGCTCAAATGAATTAAAACCGCTTTTTCGTGACATCTCTGTATTTTATTATAAATAAATATGAAGTTATTTTACATTGAGAAAAATGAAGTCTTTATGATAAAAGAGATAAACTGATAAATAGGTAAAGGAGATGATTAAAACATAATCATTACAACACTATCATTGGAATGAAAGCCAACTTTGTGGATCAATAATAAAATGTGATAAAAATTAATTGGTAAGATTTTTTATTATCTTGTGATTGAATCAACTAGTCCTTATTTTAATGAGAATACTGCACAAAGTAATGAGAAAAAAAGTACACACATGAATTTAAAACTGACAGCACACAACACTGAAGTAGAATTAAGAGTTCTTCCTAGAGGATAAATACGAGTTCTTCCTAGATGATATTAAGAGGTCTTCCTAGAGATTATCTTCTCATTTGTGGGAGTTATCTGACGCCTCATTCGCCTAGATTTAGGTCAAGTCTCATGCCTAATTTCATACGAGATAACCTACACTGCCTCTCCTACCTAGATAGCAGCAAAAAAATCATAGTGTATCATTAATAAAGAGTCTGACATTTCGCTAAACAGATAGCCAAAGACTAAAACACAAGAACTGAGTTGAGTAAAACTTCTTACTATTCAGAATTAAGAGAAAAAGAAGTGCTCCCTAAGTAAGTTCTGCCCAAAGAACTGCCTCCAAAAGTTGTAACATGTTCGACAGAAATAGACAGAAAGAGGCAAAATGTAAAGCGAAGAGAGGAGGTGCACGTATCAAGCAGTTACAAAGCATTTGAAATGCATATTTCACTTCCATCGTAAAGGACAACAAACTTAATATCTTTTAGAGTAGTCACAATGAGAATAAAACATTAAGACAATCAGAAGAGAACAACTTGTTCCAGTTAATGCATGAATCTAAAAATTATGATAGCTCAGGATTTCTGATGCACCTGACAACCTTGATTAGTTTTGGAGGTGCTGGGACAAAATAGCATGCTGACCTAAAAAATTCTCAAGCATGTCATGTCTCCTTTTAACCATTTTTCAGATTTTTCTCAGAAAATAATATCAGCACTAATCAAAACTTTTAACTACAAGAAGAGGAGAGAAAAATTATTTAAAAAAAGAGGGAAAAAATAGAAATAGATAAATATTAATACCAGCATTAAAGGTCAATGAAAAGAGAGTATTATTCGGTACGCAGAGAGCTGATAATAGCCAACAAAACTAACAGAAATGAAATTTATGCTTAGAAACTTGGTGAATAGGGCTAATGAAAATGATAGTTCGAAAGGAAAAAAAGGCATCAGCAGAAATGTCTCAGTTATAAATGTCAAAAGGTCATGAATGATGAGGCGATTAACTGACACTGGTATCAACGCAAAACCAAAAAGTGCAAATGAAAATAACGAACTGTTTGCTGTTGTAACGATTATATGTTTCAGGAATAAAAAGTAAAAGAATTGAACATGCGACATGTATGCCACATTTAAAGAAAGCTTGTATGTTGACTAAATAGTTAGCTTGGGCATCTCCTCCCGTATGACCAGAAATGCACATACAGTGACGACAAAAAAAAAAAAAAAGTTGGGAAAGATCAAACTATTTCTATAGCTCTCTCTTTAATCTTGGGACATTCATCTCAGCCCATTCATTTCCCTTTATCCTTCAGAATAGTCATCTTTCTGTTTACACCTGATAAAAAACAAGTTCCCAGTTAAACTTGATGTTGTCAATGCTAATAGATTTCAAGAACGAGGCTTTTCCACTGATATGATAAGGAAGAGACAAAATATTAAAGAGAAAGTTGTTCGAAACAGGACAATAGTACCGCACAGATGCTAAGGCCAAGATACTGACAAGTAAGAATCATGGGCTTCTTCTCACGTCAAGGTGCCTACAAACTTGAGGAAGAAAAGTTTGACAGCTCTTTCAAGTTTTCCCTGACCAAGATGGTAAAATTCCTTCCTTTTTTTGTTGTTAAATATTTCTTTTAAAGTGACCTCATTGTCCATAGTTCTCCCTCAAACTAAGTTGTAAATTTCAGGAATTTTCTCTTAAGCAGAAAAGACTATTTAGAGGACAGAGAAAAAATTCCTATTCCTCGATCTTACATTTTTGAGGGAAATTTTTTTCTTTTGATATTCCTGGTTTTGTTATCCTGTAGACACCCTCAACAATTTTAATGATCAATCCTGTGAGTCACTGAAGAAGTGTGAGAAAAAAAAAGAAGAAAAAAACCTATATGTGTGTACTACATATCCTTGCATATTAAATTTTGGCATGAAGCAAGCAATGATTGCATAACGTTGGTTGAACCAATAGCTACTGGAGATAATCCCAAGTCCCTCATTCACATTCAATCAGCAATTTTTCACAAGCTTCTTCTCTGAGTGTGAATGCAAGTAAGTTTGGGGCAATTTTTTAGGTGCTGTGCAATTTGTTGTAGGAACATTCTCCTTTGTCCTTAATTCCAGGAAATTTGAACGTATAAGAGAAGCGCCTCAGAGCATTATAAATCGAAAATAAAAATCTTACCTCTGCTTTAGTAACGTCCACCTCGGCCACCGCCGTAACTGCCACCTCCGTAGCCGCCACCTTCAGAAAAATTAAGTTTAAATTAGTCAGTGAAAATAATTGAGCCCTGCTTCCTTTCTTTTAAAAGGGATTTAAATATTATCCCGAATAAAGGTTCATTATTACCCTACAGACCTGAAAAGCTGATGTTCTATTATAATTACTTTGACCATGATGATTTGTTGGTTATTATTACATCAACAGCAAATAAAAAGTCTGCACTGTGTAATAGTGCCTACAGATTATTTGTAAATTGCTGGTGAAAGTGTAAAATGAATTTTCACATCCCTTCAAGTTTCCATGATCCCGAGCACTTTTCACTCTGGTTGCCTGCGATAACCCCCAAGAGAGATGCAAGGAAACTTAACCCAAATAGACAACCGAGTATCTACAAACTATTTCAAGTTTCCTGATGTATAATTCTGTAGTTCATAAAACATTTGTCCCAACAACTGAACAGGAGTCTCAAAAACTGATAAAAGCTTGCAAGATTTTCGGCTTATTTCGATGAGTTTGGTTGACTCCTTTGTCCACTCTTTGAATACGGTGGTATTTCGGTGTTTTTGGCTTGTTCACTTGTACAGTATTTGAACTATACGTAGGCTGTTGGAGCACAGCCATTTTGAGGTTCTTGGTCCCCATCCTCGGGTCTAAGTTGCTTATAAAACAATGTGGAAATCCTTATTTCCTTTGTTAACTTGCCATTTTGTGGAATAATACTAAGGAAACTTAAATGCACCTTGCCATGACAAAACTGTGTGTAAAGGAGCCAAGTTCCACCATTCCTGCTTTGCTTGATATGATTTTTGTACAATATTACCGATAATCTTCTCATTAACACCTGAAATTCCTCACAGTTTAATTGAAAGGATGTTTAGGTTATCCAAGCATTGAAAGACCAAACTTTTGAATGGAATGAAAGAAGGATAGATCTTACCACCACTTCCGTAGGGTGCACTCCTGTTACCACCGAAACTATTCCTGACTGGGCCACCACCATATCCTTGTTGGTAATCGTTACCGGAACCCCAGCCACCAGAACTTCCTGCAGATTCATAAAAAGGCAATGGTAAAAAGTGGAAAACTAAATCAGGACAAACTTGCATAAAAACCAAATTGTCATAACCAAAGCGGCAAAGGATCATACTGTTCCAAAGCAATAATAATGCTCCCTGTGGATTTTCTTTTCAAATAATGGTAACATAGTCATTTTATTGGAAGATCCAGACCTACCAGAATACTGAAGACAACCCTTGTGCAATGAAAACAAACAGATATAAAGTCTACAAGGAGTAACAGTATGTTTTGATCACTGAAAGAAAAGTTAAAACTTTTTCTTCCCCCAACCCCTCTCTTTTGGAGGGAAAATAATGCTTCCTCTACCAAGCAGCAGCCTTTAATGTCACAGGCATGAAAAAATACGAGATTCGTAGATGCTCATTAATGGAGAGGAAAAATTTGTATACTTCTGGCTAGAATGTTGCACAAAATACGAAAGTCTGATTTTCCTTCAAAACGAGGGAATATTTATTTCAGCAATATCAGAAGTCAAAAAAATATGCAGCAAATTCTCTTACAGCAAAAAAGGGACATACACTTTATAAAGGAAACATATCCATATTTCTAAAAACAATATTTTATACTATGGTAACAATGAGATTTGGGTGAGCTAGCAACTGCTTCCGATGCTCTCCTTCTAAATGGTATCAGTCAATATTCGGTAGCAGGGCGAATATTGGTTAAAGTCAGACAAGGCTCTCAGTAAGTTATTTGCATGGACCCAAGACATCTTTATTTTTAATGTGCTTTGCAGGGGTCGTACATACATGAAAATGTGGTTGTTATATTTTCTCATGGCATGAAAAACAAAACTTCGAAAACTGCAAAAGAAGAGTTAAAACTCTTTAGCTACGAATATGATGACAAGACTTACCACCGAAGTTTCCACCTGCAGCAGGTGCAGCACCCCAACCTTGGCTTTGTTGGCCTCCCCAGCCGCCACTTTGCTGGCTCTCCCATGGACCGTAATTGCTCTTCATGCTACCACCACCATTTCCTGAACAGCACAAAAATAGAATTCACAATTAGATTGAATAAAGCAATTCCATATGGATATTTCTGGTTTGAATGCTGAGTACAGTTAGTACAAAACATATTACATTACATCTACTTCATTCTAAGATTATGACTATACTTAGCTAAGATTGCTCCTACTTTATTCAGAGATAATATATTTGACTAAAAATGTTGCTTCAGATGACTAGGATCCACTGTGGACGGTCACATGAACATTTGTCTCAATACTTGCAGGTTTTCGGCTACTCAGGAATACTTGGAAGCTTTAGAGTTTGCAAGTACAAACCCGGGAAAAATTCACTATTGCCACAGCTGTAAACGTTGACTACTCAGTCCATTCTGAGTTTATCATGTCAGACACTGACATAAATATATTACAACAAAATGTTAGAAAATAATTTGACTTACCACCCCAGGAGTTGCCGCCGCTAGCACCACGACCACCCCAGCTGTTGCCGCCCCAGGCTCCACCACCGCCACCACCACGGCTGGATCCTCGACCGGCTCCTCGCCCTCGTCCGCCCATACCGCCACGGCCACCGCCGCCACCCATGGGCATGTCACCTTTGTTTACAGCTTTCTTTGTGTCAACCAATTTTCCTTTGATTGTGTGTTTCTTGCTCACTGCAAAGACACAGACAAAAGGTATCAGTAAACCAGAATTAATATCATTAATTGCATTGATTGTTCACATACTGGTGGTAGCACTTAAATACCCACCACAATTAAATACAAACCTGTAATATTTACTCCAGGTTAAAAACCCTTTCTTTATAACCAGTACTTCATTAACATAAGATCATTCCATACCAAATCAGGGTGTCTACTTAAACAGGCTGGTCAAAAATAAGTACTTGTACAGTACTTTTTGAGTACATTCTCAAGAAATTCAGTACATCTTTCAACAGAAAAATTCCATACTTTTTCAGTACCTCCATTTGACGAAATTAGAAAAATTCCAAAAATTTGAAATTCCAACAAAAATGACAAAAAATTAAAAAAAAAATTCCGGACCTTTTTTCAGAATTTTCACATTTTTTCAGTACTTCCGGACCGCCCTTAAAAAATCAGTACTATTCCCGGACTTGTAGACACCCTGCAAATCAACAAAATTTGTCAAATTATTGAACCACTTTAATTCTTTGCAGTATAAAGAATGGAAAATACAGAAAAATACTCACAGACAATTTTATCTACAACATCATAGTCGTCAAATTCAACGAAAGCAAATCCTCTCTTGGCTCCTGTGTCTTTATTTACAACAATTTTGATGCCTTTGATGTTTCCAAACTGGCTGAAATATTCCCTTAAGTCTTCTTCTTCTGAGTCTTTCAATCCGGAGACGAATAATTTGGTCACAGTTGCGTTAGCTTCTGGGTTTCCGATTTCCTGGGGAAAAGAACAAAATTGCATTGAAGCCAAAAGAAGAAGTAAAGAAAAACTAGACGAGGAAAGCTGCAAAAAAAAGAAGTTTACTTGAGAGTAAAACATAAAATTTATTGTAAGTTAGAAATTAAGTAGCATGCAGTTATCAGTTGCAAGAATCCAGAAAGTTCCTGGCCTTCTCACTTTAAAAACTCCTGTTTCCTCGCACTTAAGTTAGCACATAAATTTCTGTTGAACGGTGCTATTTTATAATGTGACATTTGTCCACTCTTTACTTTTCTCAGTTCTATGGAGAATTGAAAATTGTGAGACAAGAAAGATCTCTCAACACCCTCTTCGTTTGGGTAAAACTTGGTTCCTCTAATTTGTTGACAGACCTCTTTCAGCATAAATGTCCTTCGCTTACAACTGCTTTCATCTGCAGATGTTACTGTCAACACGCTGGCTACAAAAAATAAAATACTTACATCTCTAGGAACTGCTCTCTTGCTTTCTACTTCTCGGCCATCGATTTTGTGTGGCCTGTGTGCCATGGCATCGTCAACCATATGTGCTCTTGAGTAAGTGATGAAACCAAAGCCACGGGACCTGAAAGCAAGAATCAACAAGTCATTAGATGATCACTTATCTTCTTTCTCATGAATAAAGTCCTCATTAAAAGTCAGGTGGCTGTTGAACAGCTCTACACAAGGCAGCTACTTTTAAAAGAGACCTTAGGGCTCTCAAGGTCCAAATTGAGAAACACACATTAGTTGGAAAACATGCCTACATAAAAATTTAAGAGAAAGAAACAATCCATGCCATATACATAACGCTTGAAGTTCATGTAAAAAAATGAGGAGAAAGTTTTTTTTAAGAAAGTAATTTAAGTACTATTAAAACAAAAACTTCCTGTGTCACTCTTTCTTTCACTATGAACTTATTAATGTAAAGCTTGTTACAGAAATCTTTGTCTTATTCGCAGATTATTGCCAGCCCTGCAATACATCAAAAAAGGCAAGGTTATCAAAAATGGGCTCTACTGTCGTTTACATGGCGTCTTACAGAAAATTTTCAATTCAATTCAATTCAATTTATTAATTCTTCAATTTACACAATACAATAAAAATACATAATCAACTTCCCTCATCCAGGAGGTGACTCGTGTGGATGAGGCTGTTATAAATAGGTACATACATTTAATTTAAGTTTAAATTTTAAGCAAACATAATGTTGAATACAATATAGAAATTTGTATCCATTTTTTTTTTTATATAAAAAAGAACAACTAATTACATTATCTAATTACATTAGCTAAATAGATTCACAGGTTGGCAAGGCCCTCGTTCCTATTTCCTCTGCTTTCACATACCAAACACAACAATATATGTTACAGAAATGAGTACAAAACACTTGGATTGCACATTGCAAGGAGGAACCAAGAGAATCTCAGTGTCGCCATGATTGTGCAACTTGAGACTTAGCCAGAATCACTTTTCCAAAATCTAGCAACACTGGGACGCTCCAGCCCCCCCCCCCTGCCAAGCGCAATCCAACTGTTTTGTAAAATAAAATACAATTTATTATTTGCTATAGGTGAGCTTGCCCTAGGATTGATTTGGTAACTTAGATGATTGACTTGATTGTATACCCAACATTTCTTTTTGAGACTTCGAGTCTTGGTTGCTGTACTATTACTTGGCTCGGATTTCTGATCTCATATTTTATTTCTCTTTGAGGGAGTGGCTCGGATTGGAAAAGCGGTGTTAATCTTTTCAGCTCCCTTTGGTAAAGTTCATGGAAACCTTTAACATTCAACAAGTCGTATAATTCTGCCGATGGATAGGTCTGGGGTAGGTTTAGGATAGTCTTTATTGCCCTTCTTTCAAGTCTTAAGATTGGCTTGAGGATGTTGCTATTTGCGCCTCCATAGACTGCTATGCCATAATTGAGAACAGACTGAAAGAAGGACATAAAGACTATCCGCAGAGAGTCCAGGCTAAGGAAACGTTTCAGAAAGATGATGGAGTATATGACTTTGCTGAGCTGTCCTTCAATTTTTTTGACATGCTCGCTCCATGTTAATCCTCTGTCTAACATTATCCCTAGATATTCTGCTTGATGTTCTAGTTTGAGATACTCGCAGTTACAATTTTGATTTGCATTACAATGGTGGAATCTTATTTTCAGCTCTTCAACCCCATCATAGTTGGTTGAGAATGGAATACAAATAATTTTCGACAGGTTTAGCGTTAGTTTGTTTTCTTCAAACCAGGGTTTAATAACCTGGTTTAACCCCTGGTTTACCGTGTCATTTAATGTTTTCCATGATTTTTCGTTGAACAGCGTTGAGGTATCATCAGCGAAAGCTGATATGTAGCAATTTTTTAGTTTAATGCTGCAAAGATCTATTGTAAAGATTATAAAGAGGATCGGCCCCAATACCGATCCTTGGGGAACTCCCCATCCCACTTCCATTTCCTCACTTAAATCTCTAAATTTCACTCTCTGAGTACGCCCAGATAAATAGCTCTTAAATAGATCTAAAGCTACCCCTCTAACACCTATATACTCTAACTTTGATAGTAAAATTTTATGTGACACTGAGTCAAAGGCTTTGGTTACATCTAGTAGTAGGAGCGCACATTTCTCTTTATTTTCTAGGTGTTGTATCACTTTATCAATCAGTTTTGCTACGGCCTGGACTGTGTTCTTATTTTTTTGAAATCCAAACTGATTTGTTGGTATTATTTTATTTATAATCAAAAAACTGACCAGTCTTTGTTTTAGTGTTTTTTCAAAAATTTTTGATAAATTAGATAGGACTGAAAGAGGCCTGTAGTTGCATGGTTCATCTCTAGATCCTTTATTTTTATAGACTGGGGTTACTGTCGCCTCCTTGAGTTTGTCTGGAAATAGGCCCTGGGTGAAGGACAGGTTAATAAGATGTGCTAGAGGTGTAGAAATACTTCTGGAGCAATATTTCAGTAATATTATAGTTACGTTATCTGATCCAGAGCTTTTCTTTAATTTTAACTCTCCTATGATTCTTTCCACCTCGTATTTATCTACTGGAGCCAGGAAAATCGAATTTTCATTTCGTCGTGTTTTATTTATCGTTGATGCGTCCTTCTTATTGTCATTTATCGGGATCTTTTCTGCTAGTTTTTCCCCAACTGTGGCAAAATACTGATTAAGTTGGTTTGCAGTGATGTCTGCTTGGTTTTCATTTTTCTGTTTTCCACGACCTGCCAAGTTGTTTACTATTTCCCAAAATTTTTTTGGGTTTTTCTCTGCATTACTTATTTTGGTTCTGTAGTAGTTGTCTTTGGCTTTCCGAACTATCCCTACTACCATGTTTCTATACCGAGTGTAATATTCTTTCAAATCAAGATTTCCTCTATCCTTCACCCAAGCTCTATGCCTCCTATTACGTTCTCTAACGCTTTTTAGAATTCCTACAGTCATCCAAGGCTTGAGTTTTTTATTCTTGTTTGTTATCTTAATTTTCATACTACTTTTTTCCACTACATACTGTATGCTTCTATAGAACTCTTCCATTGCTAAATTAACAGTATTACAATCCAGTACATTTTTCCAATTTACTTCACTCATTAACATTTCTGCTTTCTTATAATCTAGTTTTTCTATCCACGGGCTGTCCTTCAATTTCTGGGCTCCATTTTTCTTTGTACTACTTAAGTAAAGTACTACAGGGTAATGATCAGTTATGTCTGCTTTTATAACTTCAGAGTTACAAGAAATTCCTTGAAGTTTCAATCTTACATGTATATGATCCAAGCACGAGTCTTTTCCTGATATTAGATTTGGTCTAGTTGGTTCATTTATTAGACTTATGTAATTACTTTCAACAAGCACTTCTGTATATTCTCTAACATTTTCATTTGGGTCCAAGAGGTCAAAATTGAAGTCTCCTGCAATTATATGATTTTTTTGCTTCATTTTTCCTAGGAACCCTCTCAGCCAATTTATAAATACTTTTTCGTCTTTAAATGAGGGGGAACGATAGATTCCAGTCACGAAATATTCTTCGTGATCTAGTTTAATTTTAACTGAGAGTCCTGAGCACCCTTCATATTTTACTGTTTGGATCTCATATGCCATTCCTTCTTTAATAAACATTGAGACTCCGTCCGCTCTGTTCCTAGTTGCTAGAGCATGTACGGCTTGGTAACCCTCCATTTTTGCTAGGTGGCTTTTCTTTTTTTTCAGCCATGTTTCAGTGCAAATTAATACATCAAATTTTGCTTTCATACTGGATAGTAGGAGCTCTAGATCTTCAATCCTTTCATTCTTATTTTTCAATAGAGATTTGATATTAACATGAAAAATATTTACCATTTCTGTATTTCTGAATACTACGTTTTGCCTTAATTAGTATTTGGTATGTTTTTTCATTTTTACAAATTTCATTTCTACAATTTCGTACATTGGTTTGTTACAGAACTATAATCTATTTTCTATTTCTAAATATTTACTTGCTACATAATTTGCTCACTTTTCTATCACATTTAGGGGATTACAGAGTATTATATAGGGAATCACAGAGTATGACACTACTGATTTGCATACATTTTCCTATCCTCCGTTAAGATTGACAATTTTGTCATACCTGATTAGTTTCGATTGAGTGGGCAGGTGGGGGGTTAGGATCATCTGGTTTACTTTCTTTTGTTTCACTCTTTTCACAGTTTTTGAGATTAGTATCTACATTTTGATCATTTACATTATGCACATTAGACTGCTGTTCGAGTGGCGGGAGTTTTTCCCTAAATTTAGCAAGGTCTTCTGCATCTACTATTTTGTGGGTCTTACCTTTTGCTTTAACCAGTACTTCACCTTTTTTAATCCAGGCGAAGTGAAGCTTCCCTTCATCTCTTAATCTAAGCGCTTTTCTGTAAAGGAATTTGTTTTTAGGAGTGAGATGGTCTCTTAACGCTACTACCTTATTAGTGCCCTGCACTAAGGTCTCTGATGCTAATACTCTTTTGTTATTTCTGTATTTTAGCTTGAATTTATTTAGGAATGCTTCTTTTGTAGGGTATCTTAGAAATTTAACAAGCAACTCCCTAGGTTGCCCACTTTCTTTACTATATGGGTTTTCTTTAAGCCTATGCATTGCTAACACCTCATTTAGGTTAATCCTCACTCCCAGATCTGATCCTAATTTCAAAAGAATTTTATCTAGTTTTTCCTCCTTTTGCTCAGGGATTCCTGTTATAATTAGATTATTTTTAAGATCGTATTGAGCCCTCCGGCTTGTTTCTGCATTTACTAACCTAAGTTCTCCTTTCATCAGGGTTATTTCATCACTAAGCTCCGAGCACTTCTCTTCCAGCGCTTGATTTCTGTCTTTTAGTTCTTCACAACACGCCTTAAGATCGTTGAATTCTTTGATGATGTCCGTAACTGCAGTGATCGTAACTTCCAGGTTGGTGAATTTTTGCAGCATGAGCTGAATAAGTCCATTTGTGTCGCCAGGTTTGATTTGGGACACTGAGCAACTGGTACACTTCCACTCAGCTTCACTTGTTGATAGAAGGTCATATACTCTTGCGGACATCTCTATGCACTTCGTGTGATACCACTTATCACACCTTTCACATTGGATCCCCGGTTCGTCTTTTAGCACCTTTTTCTTGCACTTTCCGCATAAATCTTCTTTGGTGTCAGATTTCTTTCCTGCTTTCAGAGAAGGTTTGGATTTTTGGATAGTTTTGGCAGAATCTGGTGTACGCATCATATTGCAATGATTTATCACTATTATTGGCTATTACCCTTTGTTCTTGTTGTATAGGTTATGTTTGCATGCTGTGTAGCTCGCAGTGAACAAATTTGCAGTTCTGTCACCAAAACCAATGCATTATGGTTCAATTAGAACATAAGGGGCTTACTTTTAAAACTTTTCATGAACTTTCAGCTTAATTTACTATATATCACTTTTTGACAAAACTTTAGTGAGAGCACTTCACAATGTGTGTTTTCTTATCAAGGCAGGCCTGCCAACCCTCCAAAATCGAAAATTGGGACTTAGAAGTTTCTAAATAATCTCTACCTCCATTGATCATCATTAAAAATAGTTTTTGGGCATAAAATAAAACAAACTCCTTGAGGCATACAAGTGAGAGAATAACTGGTGTCTCGAGCAATTAGAAAGTTAGCCACAGCCGAGGAGAAAACTGAGGCTAACTGAAATACACTGTATAAGTTAGAGCTCTCAATGGAAAAAAATTACTAAGACAAATATAATGCTTACTTCTTGGTCACTGGATCTTTCATTACGACAACATCGACGATGTCTCCCCATTGTTCAAAGAAACTTTTCAGGCCATCGTCATCTGTTCTGTAATCTAACCCTCCGATGAACAATTTCCTGAACTGTTCTGGTTCTTGCTTGGCATCCTTAAAAAAAAAAGAAAGAAGTGTAAAATTCAAGTAAGGAAAATATATAATTCCATAACTTAAGTAAGTATAGGTTTTACATGTTACTGTGTTCCTTCAGACAGGCATTTGAGCAACTGAATGTTGAAACAGTAACCTCTTGATAAATTTGGTTACAGGATTGCTGTAAAAGAGGTAGTAATCTGCCAGGATTACCAGCAGGGCACCTTGTAGAGGCCTGGCACCATCAATTCGGCCATTGCGCACCCCTCCGTTCTTTGACAGTGCTCTCTTCGTTGGACACAGTGCCAGGAGACATGACATATCCGACTGTTGACATGGATGACAAACTTGGGTTAAATGGCAGAGTGTGATTGGTCGGCTATGTCTTATCCCTGCTTTGTCGGATGGAATGGGCGATAAACTAAAGGTACCTCTTGAGTTTCCGACAGTATGTCGTCCATTCCACCGGACAAAGCAGCCAAAAGACAAAGCCAACCAATCATGCTCCACCATTTAATGTATGTTATCTATGTCAACCCAACAAACACAAAATTTAAACAAACTGGCTCCTGGGCGAGTTTCAAATCAAGGCATTGTTGCCTTGCACGTCCGTCTATTGGGTTGCTTTGCCTGTGAGACTAAGCATAACTCAGCCAGCTCCAAACACTTCAGTGACCTGCGACCAAGGGTTTACTAGTCAAAGCTGCTTGGACAGCTAACTGGAGACCGATAGAACCACCAACAACCACCCCTATCCCCACGACGGATAAAATATGGTGATCGCGTTTTGATTTTGGCTGCTGTCTTGAAGCGTTGTGACACCAGGAGGGTATGGGTTTCACCATGTAGTTTAAGTTTGGGCCAGCTCATGTACCCGATACTGTGTGATGTCCTGAGGGTACGAAATGCGACCACCATTCTTCATCCGCCTTGCCCTATTCCAGGGTGGCATCTCTTGTACCGGCTCCCCAATCCGTCACAAGATGGTTGCTCTGGACCTAGATACCCGATAATTCTGGACAAAAGCAATGACTACAGCCATGAATGAACAAAAAGACTGGTGCATGTATCGAGAAAAACTCAGATGATCTGCACTGTCAAATAGAGGGGGCATGGATCAAGACAATGGAAGCAAGAGGAATAGTAAGGTGAGACAGGCAACAGGCCAGTTTCATGGCAGCAGGTAGCCTGCATCGAACTTAAACCCCCGAATAAATAACGATTGCAGAATCAGCTCGACGTCTAAATACGGTGATTTAATATTTGCATAACATATAAAGAAGTAAGGTCATCCGGTTGAGGAAAAGAACGTGGCTATAGCTACCATGACCGGCACGTCGACGAAGCCTGAAAAAGCGAACTGAAAGACGCTCTACCCTGAAACAATGCAGTCTTAGTGAGGGAAATTAGTGATTTGCATTGAAAATTACTTACTTCTGAAGCACCCATGACGTTTGATGAGATTCACACGGAAAAATAAAACACTGAAAAGAACTAGTGCGTGAAAATACAATGGAAAATCAGTTTAAAATGGTGGAACGCGTATTGACTTAGGCCACAATTTCAAGATTAGAGAAGAAAAGACGCGGTTTTCCCCTCTCTACCTGCCGCATTCACCCCCTCTTCACCTCGGTTCCACCCCTTGAAGGTTGAGCCCCAAAATGGCGGCTCCACGGGAAAAGTCCAGCCGCTTCCGATGAGAATAAACAGAATGAAGTGAAAGCTAAAGAGTTACTGAACGAAATAAATTTGTCAGTCTAAAATAGGAAACTTTTTAGCTTTTTTCATGTACCTCGTCCAAGGCCAGCCCCTCTGCATTCTGAAAATCACTAGCCTATCAGGCTCCTGCCTGAGGACATCTGATAGGTTCTGTGTATGCTCAGTTGCGGACATGAAGATTGAAGGAGAATCAAATGTTAAGTCCTAGACAAGGACTTTTGCGAATCCATCACTTAAAAAGGCATTTTCGCTGACATTCATGTATCGACTGGAATAATGACTTTCCTTCGAAGTGAGACCCATTACCTTTACATAAAGTTAAACGCATGAATCAAAATACTCATTCATTCAAACATTTAGGTACCACAATCTAGCAAGGCATGGCATGACCATCACTATACTTCCAGACTTTTAAGTACTTGAAAAGAGGTTTCATTACCCTTCAGAAAAAGGTTTAGTTAAAAAATAGGAGCCAGAGAATCCATTCTTAGCCAAATCAGCCTTTTTTGAGAGGATTATGAGTATTCCTGAGTTTTTCTTGAGACTTCTCACAATTTTTTTTTTAAACTGAAGCACTGCTAAATATACAGATCATTTATGATTATTGAAAAAGTTATAATATTGATTGAAGATGACTTAAAATCCCTCAAATTTTTTAGTCTAATTTGAGTACCTAACTTGGCACATTGCAATTTCCATCTTTGAAGGTAGTTTTAAGTCATGAAGTAGCACCTTTCAAAAAGTTCAGATAGAAATTCAGCACTTGGGATAAGACAATAAATTTTAAAGGAACTCACCTTTAAAGTTTACTTCAGCTGTGTGTTTCTGTGTTGTCACCCAAGTAGCATTGTCATCTACTTTCTAGGTGGCGCTCATCAAGAAAATGTCTACTTTCTAGATAGAACAATTTTCTTGAAAGATAATAGGTATAAAGTACCTAGATCAGAGTAGACACAAGAAAATAGAAAGAAAATAATTTTTTCCTTGCATTTTCTTCAAAGAAAACATTAAGAAATTGGCTAGAAAATAATTCTACTTTCAATAAATTTTCTATCTTTTTTCCAAACGGGAAGTTGACAGAAAGTAGACCCATGAAATATAGATCTATTTTCTTTGGTCAGACTTTTGACTCTCAATGTTTTTTCTTTCTATTTTCTGGATAACACTCATTTTGTTTGTTTTTTCTAGATATTTTCATAATATTTTTTTTCTAGAAAAAAATTCTATTTTGCTTCATCCATGCTCTTCATCCAAGAGACTTCAAACATTCATTTGATTTGCATAATTACAACATTAGAGGGCAGCGTATTTTTAGGTTTACCCCAGGTTGAAATATAGTAGTAAATGATGGGTGGCGGATGGACTTTAAAATAAATTGTTTTTCTCACTTTGAAGAGTAAACAGTAAAAGGAAATTTTAGGGGAGATTAGACTATTTTTAAAATTATTCTTTTATTTAGTCCAAAGATTTCAAGTTCCAACATTATGAGCTGTCTGTTGTTTGATCTGTGGCATCTGTAGCTGTATCTATTTTATCACTGGAATATTAATATGCAAGGGCTTGGGCGAATCCTTTCGAGAGTCCTACATATTATGGAAATAGTAAGAAATAAGCGAGAATATACTTTGACTTTCAACTGACTTGTGTAAAGCAGTATACAACTGTAACAGGGCCGGGGGATGTCTAGATGAGTAAATAGATTCTTTACAGACAGAGCTCTTCTGGGAAGGTGAGATGAACGCTTGATTGTACCAGTCTTTCAAATCAATCAATCTCTGTTAATATTTGTTGAGACAGTCTGTTAAATTACAGATGTGGTAGAAAAAGTTACAGGATGAGGAGCACCAAAAGATCTGAAAAGAGGGTGAAACATATTTTTCTTAGTCCTGAGTTCTCCACTCTATTTTTAGGTTAACAGAGTTTTCAGGAATGTAATTCGCAATTTTGACCGTAAAGCCTTATATTGATCTTTCAGAGCTGCTACTTGCTTCAACGACAACACAACGACATCACTAATAGTGGCCGACTCGCTTTACTCGATTTTAATGATTTGAGAGCCCAGATAAAGGGAAAAATAAGGTTTATTTTCAACACTTAAAATTTATGAAATTATAGAGTGTAAAAATAACAACTGTTTAAACATTAATCAAGATTTCAAAAATCGACAAATAATACTCGTATTAATAAATAAGTTTAAAAAAAGAACAAAAGGTAGACGGTTAATACAATATAGTATTTCCTCTTTTGAAAATAAAACTTTGTATTTATCTGAAAACAAGTTAACTTTGTCTTTAAAAATCTAAATAATATCTGTAATTACTCATTTTGTAGTATCATACATGTAGAGAAAAAGAGAAAACAAACAAATAAAAGTTATGATGATAAAGTACATTCCTCTTTTGCAATAAAGGCGTAATAAATTAATGTATACCCAATACAATTCTCTTTTAAAAAATAAACATCCGTAGGTTAGACTTCATACTCACAACTTTACACATGCTGGTGAGTTATAAGTATAATAATAAACCCACCAATTTACAATAACAACCTCACCGATATGAGGATCCAAGTTGACCTTCATTTGAACAGCAATTCCTTGCCATCCAAATGATTATAAAAAAGAAGAAAAAAGCAAGGGGCTCATGTAAATGACTTCTAATATTGTTACATAATAATTAAACAGTCTCTTTCGGTTACAGCTTACAAGGATACTACCAAGGGGAGACTGCTGATAAAAAAATTTATGACAGTAAGCATGAATGTCAGTCTAAGAAAGAGTGCAACTGAACGTATGAATAAATCCATTCACAAATTAGCCAATAAATTAAAGCAAATTAAATTAGAGACAGAGTATTCTATCATCCTCTTCAGTTTATTTCATTTCTTTATGAAATTATGACTACAATATTTACCTCAAAAGTTCCGAAACTGGCACAAAGGAAGTATAAAACAGATGACTTAAAATAGTTTACACCTCTGCATAAGTTTAATAAAAATAGCTCTCTAAGGAATTAAAATAACTGATGCTTAGTGCTTCCCGATCATGGGGCTTGTAGATTTAATTCAAGAACCTTAAAAGAAAATGAAAAAAAGAGGTAAAAATAAATCAACGATGTTGTCAAATCATTTTTTTTCATTACTGGACACCTAATCCAATCTGAGAAAGGATAGGTAGGATCGAAAGCAGAATGAAAAAATGAAAATTTTAGGTCTCTGATCAAATGGAGGTTGGCTAAGTGCTACTAATTAATGCTCCTTTTTTACATTATAGTAACCGATTATAACGATTATTATTTTTTTGATTTAAGCTACGCAGAAAGTGAAGAAAACAACAAAATAATAGAAAAATACAGATTTGCAACACAGGTGCTGTAAGAAAGAACAGTACAGTCTCATACAGCCACCATAACTTAATATTAAGAATTAAAAAAAATAAAAAATAGAAATAACAAAGGTTTAAAAAAAGGATCGGTCGGCGAATAGAATAATTGATGGGTAATTTATTAAAAATCAGTTGATAAAAGAGAAGAGAGGAATAATGTTTGTACAGTGTTCACTTAAAAATATGATTCAAGGATTAAAACTACAGCACAAAAATGAAATTGCCTCCGAAATTTAAATCCACCAGGATCGTAATACGGTAAAATAAAACTGCGCTGCAGGAGAGCTTGACTAATTAAAAATTTGTCACAATGTCAATTTGTAATGAGAGAATAAATTGGGGGCTAAGCGCTCTCTTAAAATGACAAGAGCCAGCAAATTATAATAAAATAAACTTGGCAGCTGACGAAATTGGACTTTCCAATGTTTTTAGCCTGTAAGTCACAGAGCAATGACTGCATACTGTCTACAACTGTAAAATTCATCCTTCGCAACTGGGGGTTTCTTGAGATTTGGGGAGAAACCATTTCTTTTTTGTGGAAGTGCTGTTTGGAATTACCATCTTAAAATGCATCAAATTTCTTTGGAATTAGTTAACATTCAGAAGTAGCTAGACGCAGTGACGAGGTGGGCATACCTCAATATTATTGTTTAATAGGCTATATTTTGCATCATAGAAAAATTAAATTTAACTTTGGTGATGATTAAAAATATCAGCCGTTAGCCCTAGCTATTCAAATGTCATATTTACACCAACATTTGAGGTATTACAAAATTATTTCCACAAATAACCAGTAACTAAAATAATTTACTATAATAAGCTCATGTTGAGCATACCGATCACAATAGTCTTATACTAAAGAAACTAACAACATTTTGATACACACACATATATATTTATATATGCATATATATTTAAATATATATACTTTCCTTTCATAAATTTAATTTTATGTAACAGTTTATTTTACTCATAAATAGATATAACAATGATTTTTTTTCTCCCCTGTTTGAGAAGCTGGACATTGACACTAAGATGAGACAAACAGTTGTATCAAGTCCTGGAAAAAAAAAAAATCAATAAGAGCCAGAAGTAGACACTGATATACATGAGGATGCAGCTAATTTTAATGTTTTCGAAAATCAATTTACTCAGGTCTTTGGGTCTCAGTTGCCCACTCATACAAAGAAGGGAACATCTGTGACAGTTAGGATCCATGTTTTTTTATGTTTAATTCATAAACAAAAAGCAAAATATAAAAAAAATTCAGGGTTTTTCCAATTTTAAGAACTCATTAAGCGCGAACAAGGCTCTATCACACTTCTGAGAAAAAGCCGCCACGCTTGTTCAAGCCAGTATGCCAAAGACATTGAATCACATAGACCGTGCATCCGGCTTGGTTTTGCAAGGGCAAAGCGAGCCATGTTTCTCGGAACCCCATAATGGGCGGGCAGGGAAATGGAGAAGCATGTGTCTCAAGCGGTCAAAGAGACTGCGGAGAAGCAATGGAGAATCCATTTGTGCGCTCGGTTTTTCGAGAATATCTCATTTTGAGTCCATTTTCAGACAAAATTCCAAGGAAGAAAAGTTTTAGAACATATAATTTCACAACCGAATAGCAGTGTTACATTTTCGGAACTAATTATTAACCAAGAAACAAAGCCTTTCAATCCAACAAAAATTCACTGGAGCCGATACTGCGCATGCGCAGATGTGCGCAATTGGGACACATGAACTCATCGATACTGGTCGGTGCTAACACTCATTGGCATGTGAATTTTTAAAAGTTGTCTCGCCTTCCGTAACACAGGATGCATGGTTCACATGATTCAATGTTTTGGCATTATGCAAATGAATGCAAGAAAATAGAAGGAAAAGATAAAAAATTCTATTTTCAAACACGCGTCTTCGTTTGCCCATTTTGCAACACTGCTTGTCTGAAAAAATATAGCCCCAAAAGCCTGAATCTCTTTAGACGCTGGATTAAGAGAAAGCTACGTTTTCCACTCATAAATTGAATTTTTTGGGGTCATAAATGAGCTTTTTCTTTTCTTTCTTTTTTTTTTGGATGGGATCTTCCACTTAGATTCACCAGCAATTACTCAACAGTATTTTTAAAGAAAGCTCATAAATAAAAAATTATTGATATTCAAGTGAGGATCATCTTTGACACTCAGATAAAAGTTTAACTTTATTTACCCTTTCAATTGAGCAAGTGTAACTGAAAGCAGAGTTCTAAAATTATGCAGTCAGTAACATCCCTTGCATTTGCTACTTCTTTCACACCAGCAATTTATCAGAAAATTGGCACTTCTATCTCATAGAAATTGTGGCTCAGTGGCGTGGCGTGCTTTGCGATATATTGATTGATACGCCACTCAAACCTATGAAAAAAGATCGATTATCAGGGTGTTCGCAGCGAACACCTTAGTAATCGATTCTTTGCCATAGCTTCAAATGGCAAGATATCGATAATCGATTATTCACGCCACGCCACTGTTGTGGCTTGATAATGTATTGTCTTTCCGGCATCATCCAACAGGATCCAAGTTTCCGTAAAATATCTCCTATTATAACCAGTTGAATGATAGCTGGATGTCTGGTCCAACTCTAGAATTTAACCTAAATTACTCTTGAGTAATTTGGCGCATCATATGACAAATTCAAAGCATAAAGTATCAAATATTCTTACCCAAATAATTGATTAAGGCTAGCATTTATTAACATCTGGAGGTGTAGTTAAATATTCATCCGCTCGTTTGTGGTCATTCAAAGCACGGACAGTATAAGTATCCAGGGGCAGTTCAGACTTTTTTCGAAGGAATATTCGCATTTTATCAGAGTTAGCAGGCTTTCGCCCCTGGGGAGAAAACAAAGGATACAAAAATTAAAGAGCATGTGACGCAAAATAAAATTAAAAATATATCAATGACAGCTTTGGTAGCCAACGCCTGACAGCAGTTTCAATTTTCACCAAAAAATGTAACCCACCAAAAGAGGCAGCTTTACGTCTCTTTGGGTAGTAGGATAGGGTTAAACACTTGCAAATGTTTTGCTGCAATGCCAGAGATTTTAATGTTAAACAACATTCAAATTTTTTTACTTGAAAAGAAAAATATCATTCTCTTGAAAAATTTGCCTAGGACTTTAGTCCCTTTACTAATGAATGGTCAGATCAATATAATTCAAGAGAAAATTCAATGATAAGGTTGAATCTTTGGAATTGGAAAGTAAACCATGATCATTTTTCGACACCTTCTTCGACTATCAATTCACTGCAAGCTGTTATGGGTAACTTTTCATTTACATTTTGTTATGAGCCAGAAGGTCCTGTTACGGTGAACAAAAGGGCAAGTGATTATCTGTCCTAAGGTGGAAGCTATTTTACTAGAGGAAATAAACTTAATTTGATATAAAAGCTACATACGTCTTTCACTTCAGCTTCAATTTTTTCGTACGAGATGTCCATATCCTCGTTTTCACCGGGTGGAGAAGTTGGAGCAGAAGTATTAGAAAGTGGTCGATAATTTGGATCATTTTTCTTGGCCAGACTTTCCACTCTATTCCATGCTTGTTCTCTCTCCTTTTGTTTTTCTTTCTCTCTGCACACAACAAATTGAGAAAAATGGGATTAATGAAAGACAATCAATAAGAAAAAGTCCATTACTTGGGAGCTTTTTTACATTCAGAGTTTCCATTATATCTTCCCCTACCCTTACTTTCTCTGCCTTTCCTTGAATTCCTCTCACCTTCAAACAACACGTTCACACAATTTTTTTTCTACAGATCAAAATTATGGAAGAAGGTACTTGGAAGTTAGTTCCACTCTCTCAAATGGCACCCGCTGAAGTTTCCACGCAGACACTCAGTTAGCCAAATTTCTTTCCTTTTCTTCCAAATTTCCAGACATTTCTAAGTCGCTGTAATTTCCATGACTCCAATGATCCAGGTTTTCCAGAAACCCTTGTATTCCATCTCTTTCCTGTATTTTCATCATTTATCTTCCATTCTCCATTTTTCTATTTGTACCAACAAGACCCAGGAGCAATGAGCTCTTACCATTGCTTTCATCTTACATATATTTTAAAGAATCAGAAATTTAAAATATAGTTTAACTTGAGCTTTTTATAAACTTGACCTTTGCTCTGACCCGCGAGAATGGAAAGTACAAAATTTTGCATAATAGATCTTAAAGTCTCCAAAAAAATACTGCACATTTTAAAAAAAACTTAGGTCAGGAGTTTCAAGTTGCATTATAAGGTGCAAAATGTAAGTATTTTCATCCTCCATTTTGATAATTTAACTTTGGTAGCTGTATAAAATGTGCAAAATTACGTTCCAAGTGGAGACAATTTCCTTTGACAAAATTAACAAATTTGTCCTTTTTGTTAAAATCAGGTAATTTGAAAGTTAGAGTTTTTGATATGACTCATTTTTTGTTAATTTACATTTTCAAAGTTTATAATCTTGTGTTAATAGTCAAACGATTTCCTTTGTCAAGTTTTTTCCCTAGAGGTCTTAAATTCATGTGTTGGGTTTCCCTTGAAAAAGACTGATTCAAATATCTTTTACCATTGGAGAGATTAGAGATTCACTACTTTAAATTTCTAGTTATTTTAAGTTTGACTGAAGAAGAGCAAACAAACTTTCATCCGAACTAATGTCTGCACATTATTTATGCATGCGATGATGATGCTAAATCAATTAGCACTGTCATTATGGATGGCATGGCATGAGCCGGGACAATATTACACAAAATTCCCTCTGATTTTACCGACTGTACCATAATGTTGTAGGTTCAAAATGCTTTGGGTTAATAGTTATGCATGGATTCCAATATTTGAAAATACGGTTTTCCACTTCAATCCGATTAACAGTGGTTATAATGGGTACCTTTTTATAAACCAAAAAATTACTATGACTTACTTCTGTCTTTCAAGCTTGTACTGTTGAGAGCATTCATCGAACAGCTTCTGGTTCATTTCCATAAATAACTTGAGCGCATTATAAATCAGTCCATGAATTGTCCTGGAACGTACAAAAATAAGATGACTTCACAGGTGAAAGTTTTTTTCAGGTATAATATTTTTTAGGAATCAGTGTATGATCAAAGCAGAAAGTTATCCATCTGCAGTTTCTGATTTTGAATGTAAGAGCCTTGCCTGGATAGTAAGTTTCAAGAGTTCACAACCGCTACAGTATTGGAGATAGAGATTATAGGTAAATAACACCTCACAGTCACTACTCTCAGTTTTCAAACAAGGTTTTCTAGAGCCCTGGAAAAAAGATTTTTCTCAATTCTTCTCTCCTCTGCATTTCAACAAAGTTTCATAGGTCATGATCGGCAGAGGATCTGCTTTATTTATCATTTATCAGAAATAAATGAATAAGGGATGGTTTAACTACATGCAAAATGCAGCCGAGTACATACATTGCATGGCAGAAAATTAACGAAATAAATTTTCATATTTACCTTGCGAATAACTGGATCTTAATTGCAATATGTGCAAAGGTTACGCAAGATTTCGTTTGATATAGAGTTTCATTGCTAAATTTTGCCTCAACAGTATATGAAAGGTGCTCAGCTATTGGCTATTTCATCACAGAGGATGAATACTTGCTTAATACCATGGTCATTGACAATAACATATTGTTAAGATTGTTTAGTAGCAAACATTGTTTCTCCATATGATGCATTGTTGACAGAATTTCTTGGTGAATAGGCAAAATATACATGAAAGATAATGAACAGTTCTATCAACGAGTGAGGGTGAGCAACAACATTTAAAGTAACAGCTGTTCAGCTCAAACCGTTGAAGTAAGTGCTATCAATGTGAGCTTTCGGTGATAAAATGTGTTCTGCTCCATTATACACAACCATCTTGACCTTCAGAAAGTTATAAATGCAGCAGCTCTTGTGCTGATAACACACTGCTAAGTTTTGAAATCCCCCACAGTGAAAAATCTACTTTTCCAGGGTTCTAGAGGACCTATTTGTACATATTTTTAATGCTTCCTCAGGAAGCTGATAATAGTGGATGTCAGATGCTTACCAGGACTTATTACCTCTGTAAGCAATACTTGAGAGGATAGAAAATCTTACAAATTGTTTAAGAACACCGCTTTTACAATGTAAAAAGCATTTTTTAGGTGAAGCATCGTATTTCCCAAGGCTCAGGTCAAGCCTTATTGTTTCCTAGCACTTCTGATAAAAGCCTTGTGTTTCAGGCTCTTTTTTTCTTGAACTATAAAGATGATATCAAATTATTCTTTAACTTCCTTAATCATGACGACAGAATGAAAAAAAAATTGCTGATGTGGAATCAGATGAAAAGTACATTCTCATCAAGTAACAGAGTCTTCATTTACAACATTTTTCACCTAGTTTTGGGAATGTCAGACTTTAAATGAAGGAGAAAGTAATGTTAAAGGTGTAAGGTGAAGAAAGACTCAAATACAGTGTTGCCAGAAAACACAAACAGGAGGGATGAGGGACCTCAATGTTCATACCAAAAAAATATTGAAGGGTTACCAAAGTGATGAAATTTTCTAAAATATAAATTTCTGAATCAGAAATACTAAAAGACGATGTCGTTCGCTTCCTCTTAAATTCCATACAAAAGAAGAACATTGTAAAACACAATGACTCTACTTTTTAGTTTAGTTGAATTAGGTCCTATTTCCTTGTAAAAATTCTTCACTAGGCTGCAATTTAGAAAGCATAAATGAACACTCAAGTTGAAAGATGTAAATACTTACTTATTCCAATGTGACTTGGAATTACGATACAAAGAAGGAAACATAATAGGCAGTATGACCGCAGCATTATCACCTATCAGGGACATGATATACTCGTTGTTCCAATAGTACAATGCTCGTTCAGCCACCTGTTGAAAGAAATAACTCAATTACTAAAAATTAGGATACTGCAATTTAGAAGATAAGGTGAAAGGGGAGTAACACTGATTTAGGAGACAGTGGCATAATTTTGAGGGGGGGGGGGCAATAGCCCTTCCTGTGTTTCAAAGGTCCTAGATTCAAAACAAGGAAAATGGATCAAACTTGCCGAAAAACTCGATTTTTTTATAAAACTTTTCATCATAGGTTATGAATCATAGTATGAGAGAGGTTGAATTTGTTCGGAGCATTAGAGGTTGAATTTGTTATCATGTTGTCTTGACAAGCAAAAAAAATAAGACATTTTCCCCTCCTCGTCCCTCAAGGTTTTGGTGAAATGGCATCACCGCTAGGAAAATAGGCTCACTGACCAGGTTTATATCGAAGCAGAACAGTACACGTTACACATGATCCTAAAGGTTTAAATGAAGAAATCAATGTGGTTATCCAGAAATTTCAGAGTCAAATGGAGATTTGTGCATTATTGCAAGGAATAGGGTGCATTGCAGACTGCTCACAAATTTTAGTGTAGTCCAAAAATAATGGAGTTCAGCGATCTTTACGACATTAATTTCTGGTTAAAAAAGTGAGGATTTTTTCTTGTTTATTCAAACTTGCGTTCAACGCCCACAGAATAAATTGTAGTCTGGTTTTGCTGAGAACTCAAGATCATTTGGAAAAATGAAACAATTTCATCTTTTTCACCATGCTTAAAACTATAGGAAACAACCATTTAGGAGCTCATCTTTTCTAAGCTGAAGTGACACACAGAAAGTGTCATTGTGAAGAAAATAAATAGCTACATAATTACCTGAAAATGGGGACTAGACACACACTTCGCTATTTGAGTGAATAATGGAATCATGACCTTTTGAAATTCTCCCGGTTCGATGACATCCAGTATTTCTTCAAGTTCATTTAAAAACATAACCTATAAATATAAAAAAGTCAACAACTTAGAATTGATTTGGATTTCATAAATCGATTCTCAACCGAAAGATCAAATAAATTTATTGATTTTTTACACCAGACAACAAAGAAATTTTTTTTTAGATTTGCCGGAAAATTGTAATCTGATTCAGGGTAAATATTTAGCAGTGTCTAAAAATGACACGATTTACTGAATCAATATGATTATGACCAGAAAAATTGGAATTCACCCAAAAATAACAACCGAATGGGTTAACTTTAATTTTTCTGGAAAATCAATGCATGATAGAGAAAGACAAGGGCAATATTCGGAGTCAGTGGCCAAAAATACATTGGTTGACATCCATGGCATGCCTGAGAGCCTTCCGCGCTGTTTTTAATGACAGAGTTTTGATGGTCAAATGCCTTGATTCATCCATGTAACCACTATGTAAAGCTTATCTGATTGTTTTGCCATCATGAATATTAGTATTATAAAATTGTGAATACATCTAGAGAGGGTGATGTTTTAATCGAGTAACTCTCCAAAAGATGTCCAGAAAAAGAACTACAATACCTCTCATAGATAATATAAACAATACAAATCCATAGAAATGAGAATTAATAATACAAGAAAAATCCTCGAAAGAAATATCCTCATGTGGATAATGTAGAAAAAAAAAAAAAATAGTAAATTACCTCTTTTGGGGAGTGGGTTTTAGGCCAAAATTTTAATAGGCACTTAACAACTGGTTCAGTCAAAGAGGGGTCCTTCTCCAAGAATTGAACAACACAGTACGCCAACTGAGGGTGATAAACTGACAGTGATTTCACTTTGTGCAATGGCAACAGCACTTTCACTAGAAAAACTTTGTGCTCGTCTTTCAATGGCAGAGCAAAACCATTAATTATACTGAAAATAAAAACGGAGAGAATTAGGCAAATTATGATTTTTCCCTTTTAAACAACTTGTAAGTTGCAAAAACAGAAAGATTATGACAGTCGCACACTTTCCACCTCAATTACTTTGAGTGCACGGTAACACTGGGGCTAATTGAGTCATATCTTGCACCAAATCTACTCATGTATTTAGAAATCGGTCAGCATTCAAGAGGGGGGGGGGGATCTAAAAGTAATGAATTGAAAAAAACTTTTGTTCTTCAGAGCTCTTGGGCTGATGAACAAGGACAATCTACACAGGCTATTTTTGCGCATCTTTTTGAAATCCACTCCCCCACCGGACTCTCACTTGACCTCAGCCATTATAACGTATCATTGGCTTCTCCCACGAGAAATGCATTGGATTTAAATTTCCTGCCACCAATGCCCAGAGCAGTGGCGTGGCGTGCTTTGTATCGATTGTTATACCATTTACACATACGAAAAAGGATCGATGAACAGGGTGTTCGCAGCGAACACCTTAATAATCGATTCTTTACCATATGTTTAAATGGCAGAACAATCGATACATCGCAATTCACGCCACGCCACTGGCGCAGAGGGGTCTCAAAATTTACCCACAGGAATGACTGACCTGTGTAAATTGGTCTTGCTAATGAAGGTACACTTTTTCCTCAGTTGCCAGCAATCAGGTTCGTCCAGAGAGAAATATGGGAAAACCTGCCTACTTGGACAAACATCTCGCAAACTGTTTCCATTGTATAATTTTAATTTTTTTAAAGCATTTGTTTCCCTCTTGTTTCTTTGAGTTACAAAATAAAGGTTTTAAAAGGACTGAAATTACACATAACATGAATGAGTAACAATTTGCGAGATGGTTTTCTTTTTTTGGGTTCGGTTACTTAACTGATAGTTCTTTTCAAGTAAACCTGGTTGCCAACAATTCAGAAAAAATGCCTGCAGAAGCAATGAATTTACATGAGTGATATAGAGTACGCAAATTGTATGGTGAGGAGAGGATTTTAGAAATTTCTGATATGCTCAATGTTATTTTTACGCAATTTGACCGATGAAAAGTTTACTCAGTTGGCTAAACCTCATGCGAAACATGTGTGTAACAAAACCATCTACCTGGATTGGCATAAGACTTAACAGACGTTAACATTATCATCAAAGAAATTTAAAATTTAGCATTTACTTTTAAAGAAGGCAATGATAGATGTTTCATGAGCATAAAAGCATATAGTGAATGATAAAATTCAAATCTTATTAAAATGAAGTTTTTATAGACAAGAGATAACTCATAATTACCTTCCAAGAATTTCTAACAGTTCTGCTATTCCATTATGATGCTCGGTTTCATAAATAAAACTGAAAACACACCAAAAAAATGTATGTAAATGCGATTTTGTTAGATATGATGAGATTTAAATCATGCAATTTCAACAACTTGCAAAGCACGGTAGGACTCAATTTGATAGCAAACTAACATTTGAGACACAGAGGAAAACCATAACTAAGAAGAAGAGATTTTCAGCAGTGAGAGTTGAGTAGAAACCAGGAAAAACAATCAGGGACCATGATACATTTCAGCCGTTGTCTACTCTGTTGTGTGCCTTGGTATGATTATTAACGATAAAACATAATGCCCTTTCGATATAAATTAGTCACTTCAAGGCAAGCACTTCGAGTGAGATTACCTTTTTAAGAAAGTTTTAAACTTTAAAATGCATCAACAAAGTTTCTTAAATAAAATTGCACGCACATTTCTTGAATAAAATTTTATATACTTGATTTCAAACTTAACATAATTTAAGAAACTGAACTTCCTATCGCAACTCTTGACTAGAAGTAAATTGAAGATTAACATTCATCCTGAAACTTGGGGACATTATTTACATATTTTCTGAAAGATGGCATTATTTATCAATGCACAAAATGCTCATCATTTTCTTTTGTCTTCCGAAGAGATTTAGTCCTCGAAGATGATCCTAGGAAACACCTTCCAAAATTTAAGGACAAGTGACCAAAGCTAACAAAAAAAATAAAAATCTATATTATTGAAGGATTTACATACCTATAAAAAACATTATTAATTTGTTTGCGGATATATGCACGTAGCCCGAGGAATTTACCATAAATTCTGTGCAGGGTTGTTTTCAAGAAATCTCTTTCTCTGGGGTCTTCCGAGTCAAATAACTCCAGTAGCTAGAAAGAAACAAATAATAATGGATTATGAAATATTCCACAAATTTGGGCTCAGTTCTGCGTGAAACTGATCATTTTTAGGAAAATGAAGATGGTAAGACATTGAATCAATTAACTTGTGAGTGTAACTCCGTACTTTACGTTTACATGCTCACCTACCAAATTGGATATGTACTTCAAAAAGAGCATAGATTCAAACATCCCCCTCCCTGGGTATGAATTTTTGAGTTGTTTTAGAAGAAGTGTCTTGATAAGAGCAACTGCTTGCTTTTTTCTATGCTTACGTCTAACGAAAAAATGCGTATAGAGATGAAAGAATCATTAACAAGAAACCAAAATTATGAATGACAATATTTTTTCAGCATGATTGCTCTCATTAGGTTATTCGGATCCATCTGTATAGATTTCTATGGTTTCTATTGGGTATAAAATTACCTTTTATACCCATATACTATTCTTAGTTTATTGATTTTAAGACAGTGAAACAAGTGCACACAGTTTGTAGGTAAACATACCAACACTTTCAGAGGAAACAGATACTACAAGAAAAAAAAATAAAGCAAAAAAAAAACTTACCTGCAAGACAAATTTCTGATCGATGTACCTTTTGGCTATATTTGGTTGAAAATCAGACGATTCTAGGAATCTGCAGGATGCACAGAAAACATAAATACATAAATTAAACATTAAAACAAAATAAAACACAAAAATTAAGAAACAGGTTATACCTAATACAATTCTATGAAAGCTCTAGAGACAGCCACAAGAAGCGCATATGGTGTTGAAAATTAAATGTACCTAACAAAAAACACTGGCACTGCATTTGCCTGGTCATGTGGACTGATTATTCGAATTTCAGCCTTATCACAGGGTTACGATAAGGCTCATTTGAAATGGAAAGTATGACTGACTGATCGCTGCGAATGCTGTGATTTTTTGTCAAAGCTTAAAGCTTAACTGAAAATGTAAAAAAAAAATACTAGGACCATAAAAGGTAATATCATCTAGGGTAATGGATGACAGGCAAAGGTGAATGATTTCTATAGATTCTCATAAAAAAAAGTTACTGAACAGTTAAGGATTAACTTAGTTTCAATGTAATGTAAGGTGCTAAGCATACCCTTTTCTCATAGGATAAAAAACTTGAGCTCTTGGAAAGCAGAAATATCCCTGTAATTAAATAAAAAATAAAATGAAGATACTGACCTTAAAAAGAACTCATAGACAAGCTGTAGATGAGGCCAAGCTGCTTCTAAGTTAGGCTCATCTTCTTCAGGGTCAAATTCAGCTCCATTAGGATTACTAGATGGAGGTAATGTTCGGAAAAGGTTCACCGCAAACTGCAAATTAAAGGTTAAGATAGAGGTTTTAGACCCACAATCAATACAATTATGGGAACTATTATTGAGACTAAAATTACATGACTTACATTCCAAAAAACAGCAGTACAATTTTTTTGTTTGAATTCATTTACTGAATGTACGTGAAATTAGAATGCTAGCATTTTTACTTTCTTTTGACCAAATATCAGCGGAGAAAATAAACTTTCAAAGACGCCAAAAATCCAACCCCATTTTAACAGGAAAATATCGTGTGAACAGGTTTTGCGACATCACAAGAAGAATTAACCACTAAGTATCCTTAAACCCGCATTTGTTTATTTACTTTCAGGTCAAAAATGAGATCTTTAATTCTTTATTTGACATTCTTTACAAATGTTTTATTGTATAATCCAATGGTATGAGAGGTAATTACTAAAAAAATTTAGGAAAAATTAGTTTGATAACTTTTTGTCTTCCCTTCTGCTTTCTTGATTTAGCAGCTTCAAGAGTTTCAAACCGGTCGGTTTACAGGTTCTAAGAGTAAAAATCTGGTAACTAGGTAATAAAGTTCGAAATTTTTACCATGTGAACAGCTTCTGCATAGATGGCTTCTGTTATTACACCTCGTTCTATGCTGACATAGTCCACCATTTCGTGGAGCGCTGCTCTCTTCACTTCCTTCCATTTCAAGTCGCTCAGAGGATCGGACACAAAGTCAAACAAGACACAGCACTGCCGGATTTTTTGTATGAACAACTCTTCTCGTTCCTGGGGAGTTTGAGCATCTGTAACCAAGAAAAAAAAGCAATGATGAGTATACTAAACTACCAATATCCGATGAATGGAGAAAATATATTTCAAGTTAGGACTTTATGGGTAAATTTAAAAGATAATTAGAGTTTTAATTTATTTTTTGGGTCTAAAAAATCTAAAAATCGATGAAATGATGAGCTGCTGAGTGGATTCGGCTGATTTTGATACAGTTGTCATTCTTAATCCTCCTCCAGACTTTCCTGGGTTTCGATGGAGTATCAGTTGCTCACACTTGCCGATTCTGGACCAGTTTTTGCTCTTTTTTTTAATAGACCGGCTTCTGTATAAATGGCTTTGTCAATTCTTCAAGCTGTTTGATACGCCATCAACAGCTGGAGCCCAGAGGTAGCAAATGAGTGATGGGAGATACAATCATTTTTAATTTTTATGAACTTAGTGGTCAAGATCTTACCCGTCAAAGGTGGGAGCTGCACCGGCATTGATGTGTACATTGAATTATCTTCACAAGATGCGTTTTTTTGCATGTTGTCTGAATTTATAATGGTTTTCGAGTCGGCGAAGTTATACAGGGAGTCAGCGTTAGCAGCTGCAATGAGGTCTAGTCCACTATGGAAGCTCGGACTTTTGGGTATGCCGAGAGGAGATGTGACAGGGAACATGGCCCTAATGGTGGGCCCAATCTCACTGTGCACCATATCTGACCCAGAATGGGCCCTGACTTCCCAGGAATCTCCACAGTTAAAGTCGTCGTGGCTGATTCCTTAAAGGATTCCTGATAAGTAATGTCTAAATCTTCGGCAATCACTTTTCTGTTAGATCATCTGTGTCATATTGACAGTGACTTCTTGTCCGGAGGAAACTATTTGACCGTCAATTGTAAGCTTTGCGCTTTTCTATCGGACTTTAATTTTTAAATGTTCACAGTTAAGTTCGATCCAAGAGAATGACACTGAGAATAAATTAAATTTTGGTTCTCTATGCTATGATACAAAGTGTAAAATCGCTAACAGCAGAAAATTGGACCTTCCGTTTGTAGCAAGGGTGTATGAAGAATGAATGATACAAAAGAGGACGTATAAAAATATGCGAGATAAAACTTTCTTTTATACACCGAGAGGTACTATTTGAACGTGAAACAACAGAATGATTTAAAATAGAGATGAAATTTTAAACTGGAAGAACTTGATTACAAAACAGCACTTAGAGGTGCTTCGGTTGTTAAAATCTTCTGAGTTCGTAGTTGGATAACTTCAACTCAACTGGTAGCAAATTGAAGGTTTAGGTAGAGCAGGGTGAAAAGGTTTAGAACAAGTTTACACCGCTTAGAAAAAGTTTAAGATGAACGGTAACATTCAATCGTTAGAGTTGCACCGCACAAATTTGACAGATAAAAGCAAAATTTGATGAAACTTAGAGAAACTGAAGGCAGCACGAAAATATGTATACACAGGTGACTAAGAACGGAAGGAGAACGTCGGCTAGCAATTGAGGACCGTACCTCTACGGGAAAAGTAAAAAGGGGAAGGAGGGGCGGAAAACACGAGACTAAACGGAAAAATGTCTTAAGACATTCGCATTACGCCGAAAAAATTGCGAGGTTTCGAAGGGCCGATTGCAAAATGTCGCGGATAGGGGCGCGGGAGGGTTGCGGGGGTGAGGGCCGATCGACATCGTTGCCGTATCAGCACTTTCCCCCGTGCAACTCAATTTACAGTATGTACATTACGTGGACAATCTGACAACCTCGCCGATCAATGAAGAACCGCCTGCGTTGCGTACGCACGTGCTTCCTCCCGGTTGCCATGACGACACCCATGTCCGACAGCCCTGCACTTGCACCTCCGTCATTATTTCATCCCTTGCGAAGAGGTGGCATCTTCGACTCATCATCAATCCATTTACTTTCGACCGGAAAATTAGATGATCCGCGAAAAGAGGCAGAGAGTTTCCGGTTCCTATCGGACGGAATACCCCGTCAACTGGCGACGTCAAAAACTTCTGGGCCGCTCATAAATTACGTCACGTATTAGGAGGGCGGGGGGGGGAGGGTCCGGTGACAGCCGCGTGCCGGGTCCATGGTGACGGGAGGGGTTCAGCACTCCTTGACGTCACGAGAAATGCAGGGCATATCACAAATTTTGTGAGTATTTAAAAGTACTTCGAATCAGAGAATCGGCGAAAAGTACCGATAATATGTCGTAAAATGCTAGAATACAGAGATTGCATTTTGGTATTTTCCTCGAGGATGAAGGAAGGAGGTTGGGGGGGGGGGGGGGGCTTGCATGGCGATGCGTGAGGAGGCGACGCGTGAAATTGTGAATTAGGGGGCGTGCCCCCTGACCGCTTCACGGTCCAATCCTCCGAGGCGCTTTGCGCCTAAGGCGTTATGCGTCTCTCTGATGATAAGGGGCTATGCACTCTGACCGCTTCGCGCGCCAACCCCTCGACGCGCCTCGCATCTCACTGCCGTGCTATGGAAGAACGCCGTATGAACATTCAAGAGTTGCCAAATTTCCTTCCATAAAATTATTATTTCTAAAAAAGTTATGAATATTTTTTCTTGAAATTTTCAGGAACTTTAGGTAAAATTGCAAACGAAATTATCTGAAAAATTGGAAGAAAAATATTAAAAAATTTACCAGGAAATTCGCGTTTTATTAAAGGGAATTTGGCAACGCCTAAAGGTTCATACGGCGTTTTTCCTCAGCACGGCAGCTCAGGTGTTATGCGGTACTCTTATAAATTTATTACAGGGTAAGAAGAGTGAGATACGATTTCGTGATCGATCAATCGACCAACAGACTCAATTTTTTTTACCCTTTTGCTGAAAATAATTTTTTTTCTCATTGTTTGATTAGCTTTGGGTGCGAGGGGAATCAACTCTGTGCTTATGGCGGAGCTGCGGAGAATTGCGGAAAATTGACTCATGAATCAAGAGCTTTAAGCCCCCTAAAACTCCATAAAAGACTAAAAATACATAATTTTTTGACTAAAATAAAATCCTGAAAATTAAAAAAATAGGCTTTCTGTTTTTTTGCGCCCATTTTTGTCTTCAGTAGACCCATCTGAATGAGGCTAACCGAGTTTAAAGTCAATTGGAAACATTTATTAAAACTGGCCATAAATTATTTGAAAATCCCTTTAAAAACTCAAAATTTACCCTTAAAAATGCAAAAAACCCTAAATATTTTGAAAACCAGAGCTTGGGAATTTTTTAGGCCTTCATTTTAGTCATCAGTAGACCCCCCTGAGTAGAAAGAAACAGGTCCCGTTCGATTGGCAAATTTAACCCAAAATTTTGTTGCCTAGTGTTATCAACAGCTTCATGTAGTTCTGATAAACATTAAGTGATATCAAAATAATCGAATTAGAGTATCCAAGTAACCTTGCAATAGTTGTCTTGAAGTGAAAGTTTTACCTGACCCCTCTGATGGGGTACAAGGGACCCTTAACTTGTATGATCAATGGGCCTGTCTTCCATCTTCAGGGATTAGTAGTTTGGACGGGGTCATTCTGATATGACAGGTGGGAGTTTCGTGTGCCTTTAAGGTAAATTTTCAGTTACTTCTTTGAAATCAATCTTCTAAGTTATAAACCTACTACAACAAGCTCAGTTAGTTCTTTAATTTCCACTAATTGTATTTCAATATCAACTAATTTTCATGGGTGACAATTCAGGTGAAAGCACTGTGACGGGTGGGGCACTAAAAGTACTCCTCTTCTGCTTCCTCTCAGTCAGTGCTTAGAAAAGTCTTCTCTTCGAACAGGGATAAAAATCTGCAATTTTTGAATCTTGACACTAAGAATTTAGAAAGTAGCATTCCCATTAAAGTTCGTTTGGAGTAAAGTATGTAATTTTGGAGGCAGAAGACTAGTGTGACGGGTAAGAGTAGGACACAAGAGATTCTAGAAGTTTAGATCAAGTTTACAGAAAGTAAGAAATGGCCCAGTTTGAAGTCAACTTTTAAATAAGAACATTTAAACAAAGCTTCTGTCTAATATGAAAAAGTTTAATCCAACTTTTAGAGGTTGGGCAAAACGCTGAAGTTGGGTTTTAATTTCGTAACAAATGGGACAAGAAAAATTGGAATTTTCGACGAATTTCAGAATGTCTCTTTAGAATATGATCCGATTTTGTGTTCTTAATTTTCAGGGCAGCGCAATGTTATAGAATTTTTAAAATTGGTATCATGATATGAGCCAGAGGTAAAAAATAAAAATTATCGACTGAAGTTCATTCTTTTCCAAAGTGGCTTAACAAGGATGGACAGATTCTGAGCGTTTGTGTATAATTTAAATTGAAATTTTCTGTGCTTTCTGATTTTGATACATTAATTTCAAAATTTAATTCTTTCAAAATATTACAACTAGTTTAATTAGCTGATAAATTTCTACTTTTTCACTGGTTTAATTTCACCTAGAAAATGGTTAATCATTTCATAGAGCTTGGCAAACAACTTTTTCTTCATCTTTCACTGTCTAGTCCTCTTCTATCAAAGAAAATCCTCAGAGTATGTTACACCAGAATGTTGTGTTCCTTTTCTTTCCTCTTACTTAGAGGGAAAGAAACAATTACAATACTTACAAAATTAAAACTATGCAATGAATGGTTGTTTTTTAGTTTCACCACTGATTTTTTGACCCATTACCTAACTGAATTAAGAAGAATGACTCTTTCCTACCTTCTAAAGGCGGGAGGGATTGAAGCTCGCGGTTGGAACTGATATTGAATCTTGATGAGCTCTGTCGTTTGTCCTTCTTTATGTGAGCAGGACCTAACTTCAACTTGTTGATCTGTGTTGGAGGGGGTGCAGTGCCAGCATTATAATTTCCTACTTGAAGATTATACACTCCCATGTTCTTGGTAGCCTGGAAAAAAAAGAAAAAAAAGGTTGACGCTGGAATTTTTGAGGCACAAACAAATTTCGTAAAAGAGACTTTAATAGCAAATATTCTTTTTTTATGATATATTTATCAGTTTAATCATATGATATCATGAAAGCATCCTTAAATGGACCACATTGAACAGGAAGGAACCAAGCCACATCAGCTATTGCAAAAATTAACTAGGCAATTTGATTTTTTACAAAAAGACGTTTCGGCGGATTCCTTTGAAAATTTCAAGGAATTTGCTTCGCACTAAGCAGAAAATTCACTGAGCTTTGCACAAAAATCTGCACAACCGTTTTCACGTAAAAAATTAAATTGTCCCGTTCAATTTGGCAATAGCTGATGTGGCTTGGTTTCATTCTGTTGGTCAAATGATGCCATTGAAACACCCTTTTATGACGTCCTTGAAAAAAGCAAGTGGGGAGGCCCTGGCGTGCATATCTACTTAAAAGAGAATAACTTAAAAACACTTGCACCCTATGTTAGCGCATCAATGTCATCTTTGAGGCAACTAGTTCCGCAATCTAACTTTAGTCACGACTACAAGTTGCATTTTTAGACAATCTTCGCCAAGCCATATCACTTTTCTGAGTTCTTCCTATGCATGACTCTGCTTTGAGAGACAGTTATCTACAGCGAGCTGAATTGGCATCATCGCCATTGGTCAATCACGGCTTCTCTTTGCGGTCTGGCAGCACTCACTCCGCACTTGTCATCCAGATAAGCCGCACAAGCTCCGCACTTGTTGTCTAAGCAAGCCTCAAAAGTCTCTCGCTTGTGAGGCTTGCTGGACACAGCTCTTTTTCGGGCCACCTCATCCAATCACCTCCACAGCATTTTCTGCTGTACATTGATGTTCGACTGAAAAATGAACCCTTCTCCAAAAAGCAAAAATGGTCAGCACAAACCTCATCTCCTCCAACATCCATAGTAGGTACTTTTAGACTGCTAAAGCATTAAGCGAAGGTAACCGATTGACTGAATCCTGAAACAGACAATACAACCAAAAAATGAGAAAGTATATAGATGAATCATGAAAGAGGTTGTATTTATCTTGAAATTGAATTCTTCTTTCTGTCTAGTAGGTCTATTTGATCTTGGAATAATAGAGTTATGATGTTACACTGACAGAAGAATCGTCTTAATTGTTCCATAACTTTATGTATTCTTCTCTAAGCCTGAGCTGGTACTAAACACCTGCCAACAAGTGTTGAACCGTTCTTCGATGAGTTTTCCTTTCTACATCTCAATGCTTTTGTTCAACGGCAGGGTTCCATGTTAAACATACATTGACTTTATAATGGAAACCTCCAATGAAATGTACAAAACACTTAATATTCCTGCTTCGCAAGAGATGCCTGTCTTGCATTTCTATTCAAAAACGAATAGAACAGAGAGAAAAAAAAAGTCAAAATAGGGGTAGGAATCAACATTTTTTGAGTTACTGATAATGATGCTTATTTGATTCGTGACATTACAACCTCCTCAATTTACTACTGACAACTGCTACATAAGTCTCATGTGAAAGCCACAGAATAAAAAATTTTCAATGGAGTGGCATTTAATAATAAATTTTTTCATTTGAAGGAATCACTGACAAGAGAAAAGCTTAGAATTCCTTTTGACAGTTAAGCTGAGAAATTAACAGGTCCAGTTACAACCAGAGACTGAGCCACTTAACTTTGGAACGCCGAAAAACACATGAAAAGCTCATACTTAAATTTTAATTAATAAAAGAAACCCGGAACTAAAGTATGTTTTTGAACATTTCTAGACTTACATTGGCCAAATGACTGCTGAAAATAGTTCAATTTGGTTCATGTTATAAGCTCAGATACAATTACGTAAGCTTTACCTGCCTTTCTCCACTTAAAGTTAAAAATATAAAACCTAACTGTAACGATTCATAGACGATACTGAGGGTCAAAATTTTAGAAGAAAGACTCACTGCGAAAAACACTTTAGTTTAATGAACCGAAACGAATAAAGCTTGATTCTGATGTCCCGACAGTAACGTAAGTAATTACCCAAAGTTTGAGGATGAACTAACACAAAAGTAGAAATTTTACTTAACAGATAAAGATTATTAGGCCAGGCGAAGGTGCGGGTCATTTTTAATTGATCTAAGAGGGCAGCTAGTTAGTATGTAAACACATCCTGCCTTCATCATCTTATGTAGGAGTAAGAGAGGTAATTTCGAGGCTGACTACAGTTTTCTTACATTACACAAGGCAAACTAAGTAGATCTAACACGATGAGTAGGACACTTCAATGCTCCCTTGATTCTATTGAGTGTAATGATAAGAAAAAGTATGAGGGATTTTACAGGTTAGGTTCGGAATAAACATTTGATTTAGACCAACTATTGACAAAAATTAAACGAGGTTTGGTGAGTCTACTCAGGAAAGCTTTGCCCCTGATTGCGAGACCTGTCAGCATTAATAGAAAATATATTAGAAGGTGATGATAAACTTTGGGCAATAAACTGAGATGAGTGTTTTATTAAGACCGAGCCGACAAGCCACATAGCTGATCCGATCGTTACACTTATGGATGAAAAACCCAAGTTAATGGAAGTCAATAAGAAGTTGACGACAGAAACAAAACACCAAAAACGCCCAGCTATGAGAATGATCAATTATTTACGAAAAAAAAAAAACAACAGAATAACTGGGGAAACTTTGAAAGTTGAGGTAAGGACTGACAGGTCCATTGCAACTGCTTAGAATTGGTAAGTAGAGTTGATGAAAGCACAAAAATTAACTGGCTGTATTACCCGATTCTTAAATTTGATGATTAGTAAGTGGCAGGGGCCAGCGGCGTAATTAAAAAGGGCAAAGAAATTAAAAAATATATACTATGTACGAGCTAAGCCATTAGAGGACGATTCGGAGCAGGGTGAGAGCTTGGAATTTCAGAAAAATTGAGACACTAACCTGTGAGCAGGTCTGATTGCATAAACTAAAAGGCTTTCACGTCATGGAGATTATAAATAACTGGATAAAACAATAAAGACAGGGTTAAAAGTTTGAGGAATAATCATTCAAAATACGAATAACCGCGCACAGCCCTAACTATAACCCAAACCCAACTAACCTAAAGCGGTCGGTAGGCAGCAGGCAGCACACACTTCAGTCCTCAAGGTCTTGTCTTCCCGTCAGCAGACTAATCAAGAGAAGAAAATAAAACTCACTAACTGTGAGTTCAGCAAAAGCTACATTAGAAATTAAAAATTTGCGCGTATTGTGATCTCATGACAGTGCTTCACCCAGCATCGTAGAATTTAACAGAAGAAGCTTGCTCAAGAAGTCTGGGAGGCTGCATAATCCATTTTCAATCCGATTTACGTATAATTTTTTCATAATTTGAATCTTTTAATTCTGATTATTTCTAATCCATTGAGAATTTTTACAGTTTCGGGATATTGCCTCTCATTTTCGCCCCAATTTCAAGTTACTTTTCGCAGTTGGGGAGGGAGAGGCATTGAATATTTTTGTGAGACGTTTTAATGTGATGGTTGAAAGGTTGCCTAGCTTAAAATTGAAGGCGTTTCTTTAGAGCAAAGAGACGATGCAAATGCAGTAATGCAAAAATGCATCCCGTCATGAAAACTAATGAAAAATACTAAAATCCTCCACGCAATGGAAATCATACTCGTTTCAGGGTTGATTGTAGAAATATCTAATAAGTAAGTTCATGTAGCACATCGAATCAAAATTTAATATTCCATTCTTATGGGCTGACTGTCAGCAGGAGGGGGGGGGGGTTCAGGGACCCCCCCCCCCCCAAATTTTTTTTAAAATTTTGCCTCCAATCTGAGTAATTTCATGCTATTTCCGCGCTTGTTCAGACCACTTAAAACAATATTTTTCTCCTTTCAAAGTCGCAGAACTATTGGAGTTGTTGGAAAATTTGTCATGGGCCGTTATGAAAAATAACAAAATTTGGAACATGAGAAGAGATTTTTTTTTTCTTAAAAAAACATTTCAAACTTAAAAGGACTGTAGAACCTTATCTGAAAAGAACTGTACACTTTCAATGCCCGGATTCGGAATTGGAAAGTGATAACTGTATGTCGAAAACTGGAAGTTTGCCGAGGACCTGAAATACGTAGTGAAGACCGGAAGTGGTAGAAGAACTGAAAGCGGATGGTGAAATCTTCTTCTTAGAAATAAACGATGATTTGCAGTAAAATAAAACCATCAAACCTCTCTCGTTACTTTAAAGAAATCTATGATGATGAAAAATCTTAGCAACACTGTAATGCGTCGAATCGCTTCTGCTGATCTTGATCTGCTACACTTATTACACCCAGGACCGGATTAAGAGGGTGGCCACTGGCCACATGGGCCGCGGCCCATGTCAGCAAATTTAGGGGGCGGCAAATTTTGCAATTTTTTTAAATATTGATATTAAAATCGGCATGAATACTTCACGCATTACGCCAAACACAGTGCGGTCAGCGCGGCGCGGTGATGGAAGTTAAAATTATTAAACTTCATTTATGTTTGTTCTTTTATAATTTTTTCGTTCATTTCTTATGAATGGGAGGCCTTGTCCACACAGAGATAGGTTTACGAAACTTAACTTTCGCGCAAAGTTCCGTGAGCTTTTAATTGCTAGTAGTGTTGAAAGGGCTTTCGCAAAAAATGTGTTCATCAAGAGTAAACGTGTCTTATGCACCCTTCCCCCGCTGGCACGTTCATTTGATGGTTTTAATTGATGATTCAAAACGAATGAGAAGGGGGCTGCAAAATACAGGCGGCCCATGGGCGGCAAGTAGGGAGGTAAATCCGGCCCTGTGTTGGCTCACAAACACAGCCTGTGACCCTTCCCTTCGAGTTCACCTCTCCGAAGTTCTCAGTAAGGGAGCTACCTCAGTAAAATTTATGTTGAGGGGGAAGGGAATAGACCTGCTAGATGCAGGCTCATGTAAATCTTTCGAGGACAACAAAGAAAAAAGCTATCGACTCAACTGCACAATTTCGTAATTAAGCAAGCGGATAGTTCACAGATTAGACTTTCCTAACTCAAATGATATTAAACCTGCAAATTTTTAAGCGAACTTCAGCAAAGATTCTTGAAGCCAAAGAAAAGCCCGTTTCAGATACATAAAGTAATTTTTCATTTTTTCGCTGTGAGCCCGAGATAGCTGGGACGCATACGTAGAGAAAGGACATGTGATCTGAAATGGCTATCGATAGATTCACAAAGACATTTTTCGACTCAATCAAAGCTCATGTGCTCATGAAGCGATAAACTTGCATGTTTATTGAATAGATAACTAATCGCGCTCCTCGGTTTGTTTATTGCCTACACAGTGAAATTGAAGGCGAACCTCAATTGGACAATAATGTAACAATCAGTGGTGGTCATGGCTCTCATCATCCATGTGTTCTGAGCTAGTTCTGAGGGAGGACTTACATTTTATTTGGCTCTCTTGGCTCTATGAATGAAATTCTGAAGTTTCCTTCTCCAGTAATTTTTCAAGTTTTTTAATGGGGACATTACGGAATCAGCTCATCGGTATTTTTGTAAGAAAATGAATGGATTGTAAACGGCTCCTGCTAAATGAAGTGTAGTGTAGTAGAAATTTTGCAGAGCTGCTAAATAGGTGTTTTTTCCACCAATTTTTCAGTCTCATTGATGTATGTTTTTCAAATATGCCGCGTCTCAAAGAATCTTCTAAGCCAATCATGGCGCTTTTAGCTTCACAGGTATCCTTCGATTGGTTAGTGGACTCACCAATGAGAAAAATCTTGCGGACTCTGATGGCTGATGGTCTTTGTTTTGTTTGTTTGTTTATGGCTTTTATGGCATGTTTGTTAACCTTACTGTGGATCTGTGGTGGTCACGCTGATATGGTGATAAGAACAAGAATAGTTTTGTATGCGTGTAATTCGCCCGCATAGTTTCTATCATCCCTTCTGTTTTACTGAGGCGTTAAGATGTAACATTTAACGAACCTTTCGACCATGGATAAAAGGATGTATGGCAATGGAGGGTCAAATTTTGACGAGGTCAGTATACAAAGTCTACTGTTGAATGCTACAACGCTATTGTTTTCCGTCTTCTCCTGTATCTTAAAAGTTTAAAGTCTGTGTACTGAAAACTGACCTACAGTTGCTCTGTCTACTCAGCACAGTATGTTTCGTCACGACTGTAGTTTTAAGAAATTTAAACTTCGCTTGTTCACCAACGATCAACTCTCTCTTCATGTGCTCAGAATTTCTGAGAAATGTCATGCTAAGAACAAGAAACAACGAAGCAAACAAAGACTACAGTTATGTCGAATTTTTCAAGCTAAATTTTAAAAACCGACCTAACTGCGCAGATGTTCATTTAAGGGTTGGGTAAAGATTCGTGTCTGGATATTTCTTACCGCCCCCCAGAATTTTAGAACTACTTAATGCAAGTCTATCAACAGTCGAGTATATCCCTTATCAGTGTCAGATCTTGAATTTTGCATAAGCTTGTAAGTATGTTACTTACTGATCGAAAGGAATGGACCTCCAGACACAGTTTGTTCCCCTCTGGGCAGACCAACACAAGTGCCATTTAAGGTGTGTGAGATGGGGTCTCAACGATAATTAGAGCGGCCTCATTGTATGTCGAAACAAAAGTCTAGTATTGTTTAGGTCACCACTCATCAGAGGTGCCATCTGACTGCATGTATTAACCTGTCGAGAGGGACATAATGTTGAGTTGGAGGTAATTAGAGATTGACACTCGTCTCAACATATGATGAGCCCGCTCTACCCGGTGAGAGCGCTGCGAGTTTGACAATCGTTTATGAGCCTCCGTTGAGACGAAGCTTTTTACCCGATGACCTGATGACTGTCGGTATTTGCTCTTGTCGATAACTTAGTGAGCACCAGATTTCAAAGAACGCAATTTGGTAAAGAGTGATGTAGGTATGACAAGGGAAAGACGCATGATTAAGAATGCTCCTGCAAATCATATTTGTTTATATCGTAAGGTTTTGCATTTTTACTTAAGTGCTTTTTCGATTTTTTGTTTATCTTGTTGTTTAATTTTTTTTTCCAGGGTCAGCCAGTGTTACCTGCAGCATGCATTTATTTACTCATGAACCGGTCGTATCACATATCTCGCAACACGCGAGCAATGTGGTTTTTGCAACATTTGAACACTGTTTTGACCATACCTCAAAGAACTTTGGTTGTGCCTGTAAGTATCGTAAATTTAGTTCTAATTTTCTGTAAATGGAAGCCCTTATTTATGCCATTATTCTATCTTTACCTGAAAATTGGGCTTTGAGACTTAGAAGTATGAGACATCTGTTGAAAGTGACCAACAATTGGTGCGATCGTGATTTTTGGTAGCCTGCAAGAGGTAAGCTAACTTTGTGCTGAAAACCAATTTCTTCTAATGCAATAAATCTGATACTATTTCATGTAATAATATTGACTTAAGATGATGTGAATTTTGTTGACAGAATGATTTGGAATTAGAGCTGGTTGTTTTGTCTGTGATACCTCAAGATCCGCCCTCAAGCTGGAAACCGGAATCTAGTCATTTGTTTCAGTACCTTGTCATCCCAACTTCAAATGTCATTTTTCTTGCTCACGTCTATAGTGCAGTGTTTTGTCTAGATATGAGTCCATCAATTTCTGCTGTTGTAAGTATATTGTTCCTTAGTTCTTAGGTAGTCTTGCAAGAGATCTTATTTTCCAATTTTGATCTACATTTTTTTTACTACTTTTTCGATTGCGTATGTTTTCGATTATGCTCAAATTGTCGTTCGGCATTTTGCAATTACCCCTTGCTATTGCCAACTTTTCACCATGCAAAATCATGCTTTGATGGGCAATTTAAGGTTTGCCCAAAACTAGTTACATTTCGCCAGCATTTTGGGTTTTGACTGTAACATTATAGGTATGCAATATTTCCATGAATTTTTGACAGAAAGACCTCCTAAAAGATTAGGTAGCACTATGAAGTAGCTGATTTTTGTTGACCTTTATTCCTTTGCCCCCTTCTGCACTTGTAACCTCGGAAAAACAGGGCATTTCAAAAATGTAATGAAATTTAAGTAAGTATGGTATGTTGCCTAAGCACTGTACGTTCCCAGAATTTAAAAGAACTAAAGTCAGCTATTCATTCCGAGAATTTTGCAAACACATTAAGTGTTATAAAATATTGTGGATGCCCCTCTAAAAATTATTCGCACTCCTGCTTTTAATTGCAGTGCTCACAACTTCTCTCTTGGAATAGGACAAGCCTCAAATCTTACAGGTAGCTTCCAAAAAACAATGCAAAAAGATGCTTTTTGCTCATGTGCGATCACTTTAAAGAGGTAAAATGCACTAAAGAGCTTTTACTAATTCATATAATGTCTCCTTTTGCAGGATATTCAGCATGGAAAAGTGATGATCAATGAGATTTTTATTGCCTTAAAAAGAAGTGTTGAAGGAATTGTGAGGCCTGTAAGTATAATTTATGCAGACAATGTTCTTATCAAAGCTCATCTGGACAGATTTTAACATAAAAGCACCTAGTTGCATTCTGAAGAAAATGAGTCTGGAGTAGTTTTGAATTTAACTAGTCTTGGCGCTTCGGCTCAGCTATTACTTGTTGCTCACACTTTGAACAACACAGAGCATGAAAGGAACACTGCTCAAATCAGTAACCTGCCAAAACCGTTGTAGTGCACAATTTGATACATGTAGTTTTGTGTTTTTTGAGTGAGGGGGCAAATATCAAATCTCCCGTAACCAGTGCTGAATGCTAAACCCTGGTCAGGAGTCAATGCTAGTACATAGTTAATTTTGCTCAACTCAGGTTCTTGGTGAAATTTTGAAGTGCCATCTTGTATAAGAATGCTTAAATTTGCTCCTTGTCTAGTGGTTCTATGTCAGGTTTGTATTGTATAGCATACAATTTGAAGATGAACACGCCTCAAATACTCCAAACAAAATATTTAATCCCCTAAAACAAGATTCATAGTTCAAGCAGACGTTCTTTATTTATGGTTAAGTATTTAGCTGTAAGTGTGGACATAGATGTCTATCTGATGTGCTGAGTTATGATATTTTCAAAGGATACATTTACATGAATTTTTAGAAAGAGTTCAGTTTTATTGACTCGTTTTTTTCTTTTTGCATTTTGTTGCAGCTGATTGTTCCTGGCTCCTGTATAGTGTTTGAACCTGATATCTATGTGACGGTTATTGCTCACACACCTTTTTTTACCACTCCAGCACAGCAGGTCCTAGTGCAAGGCTGGCAGTTAACCAGTGATAATTTAGATGAGTTCTTATCTGCCATTCAGAAACAGCTTCAACTTTTGGAAGACACCATAGCAGAAGTATCAGGCATTGCTCATGATTATTTGGAAACCGACCGAATGATGCAGGTAAAAATAAATATCTTATCTCATCTCGCACAATAAGTATATGTAGTGTACTTTAGAGTTGAAATTTCTGGTCATGAGAATGAAAGATTGTATTTACTTCAATATTGTAGAAAATGAACTTTGTAGAACCTCGATACCCGCTGTTCAATTATCTACAATTTGGATCTGTGTAGTTGATTGAAGAAATATTCTTGCTGTGTTCTAAGATTTAAAATAAAGAAATAGAAATAAATAAAAAGAAAAAGAGAGCCCAGAGAAAAGTCATTGAGTCATTCAGTCAGTCAGTTCAGTTCAGATCAGTTGAAATAATTATTTTTTGCTCAACTCTTGTTGAGTAGATAAAATGTATTAATTTCTTTAACAATGAAACTTGGTATATTTTCATCATTTTTAAAGGCATACAGTCTTTTCGGTCAAGCTTTCTTGTATCCTCCAGTTAAGAGTTCTTGTTGCATGACTTTACCCCGTCCCAAGGATGTGTGGCAACCTCTAAATCGTAGAAACTAACAGTGATCATCTGGCAGGTAATTTTGATTTCATTGTGAAATTATTTTTTCTTCAATTAAGTAGTTAGGCAGCTAATTTTTTCAAACTTTGAATTTACTGTATTTTCTAACTGGGTCACAGTTTTATGAAGACTTTTTGTTTGTTGTGTATCAGGCGGAGTCAGAGAAATTAGTCGGGAGCTTGTTCGAAGATGGTCCAGAACTAACAGGAACATCTGGAACCTCTCACATTGCAATGGTCAGCCCTGATTCCGGTTTTATAAATTTGTTACGTTATGGAATTCTAGCTCTTCGACTACTTCCAACTAGTAGCTCTTTGAGTAAGTATTCAACTCCTCATTCTGTGTACTTAGTAAACATTTTTCAGCAGTAATATATTGTTAATCGTGTTGAAAAACATATCAGCAGCTAAACTCATAACCATGAATCTTGATTGCAGGTATCCTATCATACTTAAATTTTCAACTTGAAATTCCATCAGCATAATTTCTTGAAAAGTTCCATAATTTTTTCTCTCTGTTTGGAAAAAATTTCAAGCAGTAGAGTTGGTTTGTTTACCTGATAAAAAATTAAATAGGAGCATACTTTTACAATTGAGGTATGTGGTTTTTAAGTTCATTTATTGATTCATTTCCTTTTTAGGTTGTAAATTAGACCTTTGACCAGGCAATCGCTCTTTTTCAGTCCAAATTTATGAATATCAAAATAAACATTTTTACCATTTGATTGTACCTTGCAAAAACAATATGTACAAGTAATGATTATCGACTTATATCGATTATTTATTTTTATCTGTTTTTCTTCCAGACTTAATTGTGGTGACCGATGGGATGATCACATTACCGGATGTCCATATGCAAGATTCTGTTTTGACACAGTTGAGGTGCAACACTGTTAGCTGCTCATTTCTGCATGTAGGAAGTCAGTTTCATCCATTTTGCTGCCAAGGGCTCATACCGTACACTGATCTCATGGAATTTATTGCCTCTGCAACTCTTGGAGCTTACATTCCGTCTTTACCGAAAGCAGTATGTTTTTATTTTTATTTCATGAGATTTCATATTCAGACATTTTTCCTGATTTATATTTTCTTTGAAAAGAACTCTTCTTACCAATGTTTCTCATAATAAAACATGTCAACGATGGTACAAAAATGTTAAAAGCTATCCTAATCAAATTGCTGATTTTAAACATCATATCTCCAAAAAACGTGAAGAAGAGCATGCACTGAAAATTTACTTTAGGTATTGTACTTTCGTAGCTTAATTACATCCTAATTACAGTCTCCTAATATTGTTGTTTTTACCATACTATATATAAGGCTGTGCAAACCTTCAAAGGTTCGAACCAAACAGCCAGTTCAGGTTTAGGAGGATTTTAAAATTTTTGATAGTGAACTCTGTATCTTTTTTGCATGTTTTTTTGTAGTCAAGGCTAGTCTAAAACTACAACAGGATGACCATGGGATGGTAGAGAGAGACAAAGTATCAATCAGAAGATATTTCAACAATTTTTTTTTCTCTCTTTTTTTTAGGAATCTGGTAGCACAGTCAATATTTACCATGAAGCATTTTTGATGTGGAGTTTCAACAAGAAATCTTCAGTTTGTGAAGTTTCAAGTTTTATCAAAGATGGACATTGGACCATTTAGTAAGTATTCGAGTCAGGTTCAACTTATTATCTTGAGAAAATAGAGCAAAAAATTTTTGTTCAGCAAGTCATAAGCTCAAAGATTTTCGAAAGATCTTTAGTGCCACTTGAATGGCATCATATTCTTACTCTCACGAAGCTAAGACGAAAATAACCTTCATAGAATGAGTACCACATAGGCTAACAATAAAAGTCTGCTAAGTTTTTGTAGTATTTTGAATGATTTTAACTGATATTGGCCTTAAAAAAAGAACTCCCTGCGAGCCTGAAATGAGTCCTTTCAAACGATTTCATGTTGAGCACATTCCAGATTTCTGTATTTTAAGGGTGATGTACACACCTGATTTTGCATTGTGCAGATCATGGTAGACATGATGAAAATTACAGCATTCTTTACACAGAAAAAATGAACATTCAAAATTTATGAGGTAGCAATTACTTGTGGTTTACAGTTGTAGGCACTCATGATTGTAACAGTACGGTTGTAATGCTTGTAATCATACGGTACAATTATACTATATAATCGTTAGGAGAGAAAACCTCAGTAGCTATAGAAATGGTCAGATCAGCGTTTTAATCTTTGTGGGTTATATGTATTATTTTTTGTTTGATAATTTTTGTGACAATCAAGCCACATTCTTTTGTTCAATACTTTGTATAATACTTGTAATCTACTTGAATTTTTTCAAATCTATTAGGTATTTAAACTCACAGACTGGCTGTTAAAATTTCTCTCTGTTCTTTAAGACAAATGAACAGGCTGCTTAAATCATCATACTTAGAGACAGATCTCCAAAATTGAATGTAATGGTATGTGTGTCCCATAATTTTCTGTCTCCTTACTTTTTAATCCTCATGCTTTCAGAGTTTTACCATCCAATCTGATTTTAGCGCTTAAATCTTTCCTTTCAGCAATCCCTCATTTCAAGGATATATGGAGTCAAATTTGCTCATGAAAAAGCATGCTGAGGAAGACTTAAATGCCAGCCTGTTAAGTGTACTTTGTTGTAGATTAAGAGAGGGCTATGTCGTAAAAGTAAGTAAAATTGTTTTATTTTTACATTCCATTAAATTATCCTTTTCCAAAGACATAAGCGCATATTGCTTGAAATATTGCACACATTGCTGGAAAAGTCAGGGAATTTTTGCCGCCGGGTTTTTAGACACCCTGCTAAATCTGAAGAAAAAATTCCGTTTTCAGTCGTGTTTACATAACTTCATCGAGTATAAAATCCTTAAGATGTCTGTCTCTGTGCTCCTAGTAAATATCCTGGAACCAGTCCATTTTGGTAACATTTTTTTAGTCATTGTACGAATTGGTTCATACTCAAAGCCCAAGAATGGAGGAATCTTATTGTTCAGATGTTAATTTACTCACATACGGTACACTTCATTGCAGGTCAAAGAAAATTTGGTCGTACGTCAAAAATTCAAGTCAGAGGTTAAAGTAAAATGCCTCCGTGGCAAGTCAGCATATTGATAGTGAATTTGCAAAAATGCGTTTCTCGGTTTGCAGTGTGCAGATTTCCTATCGTACTTTATTCTCTCTTCGGAAAACTTCCAAACGTTACTTCTCAGTGACATTTCCTCTCTACACGAAGAATATTTTGTGAAAATGTCAAGCTATGATGTTGGCTTACTCGTCTTTTAAAAAACAAAATAGAAGTGAAAATTTTGAAATACCATAACCAAAGTAGGCAAATCGGCAGTTTCATTGTCAGTATTCGGCTGAATTGCTTATTCACAACAGACTCATAGATTAATTATTTTTATATTTTGGCGTTTATCATTTAATGCCATTGAATGATGAATAAACATGTATTGAAAGCCTTGCACGGCTCCGTTGAAGGGAAGTTATATGAAAAGTGACTGGTCGTCTCCGAACTCTTCGGCATCTTCAAGTAGGGTAAAAATACTATGTTTTTAGCCAAAAATCGAAATGTGTTGTTCGAGCTCCTCGAAAAATAAATCGACTTTTAGGCTTTTTTCTCAAAAAAATCACGAAATTGAAGAGATTTCCATTTTTTTCAGGAACAAATCTTATCGCAAACTAAAATTTAATTATACCGAGAAAAAACTCTTGCTTTCAGCTTTCTAACGGTCTATAGTTTTTGTAATTTGGAGCAACTGGCCGCCTATAAACTGAATTTTACTGCAATCATTTCAAGGAATTATCCGCCAACTCGGACGGCCGGTTCCCTTGCATTTATCTCGGCTGTTTTTGAAGTTAAGAAAAAAAACATGCACACCGTTAGAAAGACCACACTCTTAGCTTTCTATTGGTATAATAATTTTTGAATTTTGAGCAACTCAACGCCGGCACATAGGAACTTTTCGAAACTATGTCCAAAAACGAAGAAATACGGGTGGCTCCAATCAAAGTCAATTTCTCGCCGCCCAAATGCACCAAAATGAAAATCCGACATGTCGTTAGAAAGCTGAAATCGTCAGCTTTCGAATGGTACCTTGGTTTTTTGTAGCGTTAAAAAATCTTGATTAAAAAATACGAATCGAAGTCGGAGATGAAACCTTGTATTTTGGCTACTCTTTTTTCTAGGGAGGCATCTCTTAATTTTTCTGCCGTCATTTTTGGGGAGAGTTTGGTCACTCTGAACATTATCCGAGAGTCCTGTGTCTCATATGACACATTATGAATCACACCTGTCTCAGTGAAAATTCATGGTTGCCAAATTTGGCCATTTATCATAGCTTTTCCTAATTACCTAATGTAATTATCGTGTTTTTCCGTGCAAGATGCCACCGTCCGAAAACAAGTTCTCTTGGGTTATTACATTGCTCCGGTTTTTTGCGTTAATGATTATTTTAATGTAAACATTGATTGATGATAATGGCACGAGATAGGTGAACATGAACAACATGAAGGAACGTTTTCCGCCAAAAATATCGAAAATACCCTTATTTTATGTTAAAAAATAAAAATTCGTTTTGAAAAAAAAAAAAAATTCGCCTTCATTTGAGCCTTATCCGGTTGACCAGCACGGTTATCCAAAAAGGAGCTAAAAAAAAAACCCTTTTTGGCGAGGCTCTTTGGAAAAGCTATGATAAATGGCCAAATTTGGCAACCATGAATTTTCACTGAGACAGGTGTGATCATAATGTGTCATATGAGACACAGGACTCTCGGATAATGTTCAGAGTGACCAAACTCTCCCCAAAAATGACGGCGGAAAAATTAAGAGATGCCTCCCTAGAAAAAAGAGTAGCCAAAATACAAGGTTTCATCCCCGACTTCGATTCGTATTTTTTAATCAAGATTTTTTAACGCTACAAAAAACCAAGGTACCATTCGAAAGCTGACGATTTCAGCTTTCTAACGACATGTCGGATTTTCATTTTGGTGCATTTGGGCGGCGAGAAATTGACTTTGACTGGAGCCACCCGTATTTCTTCGTTTTTGGACATAGTTTCGAAAAGTTCCTATGTGCCGGCGTTGAGTTGCTCAAAATTCAAAAATTATTATACCAATAGAAAGCTAAGAGTGTGGTCTTTCTAACGGTGTGCATGTTTTTTTTCTTAACTTCAAAAACAGCCGAGATAAATGCAAGGGAACCGGCCGTCCGAGTTGGCGGATAATTCCTTGAAATGATTGCAGTAAAATTCAGTTTATAGGCGGCCAGTTGCTCCAAATTACAAAAACTATAGACCGTTAGAAAGCTGAAAGCAAGAGTTTTTTCTCGGTATAATTAAATTTTAGTTTGCGATAAGATTTGTTCCTGAAAAAAATGGAAATCTCTTCAATTTCGTGATTTTTTTGAGAAAAAAGCCTAAAAGTCGATTTATTTTTCGAGGAGCTCGAACAACACATTTCGATTTTTGGCTAAAAACATAGTATTTTTACCCTACTTGAAGATGCCGAAGAGTTCGGAGACGACCAGTCACTTTTCATATAACTTCCCTTCAACGGAGCCGTGCTTGCAGAGTTCATTCATTAGCTTGTTTGATTTCATCCCTTTGCTTGTTTTTCTGCTTTCAGAGTGTTCAGCTAAAAGATAATCAATTGGATTTGATTCTTACCTTACCTTGGTCTCATCATATTTTTATTGAATATATTGTTTCTTCTCAGTGGCCATTAACCGTTCTCTCTAGTCAAGTTCATTATACCATTTATATAAGAGGTATTCTCACTTTTTCTACAGTTTTTTATTTTTCTCATCCAGGCAATTGATGAAACGAATTTTTTCGTCAACACTTTTTGTAAAGAATCAGGATTTTCATGACCAGGAAATTTTGCTTTGAAGTTGAGTATCAGTAACTTAGCAATGCCACTATAGCAAAAGAACTTATTAAAACATTTCTAAAACTATGAGCAACAAGAGATTTTGCCTGTGCTCTATTCTTCTCTTTATTATCTATTGGCCAAAACAAACTTTTTCATTGTCACTGATCCTGCATCCCATTGTAGGGGAAGGAAAGAATGTTCATCGCTTAAGTATCAAAATCTATATTTACTGTAGGCACAAGATAACTTCACACAATAAATCCAAACATTCCAATAATCAACAAAGCATAAATTATCCGTTATCCGTAGAAAATCTAAAAATTTCAAGATTATCCACCTCTCTTCTTGTCAAAGAACAATATCAAATAATGAGTAACTTAAAACATAAATCTCAGCTCATTTTTAGCGTGACCAAAGAGCCAGGATAAGAGCTGACAGAAAACAGGATCTCCTTTCCTGAAAGAGACATGAAAGAATTATCTAAGTTTCAATCCATCAAGTAACACAAGAGACCACTAAGAATAGGAAGAGAAATTAATCATACAAATACTTTGTAATCAAAAATTAATTAATTAAAACTGACCTAATATGAAGCTCAACGTACCCAGACAAGGTTCTTTTGATGACTACAGCCCTGAAAATTCTTAGTGAGAGCAATTTCCTAGCTCAATTCCCCAGAGGCAATCCTCAGTACTATTCCAATGATAGTGAGCAATATCAAATACTCACAATCTGGCGTAGCAACAAAAATGGTGCCAATTTGTATTGAATAATGCAGTCAGATGCAATATTTTTTTCTTTTTTCTTTCTTTCTTTCTTTTTACCTGTTATTGAACACTGTTTCTACGAACGCGATTTGTATTAGTGTGTTTAAAAGTTTTGGTAGTCGGTGTGAATTGTGATTTTTTGTTTTTCAGCTCCTTATGAGTTCCTTCATGACATTACGTGCCTTATTAAAAAGCCTTTTAGATCTCAGTTCAGGCAAGCAGTAGTTTCACGCTTCTGGACGACAATCAAAACCCTAACGCAGTCAGACCTGCTTCTAGCACACCTTGACTCTGCTTCATTCAATCCTGATGCCTACACTTTACCCGATAGTATCCGTAGCGGCATGCCACTTTTTTATTTACCAACCTTCTCAAGTCAGCCAGCTCTCATTTCTAGGTATATCTCTCTTATCTGTGTCTCCTCTATTTTTACCGAATTTTTCTTTGGCCTCTTAATTTGTGATTTTGGAACTCTTAGATTTTAGACCTTAATTTTTGAAAAATGATTCCAAATTCTAAAATTACCTTAGTGGACAAGTCTTTGAGGTAATCGCTTTCACATATGACATCCACGCTTTATGATTGGTAATTGAGCAATTTGCTGTCTTGCTTGTATTATTCACCATCAAAAAAAGCACCGGTAGCATATTTGAAAAATCATCTGTTTAGTTAAGAAAATACTTAAAATTTTGCCAAAAGAGAAACCTTCCAAAGTCAGGAGGGTTTGTACCTGTCACATGATTACAAAATCCCTGTGAGGTTCGGATGGATCTAACCTCTGAATACAAAATTACCAGACTAGCAAGGCTCTAATCAATGAACAAAAATATTCTGATGGACAGGACTCTAATTTATGAATACATAATTCCTGTAACATTGGCAGGGTTCTATGTTTGAAAAACGGATTCCTGCAAGGTTGCATGGTTCTATCACAAAATTCCTGCATAGTTTATCCACAATGTTCCAGCCCATGATTATGGAATGCCTTTAAAGTACACTTTTCACCAGGATCGAACCTAATACAAAATTCCTGCAAATTTGGCAAGGTTCAATCTGTGATTTTAAGCAAACACAAATTTTCGCAGGAAAAATTTGCTGATCCGTAGGATCAATGTTTTTCAGTTATGTTTTGAAAACCTTGTCTCTGACTAGATAGACAGAATACTGAAACAACATGGAAGATTGCACACTCTATTGTTGAGGCCAACTCAATCGAAGTATTTATTAATGCAGATAATTTAAGTTTCAACGTCAGACTTTTAGCTTGCAATTTTGACTTATTTGTTCTAGCGATCCAATGTGCCCGCAGTTTGCCCACTATTGGCGCACCATTTGCTTACTTGATCCAGGCGTATGGCAAAAATGGTTGCATACATACAGATTGGGAGTAGTACTGCAGCATGATTCTCCGTTACCAAAATATCTCCACTATCCCAATTCTAATGGTCGATTTCAAGTTCTCCAATGTCGTCAAGCCGCTGCCACGCTCTATAGTTTTTTGAAAAATTGGGCCAGTTTTGTGCTCATTGAAAACCACTCATTTGTCAAATTCATTACAGTAGGGTAAGTTAATGATTTTTTCTCCTCCTTTCAAACACTAATATCTAAAGAAATAAAAGTAATAATTTTTTAATGTGAACTTCAAAATTCACTCACTGTTGTTTAGTCTGTTCCTTTTATTGAAGGAAAATACATAAGTTTTGGTTGTAGCTTCTTCATGCGCTTTGTGTAATCTTGTCTGTAAATACAGTCTCCTAGTAGTTCATATGGAAATATTTTACAAATGGTCACTTTGCCTGTTTCAAGTTTCAATATTCTAATAACTCGTTTTGTGATGTTACAATTTTTGTCTTAATTTTTCAACTTTTGAGTGCAACCAACAGCAGCAGTTGCCTTGTTATGAGCGGTCCAACGAGATTGGCTGGCCGATGCATTATTAAATGCATTGGCCAACCAGTTTTCTACAATTGACTCGTAAATTGGCTTTGGCCTCCATGGATTGCCATGGTCAAACACAGCTGGCCCTATTGGTCAAACGCCAGTGATGAAATCGATTGTCAGTAAGTAAGTAAGTAAGGCTGGGCTGGCCGGCGAGGCGCCCTCAAGGGGCCAAGGCAACTGGCAACTGCCGTCGTGCACCCCGAAGTTGGACCGCACTCCTTAACTTATCTTCGTACTATTGACACATTGAGTATCAATTATATTCCCGCAAGGCTCAGCGGCCGTCTGATAGCCAACGGAAGGTCTTATCAAAGACTGTGGCAGACGCTGCAGAGCACGGACTTTCGGAGCACGGCCATGCCTCCACCGAGTTGGACTGTGTTGTTGTAATCTACACTGATAGGTAGCGCTGGCAGTCGCGCACACTACGAGTGATTACCGATTTTTCACAACCCAGTCGAACAGTGCAGACGGATTACTTACTGGGTGACTATGTCCCTCCCGCACCCTGTAACCTCGAAGGGTCAGGGTATTGGAGTGGCATAGTCATCCACAGTCACGATGACTGATATTTGAGTGTCCTCAAATATCAGTCACCTCCGGGGATTGAACCCAGGACCTCAGTGCTGGCAGCGAACTGCCTTGACCACTACACCACTGAGGCTGACTTCGATTGTCAGTACAGACAGTCATTATCTATTTGGTCATCAAAATACACTTTCCTAAGGTTAACATAAATTCCTGTGGTTATGATTTTTTCATAATAATCCGAGCAAAATTCCAAAATAATTTTGGAATTGAAATTTATATTGATCAAAATGATGCCTTGTATGTAATTTGAAACATCTGAAAAAACAAACTCTACTTTTAAAATGATAATAACAAATTTTAATGTATTTCCAGGGAAATTGACATCGCTCAGAACCTGTTTTATATTCTTCGGGTTGCTTCCAAACCTCCATGTGCCGTAATCCATATTGCATTTTTAAGTGCTGTCCCCGGGTGGTTGAGGCACAGAGTAAGTTATTCTCCTTCGTCCTCTTATTATGTTGATTTTTAAGGCTCAGATGAAGAGGGCTCAAGCATGTTCAGTAACATTATTTTGATAAAGGGACTGTTTGCAAAGCAGCGAAAATTGATGCTACTCGAGGCTGTTGAACAGAACAATTTGAAATTTGGGGCTACAAGTGTTTCATAAAGTTTTACAAAAACATGAGGAAGCACTTGAATCTGCTTTAGTTTCTTTTTTCGAATCTTCATGCGTGCTGGTTGACATCTTCCTTATCACAATTATTAACTTTAGTCAAAATTTTGGTCCCTCAGATTTTCCTTTCAGTATAATAATCTTTCAACCAAAGATTCTTTACTTCAATGTGGATTGCATTTTGCAAAAAGGAACCACTAGCATTGCAATGTTGCTAAGATTGTGCAACTTCTTTTGTCTTGGAGGAAAAACCCGATTATCCATTAATAGTTTCTATTTTACTGGCTAGAAACTGTTAATTTAAGACAAAAATTACCATCTAAATTTCATAGTTTTTCACGATTTCCGCAATTTTATTGCAAAAGAGGAAGTTGCACAATCTTAGCATCATTGCAATGCTAGTGGTTCCTTTTTGCAAAATGCAATCCATGTTTTTTCACCTTAAATATTGAGTGCAGGCTAGTCTGAAAATACTCTGTACCATAAAAAAAAGGGGAATGGAGACACTGTTGCAAGAGATGAATTTATTACATGATGTATTTATTTTATGGAAATCACAATATGTATATTCTAAATAATATTTCAACAACTGATCATTATTGTTATGATCTGACCACATTTGTATCACTAAACTTTTGTCAATGAGTTTTTTTTTTTTTTTATTTTGCCCCTGCAGATCATTGAACAACTGAAAGAACACATTGAAGGACTTACAATAACTCAAAGAATGTCAAACAAAGAGTGTTTAGTAAGGAAGCAACCTGAATCCAAAAAAGAAAATAAGTCCATCTCTGAAATAAAATGTTGTAACTTGCTTCAGAAACCTGTTGAAAAAATTCTAATCCGGTTAGTACTCTCTGTTACTCTTGAATTTGTTTAACTGATGCTTTCTGAACTTTGCTTTATCAGTCTGTAGAGTTCAGTGAAAAAGGCAAGTGTAAATTTCTGCTACTTATTCAATTCACATGTCCAGGTAATTCTCCGGGAGACAGAATTTATCTTATTTTTACCTTATCTTATTTCCTCTGCCTTCCTGAACTGTCGAATGCCAATAGAAAAAAAAAATTCCAAGTACTACAATTCACCCAAAATAATCTAATTATCATATTAATTATTAATTTAATGAGTGCTGATTTTATTTGGTTTTTTGACGGACATCTGATCCCCACAAAGCATTGAACTCAGCTTCATCTTTGTACTTAAACTGATATTACCAGAAGAATTTGTAACATTTGTTACTCTGTCTGTAGGCAAGATTTGCATTCAAAAACTTTTATTTTTCATTTTCAGGTATGAAAGGATGCCTCTGGAGTTTCATACGGTTATTTTTCCAGATGGTACACAGCCTTTGAACGATGCGAAACTTCCTGTTCCACCAAATAGCGGCTTTATTACAACGCTGTCAAGGTATCTTCATCATCGACGATGGGTTTGGTCGGCGCAGAATGAACCCAATGCACCGATAGAAATGTCAGCTTTAGCAAAAATTTTAGCAACACTCACAAAGTAAGTCTACGTGAAGAAATGAGGAATTGCTTTTTAGGTGTGACCTTTCTTGGAAAAATATCTTCTTAATGCCAAAAAATACAAATTTAAGATATTTGTATCATTGTGCGACCAGGTACTTCTTTAATAAAATTGAGGAAACCGGAAAAACTTGAACTCATGAAATAAAATTAAATATTGTGAGGTTTTTAGGTTTTTTAATTTTTCCTGTTTTCTTTTTTTCATTAATTAGCTCACAGTTTTTTATGTCAGTTTCCCGTTTTTTTCATTTCCTTTTTCGTTACTTTCGGTTCCGCACTTTATGAATACTTCGACAAAATAAACGCCAGAAAATTTCTAATCAGGATAGTCCTGAATGATTCATAGTACGCAGTTACTGACATTTGCTCATAACATGGCACTATGTCAAAGGCATCATTTTAACGTTTTTAACCGTTCTTTTTAATGGAGTCAGAAGCAGCCAGAGAGGGTCTCTTATCTTTCCATTTTCATTTGCCCTTCAACTTAAAGTTCTCATTATGAAGGAGTGATTTATGAAGAAGATCGCATTTTTATCTGGCTAGGTTAAGTCACATCTCAATATTCTTTCTGTTTGGCAGGATACGTTTGGAAGAAGGGTTTCGGTTTGCTCATTCAACAGTGGGTATCATTAATATGGTTCTGGAGGTACAAATGAAGGTAAGTTCTCTCTTTTAGTTCACTGATTTTAGTTTCACCAGAAGTTGAAAGCAAAGGAGGTAACAAATTAGGGACATTTTTTTTCTCATTAAAGAAGAGAACCCAAAGTTTGTGATAGAGTATGGATTCTGTACCATCTAGAAGTCTGCAGATGGATGGTGACCGGTGCAGGCGGAGAAGGTTCTTGAGCAAGAGTTTTTGTGAGCATGCTGATTTTAAGCTGAATTAGTTGCTAATGGGCTTATTAGCTTTGCCCCTGAGCAAAATTTTTGCAAGGGCCTCGTGAAAATGGATATAAGCTTTGACATAGACATGAATCGTCGATGGCCTGTAGGTTAAAAAAGAGTCTGCACCTCTGTTTTGAAAAATCTTTCAAAGTCATTAAATTATCAATAAATACCTCTGCGACCTCAATACTGTTCTGATCCCAAATTTTTCTGAAGTAAGGGTCATACTTAATATCCTTCTGTTTAAATACATCTGTTTGATTTTTTCTCCTAATTAAAAATGTTTTGTAGCGAATCACAGCGACCGAGTATGACAAGAAAAGGAATTAATTTTTGTCTTTTGTAAGATGTGCTTCAAAGTCCTTGGCAATATTGTTAGAAGCTTTTTTCAAAAAGAACCCTTGAATCTTCTCTGGTCAAAGTAAATTTAATCAACTTTACTTTTTTTTTTATTGCAGTGCTGTGGAGATGAGAAAGATGGCACCCACTCAGAGATATTGCGCCCTTGTATCATACAATATGTTCTGTTTCCACCTCATTCTACAGTTGTTTGCATAAAAAGGTTTGTATGAGAAAGTTTCTTCTCTAATTCTTTCCGAATTTTGTATCTTTTGTGAGTAAGCCCTCATCAAAACCTCAACTCTCTTTCTATTCCCTCAAAATATATGATTGTGTTCAATATATTTTCTCTATTGCAGCAATTCGGACGATGAAACAGGTGAAGAAGGGGAAGAAGAGAACACAACAGAAATTATCACTGAGTGCTGGATCGAGCCACAACATGGAGTCATCACCAACTGCCCTCCAAAACGAGCCTACATGGAGAACCTGCCTTATCATCAATTAGCAGACATGGTAGGTGTACTTTGGTTTTTCGTGGAGAGAAGTAAATTTTTTCATCAAAACATTGATAACCATTTAGGGCAAAAGGAACCTCAGTACCCAGATTGACGCAAATTTTGTCTTTTTGATTCAAAATATATGAGTTACTTTTGACTGAAGAATGTTTCAGGCATTAAAATTCAAAACAAGGACGAGTTGCTCAACTTTCTCAGGCTGAAGTCCACGCTTGGGTGTTTGTTTGTTTTTCCATTGTTCTTTCTTCTCTTAAAAACCCGAGGGTGATTTAAAGGTTCTCCTCTGGGAAAGAAAAAACAGTGTGTTCCAATAGGGTGTAATTTTCTTTGCGCACCTTAAACCTTGAAGATTTTTAGATTTAAGAATCTAAAAAATTTACTTGATTCATATTTTGGCTGGTTTTCTGATGCTATCACTGGAAACTCTCCGTCTTCCTACTTTCTATTCTTATATTCTGTTAATTGAAGGAAAATTTTTCATTTTACACCAAATCACGCCCTTAAGGGCCATTTAGCCTTGAGTTTTTAGACGAGTAGAAGGAGGAATAAAATCCAATCACTTTGAGTGCATTTCCTTGGTTTTTTTTTTTAGATGTGGAGAGTTGATGCAGAATGTATTTCCAACCTTTTGACATTTGAACACCTGAAGTTGATGTGCATTAACCCTCAGATCAATTCACCACCTGCTCATGATCTTCAAGTCGTAGAGCAAAATCCTCTTGAGTAAGTATTCATGTTCGATTCATATTTTTTATCCAGAAACCTGTTTGAATGGAAAACTTAAATATTTGCATCTTTAAAGAGATGCTTAAATATTCACTCCTGTACTTTCTTTTTTCCAAGAGAAACTGACAAATTAGGAATTGCAAGAATTTTAGATGGATCAATAAAATCATGCAAAATATCATGAATTAAAAATTGTTTTTTAATAAATGAAAAAGTGTGTGGCTAGAAGTAGAATAGAGGCCGGTTTGCGTAATCTAATTTTCTTGGCTTTTTAAACTAAGTTTTTACTGGTGTACGTGAACAATATCTTATTACTTTGAAATTCTTAGACATTTTCCCCTCTTCTTAATTTTTCTAGGTATTGGCCGCATGCAGTTCCTTTGGCAGATAAAAGAATTCATCAAATCCCGTTTGCATACAGCTTAACAAATATCTTGCCAAAGTGTCAGCAAGCAGAGCTACTCTTCTCATCTTTAATTCAAGGTGAGCTCCTAGTCAGGTTGGAATTTTTGTGTTCATTTTACAGTGGAGCCCATATACAATGAAGTTCTCGGTTCCCAGAAAAACTTAGTTGTATCCGGAACTTTGTTAAAAGCGGACTCGTAAATTGTATAAACAAACGGACAAACCCTAATCTACGAAAATGGTCGACGTCAATGAGGCGCTTGGGCGCTCATGTGCGGTAGCTCTAGGAAACGCTCGACGATAGCGCTCCTCTCGGTGTAGAACCTTACTCCAAGAAACGCTTCAGGAGTTGCGTGAAATCCGGTTACGAGTGGCGGTAGAATCTGGGCTCTACTTGCTTCCAGGATTCGTCTCCAAGAATCCTCTTAAACGCGAATACAACGCCTCTCCCGGAAAGCTTTCTGGAGAGGCTCCTGGAGAAAAATGATGAAGATGAATCGGCGCGCTGCCAGACTTGCCCCTCCCCTCCATCGCAGACGCGTGCAAGTGTGAGAGAGTGAGGTGTGAGACATGCGCGGGGGGCTGCGCAGTGAGCGCTCACTTCGTTATCGCTAATTCTCTTTTATTCATAACTTTGTGACTCCGCGACTACCACACGTATTACTGCAAGCAAGCGGAACTCGTCTAGAGAGCAGAAAATACTGAACACAATAGCGGAAATGGCGGCAAATTATATCGTTATAAGCGAGGTGCCGCCGCCGGAACTTCGTTAAAAGCGGGCTTTTCTACTATTAAGTGTATATGAAGGCACTAAAAAAATGAAAATTACTTTGTTATATCCGAAACTTCATTAAAAGCAAGTTCGTTATTTACGGGCTCCACTGTATTTTATTTATAATTACGTAAGATGAATATTTAGAGAAGTGGTTAGGTAGCGGCAAGAATGGTTTGAATGAAAATGCATCAGTTTGAGTCAGTAAATTGAATTATAAAAGAATTCTAATAACATATATGAAAAATTTAATGCGGAAAACTCCTCTACCCATTGCATTATGATGCATCTCAGGTACAACCCATAGTTTCTCAGAGGAAAGAACATAACTCCATTTCAAGGTTATAAAATTGACCAAAACCAATTCAGTTTTTCAGAAAAATACGACTGAAATTTCTGTCTCTAATTTTGCTGTTTTATTCAAGCAATATGAAGAGAAGTCAGTGTCATTTTCAGTGAGAAACAATCAACAGTTTGGAAAAAAAAAAATACAATTCGCAAAAGGGAATTTTGCAACGTAAAAATGTAATTATGTTCTCTCGTCTGGGAAACGATGAACGATGAAAAGTATTGTAGTTTCAGTTTTGGTTGTTACCTTCTCAGTGTCTCAAACAGAAATTCATTAAAACAAAAGTTGTTTCTCTCTGGCTGCCGCCTTGGTTTGTTGCATCGTATTTTTCAATTTCAATAGACAAATAGCAGAATGGAAGAATTTTTTTAATGTGTCAAAGTATTTTACAGATATCTCTCAACATCACGAATCAAAGATAATCGTTGATGCTCCAAATAACCTCCTGCTTGACATCCTATTTGAAGAGCTGAAAACAATGCATGACAGAGAACTCTTATTGAATGAAACGGACTCTAAGCGACTTATTGACCTCATCATTCAACGCGAGAGAGACCATAAAGACCATCCCCTCTTGTTCACCGCAAGTTTTGCAAAATCATCCACCAACTTCGGTCAGTTCATTTGCCTTTTTTACAGACTGTTCGACTCATTATTTGTTTTATTCCTCTTTTTTCCCATCAAGTTATCTTGACAGGAGGAATGGAATTAACCCACTGACTTGTGAATTAAACAGGACTTAAATGTGCTAAAATTATTAAATTTGAATAATTCATAATAATCTTACAATTCATTCCTCGGAGTTAAAAATTGATGTATTAAATAGTCATGACAATTTTTTGAGGAAACAGGACAATTCTGTTATGATGCTTTAGTATTCTTGATTTATTGCTGCCAAAATTGTTGTAAATGATGTTGAAAGAAGAAGAATTTGAGGTTATTTTATGCTCAACAGTACAATAATGTAAAAATACCGAAAAAAGTATAAGTTACCTCATAAAATAAGTTTCAGGATGGTCATACTACTCATATGAATATTATCGAGAACGCAACTTATTGTTAAAACATTGATACCAAGTTGACCTATTGCTCAGAGCTGTTGTTGTAAGTGAATGGTTTAAGGGTATTTTCCAGAATGCTTTTGGATTTTGCGAAATGTTTCATAAGTAAGAAGCACGAGTCTTAGGATAGCCTCGATTCATTGCAGCGTTCCCAGTTTAAAAATACTAGAGAAAGCTTTGGTCATCAGCACTTGAGTTGAGCTGAACTCATTCTAGCCTGAAGTGACCTTTAAGTCAACTTAAGGGGACTCAGTTTGATGGTCTGGAAATTTGGGTGCTCTCACAGTCCTAGATCATACAGTAGTCAATTGTGTGACAAAGTATGAAGTTTTTATTGCAGTATTTCCTTGTTTTATCTCTAATAACGCTGTTCTAATTTTCTTCTTGTTTTCCAGAGGAGTCAGGTAGCTCTGACAAAAGGAAGTTTTCTGAAAGTGAATCAACAGATACCGGTGATAGAGATCCAGTCAACAGTGACTGGACACGGATGATCTTATGGGCCATCGAAGCTGATTCTGCAGCCGCCTCTCATTTAAATGAGAGAGATGCATCAAGAGATAGAACCAAAAATCTAGGGGGCTCTGAGTGTAGCGGGGTTAAACCAGGCTCGCAAAAATCTCACTCCAAGCACCCATCATGCGCCCAATCCTCCAGGAGCCTAGAATCACCGGTGCCCATGTGGCGCTGCTATGTAAAGACAGTAAGCGCTGGGCAGTGTCTTCTCACCTTTATTCCAGCTTCATTCAGGGACGTCAAACTTTTAATGCTTGAGCAAGAATTGAAAGATTTCAAACTAACTGGAACTTGCTCTGATCCAGGGAGTTCCCTGTCCATGGTCCACTCCCAGCAAACAGATGCGTCTTCCAAGCAGCTGTTAGAGTCACACCTCAACTCTGCAAGTGATCTGTTTCTGTCAAATATGCCAAACTTAGAAGATAATCAATCGAGGAAACTAATGAATAGTTCTTTGTACAATTCTCCGTCATCGAGTAAAGGTTGGATTTTGGACTCGTCAGACCCTGATAATGGAGTATTTGACTCTAATAGCACGTCTGGTTGGGACATGTACAACAACCATTTAGTACCTGAGTCTCCATTTCGGCTGAGAGCAAGTTCATGGGACCCTGTCAAAAAAGGCACGCAAGAATCAATGAGAATGCAGATGTATACCAGAGCAAGGACTTGCTCTGTTGGAGCTAAAACCAAGCTGTGGATTGAAGAGAAAATGAAAAAGTCCGTTGATTCTTTAATCCAGTCTAAATCCTCAGTTCATCCAGAACTTATTTCTACAGCCATAACCATCCCAGTTTATATCTACGACTGTCCGGTCACCAATTTAATAGATGCCTTAATTCTGAAAGATGAGTACATCAAACCATTTTGCGATGTTTTTCAAGATAAGTGTAGTAATTTTGATGAAGAGCCCGCACCTAACCAGTTAATGAGTCACGAACCTTCTTGCCGTCTTTTGAGCCCAGAGGATAAATCAGAAGACTCCGATATAGGTCCAGGTATTTGAATGTTTTTCATTTTCTAAGGTCCCATTAAAATACATTTGATTCCACATCTTGTTATATGTCTAATGAGCCAGCAGCCTGATTGTTGAAATTGTTTGTTTGTCGGGACGACATAGATGACATAGGTTAAAAGACGGAGCGTGATTGGTCGGCTATGTCTTATCGCTACTTTGTCGTGCCTTTGTCAGGTGAAATGAACGACATACTTTTGGGAACTTAAGAGGTGCCGTTAGCTTGTCGTGTGTTCAACCCGACATAGGCATGACAAAGCAGCGATAAGACATAGCCAACCAATCACGCTCCGCCTTTTAACCTGTATCATCTATGTCGTCCCGACAAACAAACAATTTCAACAATCAGGCTGCAGGAATCGCAAATTTTTTCTTTCTAGTTTTCTCTCTTTCTTTTTACTCCGTTTTTTTTACTGTAAATATCAAAATACTTGAATGAAGTGTTTAAATCAACATGTTTATGAAATTTCCTCTGAGATTGTTTCTTATCCTTGATTGGGAAGAGAACCTAATTTAATCACATAAATTAGTTCGGTGACAGTTTCATTCTCCTCAAATTTCTCGAGAGAGCAATTAATACACAGAAAAGAACTAAATGAATATTGACAGTGAAACTATAAAAGTTTGTATTTTGGCTCGCAACAATTAAAATTCCTTCGCTCATTTTACTGTTTTGAAAGACCAATCACCGTTTTTGCATAAAATTGTTTGTTATTAGCTTTACCCTTTTAGAAATAATTTTTGAAAATTTCATGCAAATATGTCCTGTAATAATCTCCTCAAAATTTAAAGCAAGTTTTGTACATTTTTTCTCACAAATTATGTATATGATAATTTAGAAAAAGTTTAAAAATGTTGACTTTGAAATGTCTGCCTATTAAGGAGTGCAAAGTTGTAGCGTGAAGTATCATTTGTTTGATTTTTTCTTGTGTCTTAGATGAAACTTGTTTGAAACTCCATTGCCATGCAATCACCCAAGTTTACAAGAAATGTTTCGTGAAATCACTTTTTAAGTCACTACATCTTGGCTACAAAATCAACTCCAGAGATATTCAAGAAGCTGTTGACCAGTGCCACAAAGCAAAGGCTCTCATCAATATCACTCATTACATAAAGGTATGTACAGAAGAAATCGTACCCATGCATATCTTTCTTCGACTAAAAAGTTTCGTATTAATAATCTCTGTGAATTTAACCTAAGAATTTTCATTTTTGATGCCGTTTTTTTCATGATATTTCGAAGAAAATACACTCTTGATCTTATAATATGAAAGCGAAAATTTACTCAAAAAGGCTAATTTGGTTCTTTTAATAATTTTCCAAATTATTTTCTGAGAAACCTACCTGCATCCTCATTTATAGTTTGTTAACTCGTATTTGAAGTGGATAGTCTTCGTTAAGTATCAGTTTGAAATTTGACCTACTTGAATTTTACGTACTAAAATTTCCTCTGTTTGTTCTACGTTTAATTTCTTGCACCTCCCTATATTGAGGATACAATGAAAATGTAAAACAACTGATGAAAGGCAGTGCAATCCTGATTGCACCTTTTGTGTTAATTTAAGTGGATGTTAATGGAAGTTTGGTCATTGCTTTTGTCAATCTCACTAATCTTCATTGTTACAAAACTGTCAAAACCTTTTTGAATCAGATAGCGCCCAATTCAACCAGTTCAAAATACAGAGTGTGATCCTGATTTCAAACTGCACAGTCGCATCACTTGAAATCACCAAGTTGTATTGCTTGCCGGGGTCCAAAAATTGCAATTAAATGAGGGAAGACAAATTTTATGAAAAATACCCGAGAAAATATCTGCAACTGTCATTCGTTTTTATACACTTAACTTTTTCAACCCAATCTCTTGATTTACCATAGTTTGGCTCAGATTTGGGGAACACCATCCAAGTATGGCCTAATATCAAATTTAATTTAATTTAGATTGTTTGCGGCCATTTACGGGAGTACTATGCACATACTGATACGAAAAAAGAATCTCAATTTGAAAACGAGGAAGAGATCCAGAAATATCCGCTGTCAGCATTGAAAGCATCCTCGGCTTGTCAGGATTTGAAACCTTTACATCGGCTGATCAAAGATAAATTCATGAAAATTCTCCATTCAAGCTTCAAGCAAGTTCCGTGTAATCCGGACTTCTTCTTCTGCGCCCCTAATTGGGGCCCTGAAGCAAGACTGGTAAGTTCTAAAAATTCTGTAATTAGAGCTCAAGGTATGATAAAGGCATCAAATTGAATGAAGTGAATTCTTCAGACAGTTTCAAGCAAATTAAATTCTCGACTTAATTTGATTGAAAAGAAAAGGAATGTATGAGTATAACCCAAAAAATAGTGTATACATATTTAAATAGTTAGTTAGTTACTTACATAATTTATGACGATCAGCAACCAGGCCATTTACGTTGGGAATCAGAAAACCTTAAATTTTTAAATTTAATAGTTGAGAATGCAGTTATCTTAAGAATGTATATAGAATTTTTCTAACCACAAGTAATTCTGAGCAACCACAGTTTAGCAGTGAAGTAATTCTCGAGGGAGTGAAATTTCTCTTCATTTAATTTAAAGTTTACTTTCCTTAGAAAATTTCCTCTACCTTTTTTGATCCCTTTGAGAAGTGATCAAAAAATACTGTCCCCATGCTGCCAATGGGAATGAAGAATCCAGCTCTTATTTTCTGCTCTTGTTTTATGGTAAATAAGAAGTGAATTTTATTTTGTATTTCATTGATTATTAATACTTTGGCAGATGGATGAAACACAGGATTCTGTCATGACGGAGGATTTGCACGTACTCCATAGAATCAACGACTTGATGGAGAAAAATACTCAAATTGAATTCGAATATACGACTGAAGACCAAACAACAATAAATGGTTTGTATTTTATTAAGATATACAAGTTGCAATCATTCAGAACAGAATTTTAACAGTTTTGAGCCCATTATCTTTTTAAATTTTTTTTATCCTATTAGAACAAAAATAATGTGACAGGAATTGAATCTCTTTGTTTCATGTGCAATCTCCTTTTGTTCAGTTTGTAATTTTTGTAACATTTTTTTAAAAAAAAACTGTGTCAGACATTTTGATAAATAATCAACTTTAGATAGTGGCAAGAAGTTACTTGTAAGGGAGTATTTATTGTGAAAGGATCATTTTAAGCTCAAGTTTTTTGTCTGTTTTTCTAAAACAAAAATTTGTCCATTTTTACAGTCTTTAAAAGGAGGACACTTACTTCTTGAATGGCTCTTCTTAATATTTTCCTAAGAGCGGGCTTTTAATTTTCTTTATTAGTGAGGGAGAGTATGAAAATCACGCAGAATTATTTTATACGTTTGAATCTCTGAAGTCTCTTTTGATCCAAAACCAAAAATTTACCTTTATCTTCCAAAAAGTGTTTTAATCTGTGATGCGTTGCAGGGCAAAATCAGTGGGAAGGCCCTCTTGGCTCAGTGACAACACCAGACGATGCCAGAACTTCTCTACTATCAAACATGGACTCTAACAGTATCATTGACTTCTTGGAAGACAACCCAGAAGAAATATCCCCGCTCTTTCTGAATCTTGTTTGCTCAATTAATAATGTGCACAATTGCACAATTAATATTCTTCCCACCTGTCTTGGTAAGTTTACTTCTTAAGGCAGTTTTGGCCTGTCTCTATGAAACAGCATGATACACATGTTTGCGTTAGCGTAATTATTTCTCAATGAATTACTTCTGTTTATCATTGAATTACTTTAAGAAATGAAACTAGCACACACCTAGGAAGTGCTCTCACTGAAAGACTGTTTTCCCTTTAATTACATTCTTTCCAAGTCCAGTTTCACTCATTTTAATTGTGCGCATATTAGTCGCATTCTCAAATGAGCTGTACGGCAAATTCAAGAGACCTCAATATGAGAAAGAGGACCTAGGAAAAAAGATGGAAGTTTTTGTCCTAATCATCATGCTCGCCAACGTGAGGTGTCAACCAACAGAAATGTACATACAGATTACCCTGAGCAGTTTAGTAATTTTTTTCTCTGTATTCTACTTTTAGGGGAACTTGTAGATTTTTTGGAGTCTGGCGAGTCAGATTTATGCCTGGATGATTTGACAGTGACTCTTGATATGATCTGCCTCACTCTTCCTCCCTCTGCAGAATGTTCGTCCATTGATGTTGAGACTGTGTCAGTCATGAATGGAGAACAGGTTGTTGATTCTTCATGCACAATTGGTGAATCCTTCATAAATTCCATGGATGACAAGTAAGTGAAAGATGTTGATTTCAATGTATCTGTTCATCAGTCCGTCCATCTATAATTTTATCTATCTATCTGCGTTTTTTAAACCAACACCAGCCTTTTTTTGTTTTTGTTTTTAGAAGCATCTATCGATCCCAGCAGCTGTAGGTACCTCATCTCAACATTATATTTTCGCTTGATTTTCTCGAATATGAATTTCATTCACCTGTGTATGTAGATCGAAAGCAAAAACATTTTCTAAAAAAGTTAATTTTATTGAGTTTTTTGTAAGTCATATGCAAAAGTGGTCATGAAAATTAAAGTTTCATTCCCCAGGAGAGAATGGCTCAGGGATACTAACTGATTTCCTAATGAGGGACATGCTCTCAAAAGCTTGGATTGAGCGCAGCATTAAATCAATACTTTAAAAAATTTAGGAAAAATGGTTTTGTTTCCAGGCTACATGAAGACATTCCAGTTCTTGGTGATACACTGCAACATCTACCGGATTATCAGTACAGAGCGGTTTCTCATTGTGTTAACGAGGTGAGTTCTTATTGTCTGATTTTCTCATGGTATCGAAGCGAATAGCTTAAAGCAAATTCTAAGATTTGAATAACTTTTAAACAAAAGTAAACGATGAGTTGAAATGTAGAAGTCAGGGCGAGCAAATATTTGATGGGAAATGGCTCAATGCCTTTGAATGTCTGTTTTACAAATTTTCTAGACCTTTTTAATGATACAGCCCAACTTCTGAAAGTCCGGATATTGGTCTGAGCAATTGAAAATTTTTAGGCTTTGTGCTCATTCATTTCAAAAAACCAAGATATTCAAAGTGTGATTCATTATTTTGGGCTCCAAAAACAAGGAAAAGTAATGTAACTTCCATTTTTTTTTGTGCGCCGTTTTTTTGTAACGTACTGATTTGAAAGTTACAAATGAAATTTTTGATCAATATAGTCAATTCAGCCTTTAATTTTAAATGGTTGGTACCAAAATCATTACAATTTTTAACTTTATTAGACTATTTTTATGCAATTACCATGTAGGAACCTCTGGTTTACATCTGCAGTTTTTTTAAGTCTCTTTCTCAGAAAGTAACAATTAGCATAGATTTTTGGTTTGAGCTAATAAGGGAACCATATTATGAGGCAAAATCAAAGTCCTACAATCATCAGTTGAATAATTTAAAAAATTGATTTACAGATTTCTATTCTTAAAGTAACAGCCTTTGGTTTGTCTTATTTTTATTTTTAAGATTGAATGGTTAATGAGCGACGAGATAGCAGCATTTTTGTTGGACAAATCTCCCGTCGATGAGGAAACGCTATCTCTGGTCACAAACCATGTGTCTTCCTCAACAGGGCGATCCAGTTGTATGCTTGAGAAAGTGCCTTTGTATTTTGTGTTTGGTCCTGATCAAAGTATGCCCAAATTTTTACAGGTAAGAGTTCAATCTCTTGAAATGGACATTTTTAAGAATGGGTATGCAGGTGAACACTTTTCTGTGCCAGAGCATTTTCCATCTGTTTTGAATGGATTTATACTTTGATGATTCAGTTTCATCTTAACTTTTTAAACGTGAAAGTATTGTAGGTTTTTGAAGCATCTTCAAGCATGAATCTTGCAGACCAGCGGGGTATGTGCAAAACCTCAACAGAGCAATATAATGTACCTCAGTAAATCAATAAGTTATTGGATAAAATAAGTTTCAGTTCGGTCATACTATTCATATAATCATTGATGAGAAAACTGTCTAGCATAGAATCATGAAAATATTGTAAAAATTGATGCCAATTCCACTGAGCCATCGGTTTAGAACTGGTATAGTCTTGTGCGGACAGTTCAGAGTTATCAACTTAAACAAATGGGTTAATTTTCGGAAGGAAAATCCTTGTCATAGTAAATTTTACCGATCTCTAAATTGAACTCCTCTACTGAATATCCTCAAACTTGATGACCAATATGTAATAGTTCCTTCGGTATGAGCATTTTAACAGGTCTTTTTTCAAATTAATTCTAGTTCTAAAGAAACTCTATTTTTCAAAGGAGCTTTTATTTTGTATTTTTTTCCTTCAGGAATTCAATTCTATGAAAATACCAGAATACAAGCTAAAGCAGGAGAAGGATTTTTACTTCCTTATCAAGGATCCAACAGTTATGAAAAAACAAGAAAGCCACAATCCCAGCTTCTTCCTCGGTCCAAAAAATTCGGTAGAATTTTGGAATCCAAATGGTGTGTTTCCCTTACCTCATACTATTTCATTGATCATCCTCAAAGAAGTATGGATGTTCTCTAAGACTTTCGTTTTTTAAAAACAATGAAAGTTAAGAAAAATGGAACTACTCATTTAAAAATGTTTTTTTTTTTTTGGAATGCACATCTCTTCAGAACCAAGTTGTATGTTCCTTTCACCTCAAATGAAAAGAAAAGAAATATTGACCAGGTAGTTTGTTTGTTTTTTAAAATTTAAATGTTCCACGCAGATATTTAATATTGATGATGCTTAATTAGTAACTCTTTTTTTCCCCCATGATAATATTTATCAAAACTATGTACCTATTCTTGTTGAATTTATTTTATTTTTGTAAATATGTTAAAAAAAAAAAAAAGGCGATAGGCTGATAACCTTGTCAACCTCTTCAACCTTTTACCGTGATTTTTTTCAAAACAAGGGCTGTAATTCAAAATTGTTTTTTTTTTTTAAATTTAACGGCAACTTGTTGTTTTTATCCAGATGACGTAAAGCTCAACACGCCTGGTGGAAAAAATGAAAGGTATGTCTCTTTCCTTGTCATTTGTCCTTAGTACATAATAAGAAACTTTGCCAGTTTTTTTTTATTTTTTTATTCTTTTTCTGGCTGCCAGAATTTTTCAGTTGACATCTTACCTTCTGATTTATTATCCAAATCATTTCCTTTCCTTGATCTTCAGACTTCCTTCTTTTCATTCATCGTAACAGGAAGTTTTTTTGTTTGACAAAATTTTTAAAATAACAGATTTTAGTATTTTTTTTCCACTTTGCGAAACCTTTGTTTTCATTTAAGAGTTTACTTCCTTTATCTTGTGAACTACCATTGTAGTGCTAATTTCGCTCTCTTTTGTTATTTTACCTGCAGGTCTTCCTATTTTACCCAAGATTTTCCAAAAGGCCCGCCATCAAACTGGAGCTCAATAGCAGCATGGCACAATGAAGTTTCAAATTTGATGGAAAGTGGATTAGTTAATGAAGATGGTGAGAATTCTATTTTTCAAGTTGTCAAGCAAATTTTTGCAACAAATAAATTCAAATTGAATATTGGCAAAACTAACGTTAATTGAAACTTTGCAAATACGAAGTGCATTAAATGACACTTTGCAAGTTATAATGGAGGACACAAAAGCGGAAAGTACAGATTGGCAATATTATTGAAAACTTAGCTGGAATGAGGAAAGCTTTTTGTTTGTTTCTTTCAATATAGAGCATAAAGAGTTTCCAACAACTCTTTGATTACAAATTACAGATTTAATTAACCATGCTAATCTTACTCTGTATATTTTTTTTTAGGTTATGATGCCGGAAGTAGTGACACTAATGAAACTTGTGAATGGTTAAGTGAGTTAGAAATCAAAAGGCCTGAACTTCCCAATTTCTGGTTGATAATGAAAGTAGATAAAGAAGCGGTGACAGTCTTTTTTCATTGCAGGTAATGTGAAAAATTCTCACGCTGATTGAAGGTGTCTTTTTAAATTGTAGCTTTTTTTCTTTTAATTTTAAATAAAACTCAATGTAACCTTCCCATTTTTGTGATGCATAAATTAGATAAAAAAATAAGGGTTTAAATAAGGGTTAAAAAGGCAAGTACAGTAGCCGCTCGTTAACTCGAAGTTGGAGGTACCAGGGATTTTCTTAGAAATAATGAGTCTTCAAATTAAAGTTGAACTTCTTTTTATCGGGCTTCATTTTGTATGTTAATATTACCTTTCCCCCGATCACTGGTCATCAGATTTTAGGCAATGGCTATTTCGATGTTACGTACACATCATCTTCAGACCTCTTGGTTTCAAAGAAATCAAATCAAAAGAAGGACACAATGGATTGCAGTGGTGTTTACCAAATAAATTGCAAATGTGGCATGACGTACGTGGGACAATCAGGAAGAAAATTTGGGACCAGGGTTAAAAAACACCTAGCCAGTGCCCGTCTTCAAAAAACGGGCAAATCGTCATTGGCGGATCGTTTAATAAGCACAAAACATGACCTGGAAGCTACGGACGTACAAGTAAAGAAAAAGTGCGCCAAAGGAAAGAGAATGCCTCTACCTCTACGAGAAATTTTATATAGAGTCCCAGAAAGGTGACAACCTGCTCAATAACCAACAAGAGAGTAAGGTGGCAACACTGATAGCCCCTCCGATCCTATTCAGAGATATACACACGCACCAACAACGAACAGGCAGCTCGATGACGTAATGGCCAGAAAACCGGTGATAAGGACGCGTTCGCGGCGACGGGTGCACCTGCGAGTGTTTTAATAGTGTTTTAATAATATACAATGTGACTTTTAGTGTTTACCAAACCAAGTGGCCTGAAGATGATGTGTGCGTAACATCGAAATAGCTATCGCCTAAAATCTGATGACCAGTAATCGGGAGAAAGGTAATATCAACAAACAGAGTCTTCAAATTGGCGAGATTTTGAATTAAGGAGAGCGGTTACGAAAAGATTTGAAATAAAGAGAGTTTCAAATTAGCTCTATAATTCGAAGTGGTGGAACCAAACGCTCTATAATTCGAATCAGATAATCAGAGGATTAAATCGTAAATTCCTCAGTTCTCCGTCCGTCAGGCATTGACATATGTATGCACATTAAAACAACCACCTCAAGACTTCGAATTATAGAGCGCTCGGCACAGATATTTCGAATTACAGAGCTTTTCACAAGCCGTTTTCCCACCGAAAAATTCGAATTACTGAGGGGATAAAAATACACTGAATTTTTCGAATTGACGAGATTTCCCCAAGGGGAATCGGCATTGCCATCGAATTATCGAGCGGCTACTGTATCAACCTACATTACCTTGTCATTTATACTGTATGAATATGCTACTCTTTATTTTTATCATGTTGACAAAATTGCTCGTATCCTCACATGTGATTCGCTTTTATAGAGGAAAGTTTGGTAAAAAAGGAAAATTTTATCTTATTCATTTCATGGCTTTTAAATTTGGCCCTTTAACTATAGATTTATTTTAATTATGCAGATCTAGTCAGTGTTATTTTGCTTATTTGGTTTCAGGTTTATTGAATTGCACACTGAAGAAGTGAAAGCGTATCGCATGGTACAGAGCACTGTCATCAGCAACATTCGTTTAGTCTGTAAAACTGTCAATCAGACTATGTTGTTAAATAATTTGCATGACACTCGTATTTGCGACAAACTCCTAGAACCTGAGTCCAGCGATGACGTATGGAAACAAACGTATTCCAAATCTTATGCAGGTAATCATTGTTAGTCATGTTATTCTCAATCTTTCTATGCCCTGCCTTGTTAATACCCTTGTTCAATCCAAAACATCTCAGCTCTTACCGGACCGAATTACCTATTTTTTGGCTTTGGCTTTATGATGGACCGTTTTATATTTATTCAATATTACCTGAGAGCTAGTGAGCCCTCACTGGTATGCAGGGCTCTTTGCTGATTTAACTGTTTAGCAATCCTTTAATTCTCTACCGGATTCAATGCTTTTTATAACAAGTAGTACCAGCTATCTTGAGGAAATTGTGTAATTTATTGAAGTGTCAGTAACATTTGAAAACGTATTTTGCCAGGATGATGTAGTACATTAATAATGACCAAAACTTTGATGTTTGCAACACATTGAGACTAGAGAGACAGAGAAGAACTAGGAACTTACTCTTTTTCTGTTTTTTCTGTAAGAGCTAAACAACTTTAAAAACTCTGTAAACATATTTTTAGAAGGAAACTTTATTTTCTCCAAAGGATATGATTAATTTGTAGTCTATGATAAGTTTGAAAAAAGTTTGATCAGGAAATTCTGCAAAATGGTAGTTAAAGCCATGGCATGAACTTGCAAAAAAATAATTTACCTTCTTTCTTTCTTCCAGGTGCTCCTTTACTTGAATCTGTTTAAGTAAAAAGGGAAACTACAAATATATACATATCTCCTTACTTTTTGCAAATTTTATCAGAAAATGAATTTAAAAATGAGTGGAACAGCCGTTTAAGTAAGTGAGTCCGAGAGCTGAAGCTTGTCTATTTTGGAAAGTTTCCTTGATTTATAACCAAAAGTCTTGTCTTTCAGATCTAGATGTTTATGAAAATGACACGTACCTTGAGGCAACATCAAAATTTATTCCTGGCTGGTTTTCCTGCCAAGTTGTGTGGGAAACGCACTTCACACTGCATCCAAGACTGAAAACAGGACCGGGCAAACCAGGCCTGTCAAGAGGGTTTTCTGCTCTCCGTCTCGTCTTGAACAAATTCGCTGTCACAAATCGAAAAAACATGTTTGTCTATCAAGATAATTCTGGAAATGTATTCTATTTAAGGTATTTTTATGTTTTTTTTTTTCTTTTTTTATGTTTGATTTTCATGCGGAATGCTCAGAACTAAGTTGCAATGAAACTCTGAGTAGGATGTATCTTTTTTATCATTATCTTCTTTTTTATTGCCTTTTCTCTGCTTATCAAGAAAAAGAAAATTTTACTCGGGAGAGGCCAGATTTCAATGAATAGATCTGAGAAGAATATGATTTTGAAATATTAATGAGATAGTCAAAAACTATCGCAAAAAAGGAAGAAAGAAAGAAAGTTGGGCAAACAAATTCGGAAAAAAAACTAAGGAAACGGGCAATGCAAACAATTTCAGAAATTGGCTGTCAGATTAATAAATTTTCTCATCAGAACGTTAAAAATAACAAAAAAAAAATAAAAATAAAAAAATACCTCAATTTTAAAGAAGTTGCACTTTTAATTTGAACCCGCTCTTTTTATACCCACTCATGGAAGCAGTGAATGCAATAGGTATGATAGAGCAAGAACTTTTCGACATTCTAATTTTATTTTGACTCTCTTGGCAGATTGCATGAAAACATTGGCTCATTTTCTAAGCATAGCATAGACTTTGAAGAAAACTCTTTAAATTCTCTCGAGTCAGTTTCAAGAAGTTCATCTGTAAGCTCTCTTTCTCGGAAAAATGCGGAAGAACACTTATATGTAAGTTTTATTTTTTTCTTCAAATGACCATTCTATTTCTCCAGACATTTTGAGCTTGATGTTATTCTTTTTCTCGTGGAAGTAGCAGGAATGCTCTCAGAGAAGAATTGGACTTCATTTTCTAATTAGGAACAAATATCTCTGGCTCATGTTAGAAGCAGTGTGTGCGCCTTTAGTTTTCTAATACTGATTGGTGCTTTTATGAATGAGCCAGAAATATTGGTTCGTTATCGCAAAATTAAGTTTAATTGTGATCGAGTGTTTTGAATTGAAGAACTTTGTTAGCTTCTTTATAAAGATACTCCATACACACAGAGGAGAGCATCGATTTTAAGTAGAAAATAAATTGATAAGAGGAAAGTATAAAGCCTCCTTTGAATGAGATCCACTGAACCCATTTGCAACTATTTGGCCTGTGCGTAGCATGGGTCAACTGCTGGTCTTGTATATTTCAATTTTACACAGTGACAAATAATAAAAGTCTTTTATTGGTATCCTTTTATAAAGGTATCTCTCGAAAAATTACTCAGACTTATTAAAAATTGGCAACATTTTGATAATGTCAGCGGCCTTCTTGAACTCTTCTTAGTAACGGTGTAAAGTCTTTTTTTGAAGATTTTTTCCTATGTTAAAGGCACAGGAATTGAGGTAAAAAAAAACAGCTTTTGGAACAATATTTTTTTAGGACGCCCTCCTCTATGTTAATTACAATTTTCTGTTTTGATTCTGTTCGTCAGAATGAGATTATGAGGACAAAATCTGGTGAATCTGGAGACAGTGTTAGCTTGAAGAATGAAGATCACATCACCTTAAAAGTACATGGAATTTCTGAAGCAGGTGAGTTAGGGCAACTTTTCCCCTTTTTTCCTTTGTTGAGGAGATTTTTCATCCACCTGTGCATTGTAATTTCATTTTTGTTTTTTAATCTAATACATTTTTTATTTTAATAGGACATTTGTTTTGGAAGCCTGCCTCACTTATTAAATTATCATTCTTAATATGTAATGATGTGATTTGCCGATATTTTAGGATTAAACATAAAATTATGAATCATGAAGACGGCTTACGAATGTTTCAATTTGAGATCTCAATTTTTGTAACAATTTTTTTCATGCTGTTTATATTCAAATTATGCTCTCCCTAAAATGTGCCATCCTGCAAAAACCATTGCCAATTCTGCATAAGAATCCAGCCTCGGAATAATAGGAGCTGTGACAAGATTTTACAGTTTCTAAAAATTTCTTTCAAACAGTGTAACTATGAAAGCATGTATGCCAATTCAAAATGTCAACACTTTTCTGATTTCTAATCTTTTGAAGGGAGCATTATTTAACAGTTTTTCACAAAATTCCCAGAGCATATTCTTGAAACGCAGGAAAAAATCATGCAAAATTTTGTGCCTCTAGAATATTAATTCATTTTCCCAGAAAATAAAATGTGACAGGGAACCTACAATATAGCAAATTGAGGTATGATGTTTTGTAGTTTCACCATCCAAATGTCTTTAGGTCAAGTGATGACTGATTGAATTGATTAAGGAATGATAGAGTTTAAAAAAAACATCAGTTAGTGATAGAAATATTAGCTTCCTCTGTTTAGGTCGTAAGTGCAATCATCATGATCATCAGTGGTGTGAAATTCATTCTTTTTAAGATTTTTTTTTTTTTTAAAACAGGTCCAGAAGTGAAGAAGGAACTAACACAAGTGCTTCAGAACCGACTTGACGATGCTGTGCTTGAAGTTGTTTCAGTGATGCTTGCACGGAACCCAATGTGTAAACTCTCTCCAGAGGATGTTCACTTCATACAAAAGCCACGCAGTGCCCCTGAGACCATCTATCAGGTTAGTAGGTATAAGTGACTCAAGGAATACTGAAATCATGTCATTCAGGAAGAGGGCGGAAAATTTTTTGACCATCTAACCAACTGCTTGCACAGATGGTCAGAAATTATTGGCGTAAAAATTACGTATTTCCAGCAAAATTAAGGTAAAAATGGCGTTTATTTTGCAACGCTGTGGTGGAAATTGTGCATCTTGTGCAAAATTTTGACAATTTTGACATTCAGAGCATGAAAGAGATCATCATTTTGAAATAATTTTCCTGGAAAATTAGGTTTTTAAAATGAGAAGCCCAAGAACTTTTTGCATTCCTATTATCTAATTCATTACTCTGTATTTTAAAACTAACATTTTATCTTTTAGCCACTTCTCACTGGTTTTTTTATTTTCTCAAAATGATTCTTTGAATTGATGGTTAGACCAAAAACTCATTTATGAGCCACGAGCAATTTTACCGATCACTAATCAACCTTAAAACTGTTAGCCTTTCCATATTTTTAACCAAGCTCTGACAAGGATTTTGATATGGTCTTTGAATCTAATTTAGCACAAAAGGTTAAAGCGCATCAAAATCTAGAAGTTCACAACCCAAGAATCTCTTCGTATGTAATCTGTGCAGTATCCTGTATTTGAAATTTGTTTTCTCTTTTATTCCTACAGTTTTCAGTCCAGAGTCATGCTCTAAGTCATTTGCAAGCATTTTCATTTTATTTGCGGCAAAATTTGCAGCAATTCCTGCACCCACCGAAATATGTAGATCCCAAACCGGCAAATCATTTTCAGGTATATTTAACCGAAAACATATTTTTTGCCTGTACTTCTTTTTGGTTTACTAACTTGGGTGAATCTCTACCGTACAACAGATCCATAATTAATAAGAGTCAAATGAAATATAATATCTATGTTCATGAGTAGATGTAAGTGCACACTCGATGAGACTTTTTCCAAAGCTCATCACCAGCTGTTTTTGTGTCAAATTTTCAGATAATGCTCTTGAAAAAACTGATCTGACAGTCAGCATCGTCATGGTCATCAGTATCGTCTAAAAAAAGGGAATAAAATGATGATAATATACATGAATCTTGAAATCTATAACACAGCAAGCACAAAAAGGGAAACCTAGATTCAAAGCTCCGAGAGGGGATAAAAAAGAAAAAATTACCAATCACTGATTTTTCTCTACAGGACTATTCTCAAGCAGAGGATTCACTCAAGCGGGTGAAAGAATCAGAGATTTTCCTGTATAATCAGAGTCCAGCATCAGGAAATAAAGGCATTGCATGCATTGCTTTGGCTCTTGTTGATCGGGAAAACACTCTGATCGAACACTCAAACTACCCAAAACTCAATCCTGATAGTTACCGAGAGGACCCTTTGACTGTGCAACAGTTCGAAGCTTTGACTGCAACCAACCTTTATGAGCCCAACCCAAGTTTATCAGCTCCAGGTATGTTTAGCATAACTAATAGCTGTCCATAAATTTTACGTAGAATACAATGGACGCATGATTTTTGTCTACATTAATTCACACTTCCCGCTCACAGAAAAACCAGAGTCTCCTTGAGTCATTTACACCACCGTTGAAGTATACCATACTTTACTTTGCTTATCATGACCATGAAGCACCTCAAAATAAAGTGAGCATTTTTCTTGTCGACAGCAATGGTCGTCAAAAAACTACAGCAACTTTTTTCAATTCAAAGTCCTCAGATTCATGCCCATTTTATGTTGTCGGACCTCTTGAAATTATCAGTCATTGAACAGTAGTCATTTCAGAAAATTTAAACTGTTCTATCTTATTTATTTTAGCGAGTTCACTTCTAGATTTCTCATTCATGGCTTAATTCCAGGGCCTGAAGCTCTCATCGAGTTCCGAATTTGGAAACAAGGACGCGTCAATTTGGAAACCCTATGTCAGAAGCTGAAAGGTAGCGTTCGTCATTCCCTGTGGGACTTGCTCATGGAGTTGAAATTATTGACGGCCCCCTTAACGGAGCACGATAGAGGTAATTTGTGTTTCTTATTCATGACGGATCGAACTCCCATTTCAAACCGGATTCTGTATCCACTGACATTTTTACAAACAAGAAATGTGTTTTATCCAAAATTGTGGAAAGATATTTGAAAGTTGGAGTTCTTTAATTCTATCTTCATTTTCCGGGGAAATTTTCCTTTTTTTACATTATATTTCAATCAAAAGTTGAAGCCCTCTCCATTAAAATAACAGCACTATTCGTCTGATTTGAGTGCAAGAAATGATTCTCATGTCGTGCCTTCAATTTCAGAAGTTTCAATTGTTGTCAATCGTACCATTTTTAAATTTTTGACTCGAAAATTTAAAAATGAATTTTAAAATTTAGACTCGAGGATTGCTGTCACTATATCATCAAGCAAATCTTCATCTACCAAACTGGCATTATCATTATTTCTCTGTCCTTCCTGAGATTTATATGTGGAGCATCACAATAAAAAAGTAGAGAGGAAATTTTAGAAAACTATTGTTCACATTTCTTATAAAAGTCAAGGTGCATAAAGGACCCTCTCTTTGTCCAGGGTTTATTGTCCAGTTTTATGGTTCTTTTAAATCAATGAAAATTGATAAAATTGTCAAATATTTAACCTGTCAGGTGCACCTTTTTTCAGCCAAAACTCCACTAGTCGCCCTCAAATCAAGCATCTCATCAAGTGGTGAGAAGCAACCAATTTTTGTATGAATTTTGTTTTTCACATAATTCCTTTGGTATGAAAGAAGCTTTTATATGAGAAGTGCCAGTTTCTCCCGCCATTTGTATGCAATGAAAATTTTTTCAAATCCTCAAGCTTCAGGTTTCAAGAAGAGTGAAAATCCATAATTTAACCACTTAATTGATTCATGTTCATGATGTATTCAGTCCTGATCTCATGAATTAAAACAAAGTTGATTTGAATTTTTCACAGACGACGGTGTCCATGGTCAGCTCCTAGATGTGCACAGTCAGTTAATGCCGCAATGGATGCAATTTGCATCCGACTTAGGTGTACCGTCAGTCCTTGTCAACACTGTAACTTTAAGTGCTCGGTAAGTTTTTGGGGGGTCAATTAGATTAATGTATTATTAGTTTGTAAATAACTCGAACTAACTTGATTAAAAAATAACTTGTTTCAATTCCAAAAAACTATTGATATGCCTTAAAAATTGTGAAAAATGGACGCAAAAAATCAACATATTTTCATTTTGACCCTAATAATCAATTCTCTGAGTAAATATCTGTAAGAATCAATATGCTTCCGTCATATCGGGTGCATTTATTTTGTAAATGTTGCAAAATGCTGCTTTCAACAGTGGTATCAGTATCCCAATCTCAAGTTTCCTGGCACCAAAGTCCCTTTGCTTATAGATGGTCATAAACATTGTATCTGATCTTGACTTTACGTTGTAAATACATGAGAACTACCTTACTATTGCACTTCTTTATCCAATTTTATGGTACATACCTTAACATGTTGTCTGCTACGATTATTACGGTTTCCTGTCCACATCGTCAGGGGGGTCCACAGAGACCAGAGGCTATGAAAGCTGTGGTTTGGTAGCTTTTAGAGCTTGCTAGCACCCTTTGTTGGCTTGCCACTTCACTAAACGTTACTACATTGTCCTAAAGAATGCACCACTGTCATTCTTTTGTAATTTTTACTCTCTTTACCAGTAATTGCATGTGTAAATTGCTGCTTCTTTTGCCATTGCTGTGGCCTGATGGGACCAGTCTGATCTACACAGGGCAGCATGTTAGTGGTAGTGCGTTGATGATGATAATGGACCACTAGACAGGGTACGAATTTAAGCATTCTAATACATGTTTATTGACCAAAATTTCACGTAGAACACGATTCGCGCAACAAAAGTTACTGAAACCAACTGCTAACGAAGATATTAATGTTTTTATTTCACATTGGTTACGAGGATTTTGAACTGCCCGCTCACAAGAAACTCAAAGCTCTACGTGAGTCAAATCGCGCACTACAATGGTTTCAGCAAGCTTCTCAATCGAGCAATGTTCATTTCCTACCACGTGTTGTTCAAACTATGAGCAATTTGCTATAGCTGAGCCAAAGCGTCATAAGTGAGGCTGCCAGATTTTTAAATCGCAGATACTGTCATGATAACGTTTAGCGCGCGATGTGAATCACGTAGAGCATTGAGTTTTCATGAGCGGGTGGTTTGAATTTACGCATCAAGAATCATTAAATATCTTCGTAAGGAGTTGATTTCAGTAATTTTCGTTGTGCGTATCGTATTCTACGTAAAATTTTGGTCGAGAAACTTGCATCAGAATGCTGAATTTTGTCCCTTGTCTAGTGGTCCATTATACCTGTATTTCATCGATCACTTTATGTATCGGTGCTTCCTACACAATTAATCTTTAAGAATACGCTTCAATTCATTTACAATAAATACTTGACTTCTTTGCACTTCAATTTCAAGTTTGAATTATGACGTGAATGCATTTTTAATTCTTTTCACAGACATCCTATTGGCATAACAGTGAAAGAATTGAATCAGATCATCGCCTTCCATGATATCGAGGGATTTTTATTCTACGAATCAGATTCTTCCGGAGTGCACAAATCTTTGGAGAGAAGCGCCAACATTGAATTATCTTCTTGCAGATCCTGCCTTCTCATTGGTAGAAATTTGGTTCAATGGAAATCCTGCCTTTCTACTGACGAGAACTTCCACATTGATAAGTTAGATCCGAAAGGTAAAGTTGATTACTCTTGCAAATATATTTTTCCTTCAAGTTTTAAACCTATATTTACGCATTTTGCCCCAGTTGACAAGCTTAGAAGTTCCATTTTGATCTCTCCCTAAAGGCCTCTGTATGATGTTGTCAGAGAATCCGGAGTTATTATGCTCGTGTATTCGTGATTTGCCTCAGAGAGAGACCTCAATATCTGCAGTCAGTATCTTGAAGGGATTCAAAAAACTATGATTCAGCTACAAATTTTCTATTTCTATTTTAATTTGAAAACAACATTTAATATACTCAACATGAAAAAAGGAAAGAAATTCGAAATATTAAGGATGGAAGTAAATAGGTAGGAATGTTACCAGCTCTAACATAATTATTATCTTTGGTTCATTACAGAAAGCAGAATAGGTATTTAAAGGGAGGGATTTGAAACAGCTGATTTTATTTTTCAATGTTTTAACTTTTTTTCTTAAGTTTTTTTTTCCTTCAAAATTCTCCAGAAATTTCAATTTCTAGATACTCCTTGGTAAAAAATCATTTGATTTATATTCCTAAAGCAGTAGTGAGATCACCTCAATTTTGATTTTTCAAAGTTACGGCTTTTTATCCATGACCAGTTCAAACTTATCACATATGATTCGTTACTCTGGCAGATTCTTTCCCCATCTTTTGACTGGGAAAGGATTTTTTTTTATTCAATGTCATTAATTATACTTTACAGTTTCATATTTAGACTTTGGAACATCTTTAACTCACTTCCAGCAGCAATTTTCTGTTTCAGCCAGAGATTAAAGATTTACATGTTTTTGTTTTTCCCCCTAAAAACTATATTTGTTTATATATTTTTTACTTTGATTTCAGCTTTAAAAGTACTCCAAAAGTTTGCACCACTTCTGAGGAAAACTGATGATGGCTCTTACCAATTTGTGTCACGGCAGCGGTATCTATTGATCAGTGTGACAAATCAAAAGGTATGGTGTGAAGAGTCTTTTAGTTTCTGATCCACTGTTTTTAGGAAGCAGACACTTTTCTGTCGCAAAATTAGAAAACGGAAAATCTAGTATTTCAATGGAGAATTTGCACATAAAAATTTTAATAAACTGAGTTCGCAGTATTTTTCATAATTTTTTTCTGGCATGGGAAATTGGAGAAAAATTGATTTAAAAGTGAGAAAACATGCCGTCTTATGACGTCATCTGGCGGCATTTCCCATTTAAACACATGTATTTTAGCAGAATCGGTTATTTTGTCACTTCTCTAATTATTGCTCAATTCATGAATCAAGGGTATCCTCGTGTTCAGTTCACTCAGTAGATTCCACTTAAACACGAAATTCATCAAGTTTCAGACCCTTGCAAATTCTCCATTGGGGATTACAGCATATTCCCTGTCTCATTTTTCATGTATTATCTTCTATTATGTGTATTACGTATCTTTTATTTCTTTCTTATCACTTTTTTGCACCTATTATGTTCCTTAAAAATTTCACTGAAAAATATCCCTCATTTTCCTTTTGAAAATGAAAAAAAATGGAGTGGAAAAAAAAATTAAATTTTATCAATAGCTCATATAGTTTTTCAATTCTATTGTAAGTATTTATTTCTTTTGATAATTTGCAACTCAAGAAAAAATCCTTTTCCAAATTTTAAAAATGCATGAGTTTCTTTGAGATTCTCTGCTGTGCACAAAAAGTATTCCACAGGAAATGGCTTCAATCAGTTCTTTATCAGCATGAAATGTCTGAAAGCCCTATTGCAATCTGTTGCATGTAAGAGTTACAGCCATGTAAATAGACTATCTGTGTGTTATGTATATTGTTTGAAAATCATTATGGACACTTCAAAAAAGTCTGAAATCCACTCTTGAATGGACAATCTGCATAGTTCGTAAAACGCTCTTTTAAATGTCCTGCCTCCTTGGGCAGGATTTCGTAGTTGCTGGCAATAGGGTCTGCTTAAAGGGAGGTGCAAGAAAACCCAACCTAAATAAACAATCTTTCCCAAGAACCGCCACAAACTTTCCTTAAGTTTGATTTTATGATTTTTTTTTCGGATAGGTATCAAAATAATACTTTTTAACTCTGTATTCTAGATAATTTTGCACCTCTATAATTGGGCAAAAGACAGGGTGGAATCCCTGAATCGAGTAACTAATAATTTGGGTCAGTGGCTCAGCGCTCGCTCTAATTTGTTGTCAAGTATTCTGTACCAAAAAATGGGATTATTCCATAATCAGCCAATCATCAGGCAGATGCAGAATCAGGTAATCAAATCGTACGCACTTCTCTGAGAACAGCCCTTTAATTTTTCTGTGAAACAAATAGTGTGTATGTATTGACTTATGCCTAACTTATTTTTCATAAAAATTCAAGCATGTCTATTTACCAATGTGTTCTGTATATATATCTCTTTTTATTTCATCTTATGATTTTATGGATTCTATTATTCTAAATTAGTCTTTGGAATCTATCTCAGCGGCACTGTTTAACAAACTATATCTGCAAATCAAAAATAGGCATCATGTATTGACATAGATAGTCTTGTTCAATTTTAGCTTGAACAAGCTAAATCTCTCTAATATTTTGCAATTGAAGGTGTGAATTTTATTATCTGTATAACGGGCAGTCAAAGAAAAATTTCCAACACCTTTTACACCATCTTCAAAAAAGTACCTTCTCTGTCATAGAAATGTGTCCTAATGGTTGAATCCTCCAGATACGAGGAAGTAAAAAGTAATGATATCTATTTCAAAAGAGATAAAAGTGCCACAATACCCTGTTTCCTAGTTTGCTATCAATAGAAATATCAACCTTTGAAAATATCACAGGAAGAAAGTGTGGAAGAAACCTCAGTTGGTTCTAACACTGTGAGTAATATCATCCAAGCTTTTAATCAAAGGGTGATCACTCTATTAATACTGGACGTAGATGCTTGGTTTTGGATTGATGATTTTTTTTGTTTATTCGCAAAGTAAAAGATTCAACCATTGAATTGGGGCTCTGCACACTGTATCAATGACTTGTTATTCTCACTTTAAAAGGAATATTCAATGACTTAGATTTAAGTTTATTATCTTTCTTTCTCTCAATTTTTTTTTGCCCAAGAGCCTGTATAATGATAGTTGTTACTAATATATATTTAATCTATCTCATTCAACAGTATTTTCTCTATTTTGTGTTATTTTACTCTAACCTTGGATATTTTTTTTAATTAGTCTACTAACCCTTACAACACAGTCGTCACGGATGTTGAAAATTTAACACACTTTCCTGCACATCCACCTCGACCACGCAGTAGTGCTGCTCTCCATCCATCTCTGTTGGAGGCATTTCGCAATACTATTCTCTTACCAAAAAAAGGCTCTAAATCTGTAGCGGATCCAGTCGTTAGAAACACCCAGCAAATGCTCAACATTCTTAAAAGTGATTCCAAAGGTAATTAACTCTTCAAATTAATGTTCAGTTTTTTTAGTTATTAATTTTTGCAAACTGATATAAGATCATGACTCTAAGTAAATTTTTCATATCGTCCATTCAAAACTTTTTTCTTTTAAACTTAACTCTTCAGGTTTTAATAGTGCTTGATTTTGTTGTTTTTTTTTTTTGCTTTTTCTATTATTGGAGCTGTTTGAACCATGAAATCAAATGTCTCATATCTGTAATTTATTTTTAAGAAGCAAATACAGTGGATTAATTAACTCTCTTTTTCTAAAGCCCTCCTCATTTTATACCAAAAAAAAAAAAAAAAAAAAAAAAAAAAAAAAAAAAAAAAAAAATTAACAAATAATTAAATAATCTCAAGAATTCTTATGCCTATTTGAGGAGGCATTACATTATTGCAATGGATTTCGCTTATTTTAGAAGAGAGGGTTTTTTTCTTGTTCCTCTTTGAAATTTTCTTTTAACCCCTCAGAATCTTAAATTGATATGAAAGATGAGAAAAGGGTGTCTGAAAAGCCCAAAAAGATAGAATGAACAGAAATATGTCACTAGAAAACGATCTATATTTTAAGTTGAATTTTATTTATACTTGAAGAAGAAGAAGAAAGGAAAGGTTAGTAATATTCCAATGTCCAAAGGGTGGTAGATTCAGCGAGATGAGTCTGCCTCCATTAATGAACCTCTTTGCATTGAAAGTTTAAGAATTCATAATACGCTGTCATACTTACAACAGAGCACCATCAGTTTCAATTTTTCAGGCAACATAATATTTTTTGTACAAATTATCAATTCAATTTTTTTTCCAGAACAACAGAAAAAACTGTATACAATGTGGCAAACAAGAGGCTCAACACCAAACATTCCAATGGCTCCTGAAATTCTCGAACTATTCATCCAGAATGCCCGCACCATCCATTTCTGCATTACACCTCTTTTGTTTTTACCTAGGTATGGTCTAAAATTTCATCGCTTGATATTGGTGCATTTAGTCAAATTTTACCTTGATTTTTAGACAGATTTTATTTGTGTTATACATTCCATGTAATATGTGTAAAACACTGCAGAAATTGTGACTTGGGTCCGCCAAGACTCAAATTCCAGATTTTGATGTCACTGCAACACAAGATAGGTGGGCAAACACCCTGACCCCAAAAAATACGAATCCCAACCAATGATCCAATGGTTTGAAGTTTAGATAATATATTCTGAGGGAAGAAGTCTTGAAGTTTCACTTTAATGTGTTCCATGTCTAATACATCTCTATCGAATACATATGTGGGATTTGTTGAGCACCAATTTAAATCAAACTGCTATCAACTTGCACAATGAGACTTCGAAAAAACTGAGACCAAAAATTCTAAAACCTAAACTTGAACTTTACACACCTGACAAAAATGAATGTCCTAGAACATACTGTTTGGATTTTAAGAGCCCTATAATGGTAAATTCTCAAGAATATCAGGAAGGTAATGGAAGAAATTTGTTTTTGAATGGGTTAAAGTAAAGTTCGATTCAAAGGGACAAAAGTAATTTTTTCCCCTTTGTTGATCATTTCCCCCTCAAAATTTGACTGAATGATGTGAATTTAAAATTTCAGGTGGAGAATACAGTCAGCTGCCACTAGAGACCACGCTTTAAATTTAAGTCCATGCAATTCTCAGGTAAGTCTTTTTTTATAATAATTCAATATCATACATCTGTTGAGTTGCCCTGGTGTAGAACAATGGAGCCTCTCCCAACAGAACATGAATATGGTTGAATGAGGTTTAGTAAAATTGTCAAGACTTCTGATTCTAAGGTCATATTTTTTGCTTAAAATTGATCCTATTGATTTATATTATTTATTATAATTATTATCATTGATTGAATTATATTCTTGATGTGCCCCTAGCATTCTGTGTAAAATTTTGATGAGAAAACACGTGCATGTAATGTTACTTTAATTATTATCTTGCTGATGATTCATCGATCATGAATAAATTGTGACTTTGAAAAAAGTACAAATTAAATTAAATCTCCTTGTATGTCTCACTGGACGCCTTCAAAATATGAGGTTTTTTCATATATCATGGGTGTCTCTGAGATGGAGGAAAAGATGTTGCAAGAAACAAAAACTTTTATTTTTTACTGTATTTGGCTTTTTCCCTTGCAGTGTGCCCCTTTTAACTTTCAGTTAAGTATTCAGCACCTTTTATCCAAAGTATCGTTGAACACTTCAAGAGTTTATCTGATTTATCTTTCTCAAACAAGTGTATTTAATTTTTTGGAATCAAATTCCATTATTTTAACATTCCCATTGAATGAGTGATGATAATTTTGGCTCATATATACTCAAAGAATGCCCTCTGACAATGCACCTGATATTTCAGCACAGACAGTAGAAGTGTTTCTTTTTGAAATGTCAGAGTAACTGTTTATTTTACTCTTTGTTCTAGATTTTTTTGAATGAGTGCACAAATTCAACAAAACAGGATGAAAAATGGCATGAACTTATCTGCACGGATTTCATTCATGAATACAAGCAGTACCTCCAAACCCTAGGTTTTATACCTATTCAAGTCGGAGCCCCTCAGAATCAAAAAGGGTAACTATCATTGCTCTTTTGGCAAGTTTTTTTTACTTAATTTTCACCCTAGAAGCCTCGTGTTGGTAGTGCAACAAGAATAATGGGAATTATGGTCTGTAATGTAGTAGATTCCCTGTCAAAGAGCAGCCAGTGATCATTCTTGCATGCTCTGTTATGTGGTTTTTCTTTGTCTCCTCCAAATTTTTCTCTTAAAATTTCATGCTAAAACGTTAGGCAGTATTGTTTTGAAAAAACAATGTACAAGTGGAAATTTTGAAACATAATGGGCCTGTTGCAAACTTTTGCTAGAGCAAAAATAAGACTTGTTTCTGTCAGGAAATGTCTCAAAAGATAGAACGACACCTGTAACGAAATGTTCACCTGTACCGTAGTATCGTTTTTGAAGCGGGAAGCTCCAAAAAATGCAAATTTCTGATGCAGATTGTGAAGTTAGGAGTGCATTTCAAACTTTGCCAATGCGCTAATCGTCATTTTTGAGGCATTTACTGATAGAAACAACTCTTATTTTTTCTCTAGCAAAAGTTTGCAATAGGCCCATTGAGGAGTTGTAAGTGGAAATTGAGAAATTCTGTGATAGAGGAATTAGGTGTAAGGGTAAATATATCTCGGAAAACTTTGTTCTAAAAACAATTGATCGTTTAAATTTTGTTTCTGTCAACTTTTTTAGCCCGATTTTATTCAGTTGTTTTTTTCACCAAAGTGTCAGATTCATTAAAGATACGAATAGTTGAAGTCCCTCCTTGAGCGTAATGTTGCAGCTAAAATAAATAATTAAAGCTGCCAGACGAAGCACCCCACCAGCATAAAACGAGAAAAATCATTCAGAACAGTTATATTTTCTCCGTTAATTCAACTTTCTTTGGAAGGATTGGGTCTTTTACCATATAAATATGTAATTGAAACATGTGTGCTCATTTTGATTCATTTTTTACAATTGTGCAGAATTTTGTAGAAAATACTAGGGTAGTCTCAACAAAGAATAAAAGTAACCCTTGTGTTTTTTAGTGTTGCACTCTAGATTAGCACAGTTTGGTCTGATTCGAAGCATGTCACTTAATTAATTGTTTGGCATTTTTTTTTTATTTTATTTCCTCCTTTCTTATTATCAAAGTATGGATTTTTGTCACAGAAAACCAGAAGACAAGAGTTCAGCAAAATTAGGAAAACATTCTTATTTGCAAAAGTCATCTCTCGGTGGAATTCTCCTCTTTGAGTTACTCTTTCATGAGCCGTTTTTTTACGCCAAACTTTATGCGCTCGAGTGCACACGGCTCCAACAAGCAAAATCCTTGAGCCCTCTTATCTCCCAGGTATTTCATCATATTTCCTCTTTGTTTTACCTAAGTGCTCATTTCAATATGGTATATAGGTTATGGCAAACATATTTTTCACAGAGACATATTTGTAGAGCATGCGATTAAAAATTTCTCTTATGTCTACTAATGTAGCTAGCTTGAACTTTCCAGGAGTCTTCCTTTTTTATCAAAGCACATTTCAAGAAAGGTAATAATGAATGTAATCTTTTATGTATGGTAATTTACTGGATGAGACAACTATTGTGTGTGACAGAGAGTTCCGCTCCTACGCAGTTTTTCCCAAAGGAGTCAAAAAAGTTGTGCTCAGTTTAAATACACATCAATCAAAAATTCACATCCAAGCGAGGACAAGCCTTGTTGAAAATTAATCTCTTATGATTCAATATTGTTGCATCGAAGAAGTATTTTTTAGGCTGCGGTGAGAGGGTTAGTAGACATGAAAATGTAATTAATTCGATAATGAATATTGCATTTAGGAAGTTTTGAAAGTCGTGAATGGCATATTTTCTACCAAAAAATTAATATCTGCCAGTTGAAAATCAAATTACTTTTGTTTTATCTTAGAATGCAAATTGAATGTGAAGACATTACACAAAATTATGTAAAAAATTCAGAATATTAAATCAAGTGAAAGTTCAGCATGGAAAGGCGATCAAGAATCTTCGATTTTTTTTTTAGTAGTTTCTACAAGTGAGTACCAGTTCATGTGATTATAATTAATTTATGTTTTTTTCGTTCAAAGTTCACGGTGAGTTTTCTAGACGAATGTGATCGTGTGAAAATCTCCATGCACTTGCATTCCTTCACGTACGACTACCACTTGCGCTGCCTCCACCATTTTGTCGCTGAACGAGAGACCCTATTGAAACCTCGATATCACATAACTAGCTTCCTGGATGATTTTCTTAAGTACTATTCCAAATCGCCCAACTATGCAAGAAGCCTAGTTCACACTGGTAAGACTGAAGGGGATTCAGTTGTTTTAGCTCTTTCTTCGAGCTATCGATGAGCAATTTTTTTTTAATTTATCATGAAAGTGTTGCAATGTGTATGCTTTGATGATGTTATGTAACAGATTCAAGATGATCGATTGGTCAATGAAGACTAACAACTTTTAATTATTGAGGGGAGCCAGAAGTTAAGAAATGACAAGCAAGACACTGAATCTGTACAAAATCTGTGTACTGATCAAAAATTAAATCAGTCCTAGATATAGGATGTATGCAGAGTAGCAAATATACTAACGAATATTCAAGCCTAGAACAGTCAAGAAAACAGAGAAAATTCACCGAAAAATCAAAACTTCTTTTTATTTTATAAAATATCTTCCAATAGAGTCCTTTTCTGACTAACTTTATCTTTTACTAAAATGTAGAAGTACACTTAGACTGGAGGTATGCTCAGTCGATGAGGGGCAGGAACCACCCCAAAAAATATCAGGATTTTTTCTCTCTTGGCCTTGCTAACTTATTTCCCTCTTTTTCCTCTCAGTACAATGAGAAATTCTTAGTTTCAGTATATTTTACAGGAAAATAAACTTGAATTGTATGGTTTCTGTTGCAGATACGTTGTTCAAGGATGATCTAACAACTCCGCCAAGTCAGCTTTTCAATTATCTTCTCAGTAATGAAAAAGTTTACAACATGAAAGTTCTCTGTATGGAGTCGTTAGTTGGCTTTGGATCCGGGTATCCAGTCGTACGTCTCTTTCCTTCCTATTTTTAAAATTGCTTTAGAGGAACTATTTATCTTATAGAAGTCAAAATTAGTCATTTATTACAACTAATTCATTGATTAAATTCATGAAAATCCAAATATCAAAGAGAGTCTTTGTCCTCTATGGAGGTTTTAAGCCAAGTTGAGAGTTGCTGCAAGTAGATTAGCTGTTTTAAGACATATCTCCCTAAAACACAGAGACTCAGATACAGATGGTTATCTACTTGAGCCAGATTCTGCCCAGAAACGCTACGTGGCTCAACAGACGAGTGTTGGATTGGTTACTGAGAGACTGTGGGATTAGTGCTCATCTAGGACGTAAAATTTTTTTAGCAATTATATTCTATATTTTTGACCAGTCATTGATAAAATAGTGTAGTTGACATTTTAATCTAAATTAAGTTGAAAATGAATTTTTGGTTTGTTGGGAATCTTAGAGGAACAAAATAATTTCCACATTTAAGCAAGAAAATAACAGCAATGCCAATTTACAGCGAGCTACCTATCAATTTGATAATATACAAATACTGGTAGTAATGTGATTAGAGTTAATGGTTCGCCGTCCCAACATCGCTTTGTTTCATACTTAAAATGCTGTCAGTGATAACTTGTCATTTTTTAGCTTTAGCTGTTCAACTACCTATTCGGCTAGATGTTGGAGACTACAAACGGAGAGGTTGGTCACTTGAGTTTTCTCTGATGCTGCAGTTTTATCAGCATTTTGATTTGTGCTGTTCGAAAAGTTCTCTCTATTTGCTTTCTTCTTGAATTTTGCAAATTACTCACTATTGTAACTCTCTCTTTCCCCAGGAGAGCGAATATGTGCTTGTCCAAATTAAAAGTATGCCATTTGTCACTTATAAGGATAAGAACGACATACAGCAAACGGACGACTTTGATGTAACGGTGATAATCACGCAACTTGATAGCGATGTCTCTGCTCTTTGTTTGCAGTACTTCATATTAATGACCAGCCGAAGGTAGGCCGTATTTCAACGCTATTTTTACATATTTTACTTACTATAATGAACTGAAGAACTGAGACTTCAGGTAAAATCAGAAGATGGGCAAGGTAGACTAAAAATTTTAAAAGAAATACCAGAAATATTTAATAATTTCAAGAGTGAGGACTTCTCAATATTTTAAGCAAGGGGCTCCCTTCTGCTCTGGCAACCCATCTTATAATTTTATTTTCCATATTGTCCTATTGTATTCTCTGGTCAGTAAAGTACTTGTAAGCTGGCAAATAATATTTTTCCTTTTTTAAAATCTATTCTGAATAATCAATTCTTGGTGTTGCTCCCTGCCTTGACTAATAGAGGTGGACGAAACTCAGTGTTGCCAGACTCCTGTCTCAAGTTATTTAAAGTAAGAAATATTTTGATAGAAAAAAAAACAAACAATGTAGAAACTAAGTTACATCATGTTAATGTTTTTGCAGAGAGCTGTATCCTATGTTGGAAGTGGAACAGAAAATCGGGAAGTTTCGCACTGTTTCAACTGCAAACCCTGTTACTTTCAACTCTCGATCTGAGTCGCAGTGCTCTGACATCTCTGATTTTGAGAAGGAGCTGAGCCATGACTCAGCAAACTTAAATACCACCAACAGTATTACACCTACAACCAATGGAAATGGCATTGAAAAGAAACCTTTGTCTACTATCCGGTAAGTTTACCTCACGATAGTATAATCACAATCTTATTTTTGTATCTCAACTAAAGGTTCTGCATCTCACGTGTTTGACTAAAGTTCACATCACATCGAAGATATTTGATTAGCCTTGATGTGAAGTGCAATTTAACTGATCATTAGTCAGGAATGTAAAAATTCTAAAAAAAATTGATCAAGTATCAGTTAAAAGATCAAAACTTGTCATGATACAACTTCGCTACTGTAGCTTCCAAGCATAACGGTATCAATCATAAGGCTCTCTGCACTCTTTTCAATGTGTACGGTTTTAAAATATTTTTCTTTCTTTTTTTGTGTATATTTATTTGATTACTTACAATTTAGTGGTTTTTTGGAAAAGAGGCATATATGTAGCGGAATCCCCTCAGTATTTACCCCATATTTTGGTCATTCAGGTTTTGTCACCACGCACTTTCAATTGATCAATGATTAGGTTTTAGTTTTTCAAAAAATCACTTGCACATACTGCATCGTAGACCTCATTTTTTTTTAATTTTTCACGAAATGAGGACAATTTTTCTTTTTTTAATACAAGAAACAATTTAAGTTTGGAGGCACTGCGTTGATGTATAAATGTTAACAGCAAAAGGGACTTTTTTCTCCTTTCCTTTTTCTGCTGGTTTATTGGCTTTGTGTCTAGCATTTTCAGCCAACGTTAGACGGTATTTTGTTGTCCATAGACATTGAGGGATTGGCACATCCATGCTCCAAGCTTTTCAAATTTTCAGGGATTAAGGCTGAGTAGAATCTGTTTCTGCAGATCTACTGGTCAGTTCTGTGAAGACTGCAGTAACTTCACTAGAATGTGAGCCCCTCAGTGCATGAAACACGTGTTAACCGTGATTCTCGTTTAAGTGGAGTCACTGTTCTCTTTCCGTAACACCAGTGTGGGTGGTCCCGCATAAGTGCCAAAAAATTCATATACCTGACCCAAGTATTATGCATTGAATTCACTAAAAGCTATATTTCATGCTGTACCTATTCAATTCAGGCAAGAGTCGGTGAATTACATGGGCTACTATTCATCGCACGAAGAAGTTATGCAGCAATTAATGAGCGAGCAGAACGAAGCAGCGCGTAAGGAGATCATCGAAATGCTGAACAAAGGTGCTGTTGATTGCAGAACCCACATTCTCTGGGACAGACTTCTATCCTCCTCGAATTCAGTATGTGTCATAACTGCAACCAAATTTTTTCATTATTTTTGTAAACCAAAGCTTTTCAGGCATCCGTCGAAATTACCTCTTACTCTCTTAAGATCTCTTAAATTTTTTCAAGGAATTTTCCCTGTTGCTCCTATGCAGTCGCTCCTAAAATGCCCTTAAATTGTCAAAGTTGCAGAGGAAAGGCAGGAAAGTTTTCTATTTGCTTGATTCGTTCCTGACGTTCAAGTTACCAGAACCTTTCAGTGAAAATTTTCGAATTTTAACTGCGATAAGTGAAACATGAGAATTTTTAGGTAATTTTCCAAATTTATGACAGTAATGTGTCAGAAAAAGCAATATTTTAATGTATCATTTATAAGTAATTTGCACATAGAAAAATTCCGAAATCCACTTCCTAATGAAGTATTTGGATAGTCCATATAGCTTGTTTCTTAATTTCTCACAATCGCAGACCTTTTTTTCTTTGTCATTTGCCACCAGGTTTGCTCAGAAAGATATGCGAGAGAATCTAACCAAATAATAAACAAATTTTGGAAAAAGAATGTATCAAAATGAAGTCCCTCATACACTATCAAAAGTACAGAATCCAAAGACATTGAATCACGTAGACCGTGCATCCTGTGTTACGGAAGGCGAGACAACTTTGAAAAATTCGCATGTGATGAGTGGTGGGTACCAACCCACATCGATGAGTTCGTGTGTCCCAGTTGCGCACATCTGCGCATGCGCAGTAGCGGTTCCAGTGAATTTTCGTCGGATTGTGAGGCTTTTTTCCTCGGTTAATAATTAGTTCGGAAAAATGAAACAATGCTATTCGGGTGTAAAATTATGTGTTTTATAACTCTTCTTCTTAGGAATTTTGTCTAAAAATGGACTCTAAACGAGATATTCGTGAAAAACCGAGCGCGGGCATGAATTCTCCATTGCCTCTTCGAGTGCTTGGGACACACGCTCTCTCCCCTTCCCCGCCCGCCCATCATGGGGCTCCGAGAGACTTGCCTCGCTCCGCCAGTACTAAACCGAGCTGAACGCACGGTCTACGTGATTCAATGTCTTTGACAGAATCTCTGTCTGTTGTCTGCTTCTAAAGAAGTTAAAATTGTATGCAATACAAATAACCTGACTCACTTTTTTTTCAGTCAACTGCTTTGACGTATACTGAGCTTCAAGAACTCCACAGTTTAGCGGATGTGAGATTATTTACCGAAATGGACCCTCCCCTCTCAAAGATACTCTCACAACCCTTATCGTGGTATCAAGCGTTGATCAAAGTGCTGACAGTTAAATATGCTGACAATGTACGCCATTTTACGTCACCTGAAGGAACAATGCAGCATCTCCTCATCCTTCATTCCAGACTGCTCAATACCTTTGTCATGCTCACTTTAGACCTACAAACATCAAGATGTGTAAGTTTTCACCCTACTTTTTTGTTTCCACATTCCCCCCCCCCCCCATTATCACATTCTGATAAACATATAATTCGAAATTACAGAAAAATTTGATCATTTTTCAATGATTGAAAAAGAGGTAGTAAGGTAAGTAAGGTAAAGGTTTCAGAACTGGCCCCAATTACGCTATCTCTAAGCTCTAGTTTGAACTGAAACAAAAAGCAATAATTTTTTAAAAAGCTGAATTAAGTTTTTAGTTGTGTATTATGAACTTTTTTTATTCTAGTGGAGTCAAACTCAAACAGCAGGGAACTTGTCTGAAAGATTTTACTGTGTTTAAATTTTCTGAAGTCTAAATGTGGAAATTTAGACGTGATTGGATGCAAGCACATTTAGAATTATACGAGCATTAATACCTCTCAATTTCTTCCAAATCAATTTTAGCAAAATATTGATGTAGACGAGGAAATTCAGCAAAATCATTTTTGAATGTTCTCTCCCAACTCTTCTCTTGATCAACGGAGGTTTTTGTTTTTACAGTTGCTAATGATTCGCTGTTTTTTTGTTCAATGATAGGAGTTGTCGGTGGTTCAGCGCAAACCAATCGACAAACACAACGAAGTCAGTGCTGGAGACTTCTATGCACTATTTGAGGGCGTTGTCAACACTTGTTGTTATCACCTGTGGACTGGAGTCATCTAATGTGATTTTACTTCTGTCAAACCATGGTTCAATTTTAGTCTTCTCTCAAACGTTATTTAGTTGTAAGTATTAAGTTTGTCCTCTCGGAAAATTGACTGAGTTTTGTACCCACAATATTTGTTGAATGTTTTAATTTTAGTATCAGTGAATGTTGAAGAATTTTATTGAACCCACTTCCAGATACCTCTATTTTACTCCATTTAAAAGTTGATCAATGCTAGGGGTCCGCGAAGCGGACAAAAAAACTCCCTTCAAATAAGCTGGATGCAACCTGCGGAATTTCGTGGCGGTCACTCCAGTGAGTCGCGACTCAACGTGCGGCGGTGGTGAATTTCATTGAACACCGGGAAATACGTGAAGAATACATTCATTAAATTCTCCCCCCTTTCTCCTAAATTTTAAGAATACATTTTTATTGAGCTGCCAACAGATCTAAGATTTTTTTAAAAATTTGTCATCGGTTTTACTTTAATTATCTAGGAATGATGAAAAAAAAACTGTTTTTACTTTTTATTTTCCTTTTAAATTTTTTTTTTATCTATTTCAATTTAAAACATAGCAGTATATACAAAATTGTGGTAAATACTCTGCACTCCGCGTTCAAGATAAGTTAAAATATGATGATGGAATTGAGGTTAGGAGAAAAGGCATTGCAAAGCGTTTCGCTTCACAAAATGCGAAGCAAATGCAAAGCTTCACGGACCCCTAATCAATGCTATTACTGTTGATCAGTGCAACATATGCTTTCATTAAGCTTCACCAGGGTCTGGCTAAATCATACAGATTGGTGTACCATAATGTTCATCATTGTAAATCATCGGTGATATTCTAGTGATAAGTCTTGTTCTTTAGATGAAGAATTCCAGTTTTGTTTAAATCTAATCAGAAACGTTTTATTAGTTTGCCCCAGTATATTGAAATGTAATCTTCCTCAAATTTTCAGCTAATGACAAATGGGGTGAAAAGAGTAAAAATTGGGCTTACCATGTATTAATTTCATGCAGCGTACATTACTATAGTCAATGTATGTATATACTTCAAAAGGACCTTGCCTCCTGTACTTGAAAACATACTTCTATTTCATTTTTATAATTCGTTCAGAGACAAATAGACTTACATATAACAGCAGCTCAAAATCTACTCTGTATTACGAACATTGCCAGTTTGCCTAAAATTAATTTTCCTCACAAGAGGGAGTATTGTTCGTATTTTTTTTTAAAGTTTTCTATGATCGTATGAAAATGTAGAAAAGAAAAAAAAATCATCAATAATTGATAATCCTCATCTTTTTCTCAGAATATGTGCCCAGTAGGCACAGGAAATTCTTCTTTCCATGTATTTCAGAAGGCATAAAAGAAGTATCATGTGAGTTGCATTTTTAAGTTTTGCACTAATTAGTTTAAGCAACCCTCAAAATGGGTATTTGGAGTTTAAAAATCCATTTTCTTTATTACAAATATTTATTTGTGCAAAGGATAAAGTGCATCAATTGGCTTAGAAGGTCGGATGCGAAATTAGCAGCCCCTTTTTGAGCCCTCTGTATTGAATTCTGGAAATTTCCGGTTTTGAACAAGAATGTAGTCTATTAAATGTATATCGAAGCACTTGGTCGGACTGACTGTTGCTCTTTTTATGTACTCCTTGGTTTTGAAGCCATATTTCACATAATGTAAATTATATTTTTGTACCTACATATTTAAAACAGAACGAGATGTGTTATTTCACCATGAAAAGCCTCATCTTCTCCTTCGATGTTTCTTCGAGGATGAAACTTACTTTTTTGTTTCATATTATATATTACTATTTTTCTATTGCTCCTTTGTGATATTGGTACCTGAGTTGAACTGATTGTAATTATTGTTGTTGTTGGTCAAAAATCAATAATGTCAAGCATAGTTGATTGTAAGTTTTTAAGTTAGTCTTAAGTTTCAGAAGTTGCATACTTTTTACTGTCTACTTTTTATAGAAATGTTATTGTCCATGGTAAAAGGAGCCTTAGTCCATGGAGACAAAAAGGAGAGGAATTTCTGTTGAAAGCTTTAGTTCGTTTTTGTGCTAATAGAGGGAGTTAAGTTACAGTATAATGCAGTAATTTTGTATTTATCCCTAACATGACAAATCAGAATATTAATTGGACTTTTCTCCGAACTATTTTTTTAACTGCAAACTTCAATCTGCCATTACTCTGGTTTGGTTTGACCTTTCTGTTCTATTATTGTCGCAAACTGTTCACTAATATTCCTATATATTTCGGTATCATCAGTTCAATTTAAAGTTTTTGTGGATCCAGGTTCCTTTCCCTGTGAACACTTATATGTGTCTTCGTTACAATTTTTTTATACTATTCTAAACATTACAGCTCCAGAGAAATTTACTCACTCACAAATCAATGAATTTTCTTTTTTCGAAGAACATTTATGTATGTAACTGGTGAAAGTGCAGAAACACATGTCTCGATTGCAGTGTGATAAAATTTCAGTGTCTACTTTATTTACTCGAGAGTGTACTCATCATTTTTGTGCTAGAGTTCTAGAGAATACTCTTAGAAAGGCAAGAAAAAATCCTTCAAAATTGTGTGTATTGCCAATGGTTTCTCATCCATCATTCTTTTAAAAATTGAAATATGGCAGGAAATCTTCATTGCACCAAAACTGGATTGCAAGTAGCAGAAGAGAAACAATGCGATTACAGTGTTGTGTAAATCAGGCACCTTCATCTTAGCAAAATGCCTAGAATAGCAAATAAATAAGTTTGTTTTTCCAACATAAAATTGTTAATTCTAAAGAAAACGATTGCGTAAATTTTATTACCGCACATGTATTTAGTATTTTTTCGAGTAAAGAAGTTGTTTAATTTTGAAAGCATTGTAATCAAGTTGGTTTCCTTCCGCTAAATGTGATCCAAGTATGATGCATAGTTTTATTTTACCATTGATTCGCTTGGTGGCACATAAATAGTCTGATTAAGTTTAGGATAATATTTTTAAGGATTTATTTTTTGATGTGTGGCTTATAGTTGAGTCGTGAAATCTGTGAGAATGCCGTTTAATAAAATTTAGTACATAGGTGATTTATAAAAATCAAAGTTGAAGACAACCTTTCTCAAATGAAATTGAGGACTGTTTCCTTGTTGAGTGGCTAAAGAATCTACCATCCAAGTTTAAAATTTAACGATAAAAACACATTCAATACAGAGCAAATGAGTTTACAAAGCTAAGAAATAGAAAAACACAACCAGGACGTTTCGGGCCAATTAATCGGGCCCATTCTCGACTGGAACAAAAGCTAAAAAATTAAAATTTAATAGAGTCGCTTAAAAAGAAAATGTGAACCAGTTTCTGTTCAAGTATTTCACAGCAGAGTGCATTAACCGTGCCAAATCAATTTTTTTAAATTATTGTCAAAGCTACAGAAGCTAGGAAAATGACAATAACGTTTTAAATATCATCCGTAACATGTTCAGCTTTCTATCTGTTGAAATCTTCAGAAGTTAGAAAATCCGCTCAGGTGTAGCATATTTCAAATTCCCCATCTCAAGAATACAGTCCTCTAAAATTCAGTCATTTAATTCATTTCTGCATTATCAGGTGTTTCTTTTCCAACTGGACCCCTTGAAACAAAGCAAACCCAAAGTAGACCCATTTCCATAAATCACACCTGTAATATCTAATAAACTCTGTTTACCAAATTGTGTATTAAATTTTTTTAATGTCTTGAATGTTTTAGTATATCTGTACCTTCACTGGTCTACATACTGCCTTGCCATGACTAATACTTGTATTTTTTAACTGCACAGCTTCAGATTTGTTGTGCTGTCACTTCGAGTTGAGTGTGTGTGATTTCAGGTTCAGATGAAAATTTTAAATATCAAAGCAACTGAAAAATGGGGTTGAAAAATTGCAAGTTCTTTGCACTTTATTTAAATCGAGGAACACTGTCACTACTTGGGCGACTTCATTGTGCATTAAGTGCCTGCTTGGTACTGTCTCTACTTAAATCAAAATGAAAGTTTCCTCTAATTTTTCTAAAACTAACAGGTTTTCTTATATTTATTTATTTTTTTTACTCTAGGAAACAAGTTCATACAGTGATAGACACTCAAATAATACATTTAGATTGCAAGATGTAACTTAAGGTACAAAATTAAATGTATGTAAATTATTGAGTTAAAACTTATGTATGCATAAGATTTAAATTAAAGAAATCGTCAGAAGTGATTTCGAACGTAAATAAATTTCACGTATTTTAAGATATGGCTTTGAGCGTCAGGAATTTTATCATTCTAATTATTAGCATTTATAATTACCTTGCTTATTTTTTGTGCTTCAGCTTTTTACTTCATTCCTTTTGTTCAATTTTGCGTCCGTGCTAGAATTATGTCGATAGTGAAAAACTTAATCACAAACGTGCTTCTAGAATTTTTATAACTTGAAAATCATCTGTAAATTATCTTCCAGAAAAGTGTTAGCTTGGACTAACCTTAATGTATTATTTAGATTTAAGTTATCATTAATTAGTGTTTACTTATGCATCCCTCCTTTCAATCACCTTATTGTTCATCAGTCTCACTACCAAAATTTGTTACCTTTAACCTACAAAGACTCTGCTAAGTCTAGGTAAAATACGGTGACGTGTCATGTATTTATTTGAGCAGCATTTAACAAATTGGAGGAAATTCAAAAATTGACGAAGTTCTAACTTTCGGCATCTACCTGGGTCATCGTTGATTCATTGATTAATTAGTCAATTAATGACTTATGTAGCTGTTACTCGATCAGCCCTCTGTTAAGTCTAAACTTATTTTTTCTATTTAATATGTGTGTGACAAAGTCCCGTGAGAGAATTAATATGATGGACTGTAAGAAAGCACTACCAAAGCACATGAAAGAAACCTTCGATGAGTATAGTAGACAGTTTTGGGAAAACATTTATTTTTTAATATATTTTTGTACCTCAGGTTAACTATTGTGACCCAATCCTTGCTCAAACTTCTATTCCCAACTTCATGCCGAATGCGGCAAGACTTTACATCAGGAAACTGAAATAGCTCATTTAAATTTTTCCATTTGTGTGAAATTTTGTTTTTTTAAATTTATTTTAAAGAAATGTTGCTGAATTAAAAATTAATTCTCAACTTGGATAGCAGTGTGTATCCTTAATTGGGATACCTCTTTTTTAACAGTTGACTTATCTGAGCTGTAGATGAAAATTAAAATATTAAAATAATAAAAAAAACACTCACCAGCCCTAAGCAAATCTGTTTTTCCCCCCACTTTAGCAACCCTTTCAAGACCAGCTGTTAAATTGTCTTTCATAAACAGTTTATCTACATGAAAACCGAGCATAGGACGCAAACCACGATACAAATGCTCTCCTCCAGTTTCACCATTGACATGTCTCTCAGTCATCTACTTTATTCCTACAAAACTTGCGAGTCTCAGAAAACACAGAAATTCGACAATTTGTATTAAAAAAATTGAGGATCCCTCTTGTGAGGAGTTTATGAGGGGTCAGCAATTTTCCTTTGGTCTGCAAGTGAACCAGAAACAAAACATACGATGAAGCCAGGCATGTTTAAAAAACTGCTGACTAAAAAAAAAACCCCAAGAGATTCTTAGTATTAAATATAACACCAATATTAGAATCAAATTTTGAAACTTCATAAGGTTGACTTGATAGGGATAAGAAATACAACAAGAAAAATTTTGATTCTGTATTGGAACTTGGTTACAATAAATTGACAAAAAACAAATACCGAGAACAATGAAGAGAACCGTGTACAAAAACACGGCAATTTTGGCACCTAGAGCAATTAGGAACACAGTAGTGACACATACCTGAACTTGACTCATCTTAAAAGATTAAGATGTCCTCTTAAATACTTGACGTCACGATGGTCGAGGTACAAAACCACGTATCTTCAAATATGACATTGTCATACTTAGTTTGTTCTCTGGAAAACTAGTCAACGTAATTTTTTAAAAACTTCCGTGATGTTTCTTCTATGTTAGCGGAATATTAGGTATTTTCAAGCCTCAAGAACTTAGAGCAGAAACTTTGAAGCACCGCAATGGAGGTTTGTGGTTTCGCACTTTGGCCATCGATATATCAGTTCAGCAACCAGCTTAGGATTTCATCACAAAATAAATGCTAACAACCTATGACGGTCTTATGAGGATAAGATAGCGGAAAATTTTGGAGTAAAGAGAGCAACTGGAGTCCAAACAATTACAACCTGAAACTATTAAGCATTTTGAGAAAATAGATGACAAAACTTATTATTTGTGATAGATAAGAACCCCACCACCTTAAAAAAATGAAGTCATCAAGTAAACAAGTATTTCTCAAAACTTAAAAAGCAGAGGATAATGTAACTAATTTCCAGAACATGCTATTCGAAGCATTTTGAAATCCCTCTTCTAAGTAAACAAGTCATGAACAAAATTATCTGTAACTTTAGGATTTTAGATAGCACGAAAAACACAAATCAAAGAGGATATTGACAATGAAACTGTAGGATCGCGTATTTCTGTTTGCAAAGTTGCAGACTTGCTGTCATACATTATTTTTACAATGAAGAAAACTCAACGTTATCTCCTAGAGACTTCCCTGATTTTTCTCTCTCTGTGAAAAAAATCATTTACGAAAATTTCAAGCAATAGTGCTGTCCTTTGATAAAATAAAATGGGGGTGGACATTTTGAAATACCGCAACCAAGATACACATTCTTGCAGTTTCACCATCCATATTCTACTTTTCATCAGAAATGGCATAAGAAGTCACAATCAACTTAAAATTTCAGACATTAGGAAAGGTGATCAGATGAGTAAAAATTGTGTGCTTGTTTTTTGTGGTGACCTAGGATTAAAGGGCATACTTGCATTTCATTTTTAGGTATGTTCCAGCAGAATATGATAATGAGAAGCTATGTTAACATCATGGTTCGTTCTTAAACATACAAAAACATGCTTACAAGAAAAACATTCGAGTATTTGGAACATAAATTGCTCCAAAGTCTACAAATAAGTCTTGCTGGAAATTTTTACACCTAAAATTAAGACAACAGGGTTTTAGCATAACCAGTGAACCCTCAACTGCCCAAAATATAAGTTTCAGACCAGAAAAGGCATGATTGCCGTTTTGGATACACAACATTTTCCATAGCCCATTTTCAATTTGGGAGTATTCAAATTTTTAACAGGTTATCCTAACTGAACTATTTTCAATTGACTGATTGAATGACTATGCACACTCAATCAGGTTTCAATAAAAATAAAGACTCTTTTCCTAAAAAATCTGGAGAGGATAAAAAAAGTGACTCTCTTTAATTTGGATATGTTAATGTTTAAAAAATAATTTGTGCTATTTTCTCCACTTTTGAGTATTTATTTACAGTTTTCTTTTTTGGTTCGTCCAAATGAATCTGTATGCTCCAATTTTTGAGAAAGTTAATTTTCTTGATGATACAAAGGAGAATTTTCTGGGCAACAGTATAAAAATATGAATGTTTGATGATAACTGGAGTTCTTAAATTATACCCACAAAAGCATCTTTTTGGATTTAAACTCTATGAAATGCAAATCTTTTATGACTACGCCTGAATCACTCCTAATATTAACTCTACCGGATTGAACTAAGCATAACACTGAGTTACTGAAACCATCTTTCTTTTTTGCAACTGCAGCCACTTCCTGTGCTCGATACTTGAACAATGAACAATCAAGTCCCTTTTCACTTCTAACACAAATAATATAGAAACATGTGACTTTCTCCAGCATTTTAAATGCATAAACAACCAAAAACTAAAAACATAATAATAATAAAAAAAAGGAATCACAGCTCACTGACAGGTTTAGTTTCATAAGATAAAAAAAGGAATCCATTGAGATGACTAAAAATGCTATCAACTGGGATAAATCCGAGCAAAGATTTTGAGCATACTTGATCCGATTTGATTATGTATGCTTAATAAAATCGTGGATAGGTGGCATTCAAGATGAAATCACAAGATGCCATTTACGAGATGACCTCTGGATCGATAGGCGAGAATGGCGATTAGGTGTCGCAGAGCGCCCGGGCGCACTGTAAGGCGACTCGAATGTATGTATGCTTAATAAAATATTCACTGGATTTTGGAGTGAAGGAGTCCCAGAGTTTCCGAGTAAAAGTCAGGCACTAGTTGAGTGAGCGCTGGATCTTTAGATTGTTGCCACTCATGCACTTCCTCGAGACTTGTGACTCCGCTAAGAACCATCAAAGTTTGGAAGCCACATCTTTTTCCCAGTAAAATATCAGTGTTACACCTGCAGAAAAATAAATAGAGGCACTTAGGAGAAAATTCTATGTACTTAGTTTTTTTTTCATCTGAGCGTCCAAGCCTTAAGAAATATTTTCATTTGACACTCTTGGATTGATCTTGCAAAAAATGCTGTGACTACCACGTTGAGTATCACAACACCATCGATAAGTAAAGAAAGGCTATTTTATTTATTGGTCTCCACTTTAGACTCTACACCTCAGTTTTTCTTTGTAAGACATTTTTAGTTACTAATTTTGTCAAGTTTCCTTTGCTGATGTATATTGCTTTGTTAAATGGACTACATTTTGCACTTTGGAACTATAAATTCTGGCTTCTCTGAAAAAACACTTATGTGCATAGGGAAACTAATGACACATACGTTGTTTTCAAACCGGGCTAGAATTTATAGTTCCGAATTGCAAAATGTAGTCCAAATATTGCTAAACTGAAATTTAGCTTTTACCTCAGGTGGTTCTTAAAGTTTACTTTTCTATCCAATTTTGATACAGATGTTGTCAGGTTAGTATTTGTGTTCAAGATTCATAATGAATACATTAAATGAGTGAATATTTAAATAAAATAAAAATGAAAAGCTTGGAATAGAAGAGAATCTACAGCTATAAAGTATTACAGGGCAGAATTTACTGATCGTGAGACTACCAAACCATATATTTCAAAAAGCCCAATTTTTCAGGAGGGCAAAAAAACCATCTGAATTCCGTATCTTTGATGGTACAAAATTAATAATTTTTGAAGATCGCAATATTAAACTGCTCTTCTACACTCTGTAAGCATTTTTTAAAATCAAAACTTTAGGATTGTGAAAGAACAACTGAGAAACTTTTATGCTAATCAAAAGCCATTACTTTACCGCAAGAAACAGGAATTGGAATAAAGGCTCAAAGCCACTTCCTGCAGATTTTAATGAAAAATGGCGTTTTTGAAGCCCCATTCATTCTTATGGCCCTCAACTAACGAGCACACCCCATCTTTCTACTTGCACATAGTTCCATTTAGCATAAATACGTCCAAATCAGCGTCAAGATAAGATTGGGTTATATTCTAATGTTTTTTTACCGAAATATTTTGATAGCAGATGGTAGACAGCTCCTAAACCTCATTTATGCAGCTTACTGAAGAACGACAAAAATCGGGACACCTTGTTTGGTAGTTTCACTTTCAATACACACCACATGTAGTTTTAAATCCCAATTCAAATGAGTTTCTTCACTTTTAACTGAGAACATAAGTGTAGACATAGCACTGGCAGAAATGTCACTGGAGCAATTATGTAAAAGCATTGAGGCTAGCAGTACTAAAACTAGCCAAATTTTCATTTGAATACAAGCTGCAATATCATACCTATCTCCAATCATGAGGGTGCGACTTGGTGTGATATTTTCTTCTTTCATCAAGACCTCTCGTAGATATGCTTCCGGTTTTCCGACAACAAATGCTTTGCGGTTTGCGCAGGTTTCCACAGCACGTACCAAAGCTCCAGTTCCTAAAATCAACAAATAATCAAAAATTTGAAATAAATCTCAGACAGACTGACAACTTTCTGATCTTCTTAAAACCTGAAGCCTTGAAAAAAAAAACTTGATTCAGCTGACAATTACATGAAAATAAAATCTGGGTAGAGATCAATGCAACTGAGATAAGACTATGGAAAAACAAGATTTCCACATATTTGATGCGTTATATGTAGTGAATACCTGGCATGACGACGCCTGCCTTTTTCAATGGAAATTGCTCATCTGTGTTTGTCCCGACAAAAACGGTGGATTTGTTGTACAAGTAAGAGGCGGCCTTCATCATTTTTGGATAGCTAAAATGTTCATCAAAACCAACAACAACAGCTCCAACATCTTGCTCTATGGAGAATTTTGAGGTGAATTCCCCAATATCCATACCTAAAGGATCTGGCTGGAAAATTACAAAGTGAAAGTTAGCGAGTTGATAAATGTAGAAATTTTATGATCAGGGGAGAAGAAAATTCTCAAGCACACGAGCTCTTACTTCTGCAAGGAAATCTGTGCACACATAAGGAAAAGCAAAACATGAAAAAAAGGGCAGAGCAGAATGTTGATTTATTGGCTGGATTACAGCATTATTTATATTGCAATTTTGATGGTTTCAGTGTAAATAGACGTAAAACCTTGTTGAATTCGCGCTATGGTGGTATACTGTGTCTATTGATTTCTTGCAATTCAAATTCCTCATGTTTCATAAATCATTCATTGATTTAGGACCTGTTAATAACAAAATTGAACTACAGGTAAATTAATACAGTGAACTCAAGCAGAATTTGTATGAGAGGTTATGCTCTAATGTTTCGGTGTGAACCATTGCAAATCAATCATGCAATACATCGCAAACGTCACAAATTGATTTGTTGAAAATTGCAAGAATGACATAGTTACTAAGTCAGTCTACTGTGTGCACCGTACATGTGCATATTGTTATGCACGTCTGATTCAATAAAGAAACATTCTAAAATGGGGCTCCAATTTTATGACCTAAAGTACATGCTCTGACTGAAGTTCAACTTACTCCAATTCCAAAGCACTTTAAACCAGCAGTCTGAAGTTCTGCTGCAAGCCCTTCTGATCCAATGACATAGACTTTCTTATTTGTATCTGCATGATCACTGATGTACTGAGCGGCAAGATATGATGTACAAATTACTTCACTCTGAAAATGGAAAAAGCAAATAAGAGCGACCTGATGGCAAATTCCTCTTTAAAATGTATAATAGAGTGGGTCAGTAGCAATCATTTTTCCTATATCATTTTATGAAAGTATGAAATGAGCCAGGCTTCCAAAAATTTTTTCAGATTATTTTTTTACCCTAAGTGGTACTACCCTGTTTTGAAATTGCTAGAAATGGGACCTGTTTGTGACGATATTCTCGTCAGACTCTGATGACATAGTGGGTACACCCAGCCGTCAAACTTTTGAAAAACTCCAAGTTCTACATTTCATTGCCTGACAACTGTCTCAAAGCCTCCACTCCATCATCAACTTTTTTCACAGCTCTGTGCTGTTGTGGAATCTCTGAAGTTGTGATAAAAGCTGGAGATGGAACGGAGAACTGAGAGTTTTTTGAAAAGCTCAACCACTAAGTGTTCACGATTTGCTTAGAGTTCACTGTTTGTGATTAGTTTTACTTCTATTCATATTGTCTGATGAAATGGCCGGGCGGGGGAAACAGCGCTTGTGTTTGGTTAAAGTATGCTTCGCCTTGCTACACCAACTCCATTATTGGCTTTTGATTGGTCGGACTTTTAATAGCTTTCTTTCTCTTTAAAGATGATTTCATGAACTTATTGATGAACTTTTTGATTTTATTAGGAAATTTAATGAAGAAGATTAACTATACTGCACCCTTGTAAAAATTCTTCATTTCCTGCCCCATTTGTTACAGCACTGCTAAGGTGTTGGCGGCAAATATATGCCTCAGTTTGAGAGCCCCCAAACTGAGAAAAGCGGGTAATGAAGAAATAAAGATACTGAACAGGAGTAGACCTTATATCAAATCTAATGGGGCTTCTGATATTATCAAGAGGATTTTAGGAAAAACCCAATTTTTGGAGATGTTGATTTTCATGCAATGATTAACTGATTTTCATGAAAGGCAGAACAAATATGAAAGTGTTGACTTACTGTCAGAGCTCTTACTACTTTTCATTTCCATTTCTACATTTTTCCTGTATAATTTATTTGGACATTAGTGATGGTTGAATTTCTTCATTTGTCTTTCAAAACTTCAAATTTGTCAGTTATCTTCCAACCATCATCCTTCACTACTCTTTATTTTTTATGACCAGACTTGCAGCTGATAGTTACATAGATTATAGCCTGCAAATCAGGAATAATTTGGTTGCCTCACCACCAGTGGCGTCAGCAAGGCTGCATAAGCCTGGGAGTCTCCCATTCGTCCATTATATGTTTTTTTTTCATTTTGTATTCATTTAATCAAAACTCAGATTATTTGCATAGTGCCTCAACCTTGGTTATAAAGTATTAACATACTGCCGAAACCGTATTATTGACACTTACTGCATTTGTATTAAAACCTAATTTTTTGAACTTGTCCAGGAATCCGACCCGAGTTTTGGTGCTGTTGTTTGTGACATAAAAAATTTTCTTCCCCATTTCCTTAAACTTGGTCATGACTTTGACTGCACCTGGAATTTCATCCATTCCCATCCACAGCACACCTGAGAATTAATAGGCATCAAGTATTAAACATAAAAATTACAAATCAATCGGATTTACAAAAAAAGTACATAACTTGGTTCGCAATATTGCAAACTTTTGGTGACATATTACCTGTTGAAGGATGACCAATCGTCGTTATTGACCATAATTATGTATGATTTTTTGAGAATATTCTCTGAAAATGTTTCATAAAAAGTCTAATAATTATTTTTAAAGGAATAAAATAGAAGTGAACATTTTCAAACACTGCAAATAAGACGTTCCCTGCAAGCTGGTCCTAGTGTATGTTTTTTTTGCTGATCCCCTAAATCAGTCACAATGAGTGGCGTTAATAACAGCGCATGATGTGCATTTCTAACTCTATTCCAAAACAAACGAACGAACGAATTGTACAATACTAGTAGTATACATAACCTTGCAACCATGCGTGAGTGTGTTAGGATAGGTCTGTATTTTAGTAGTTATATTGATTAAATGAATGATATGAGTATTTATCATTTGTGGGAGATACCTTACCACTTTCTGATATGGATATTTACGATAATGAATATAATATTATTGATTTGATAATTGAAAAAGAAACTCAGGTTCAACATTTCTGGGTGTCTAAGTACAGCATTATTCAAGACTTAAAGTGCTGAAACTGTTAAAATTTAGCCAAGATATGCGTTTCTGCAGCTTCAGCATCCATATAATATTTATTCACATAAAGGTCCTTTGTATACATAGAGAAATTGATAGCTGGTTTGAAGCATATTACCATCACAGTCAGTCACCACAGTGTCGAAGGAATTCATAAAATTATTGAATTCTTCACGGGACATTCCTAGGAGATCTTTCATTGTGAGACTTTATCTGGAGCAAGACTCTGGGAGGACGAATGAGTTTTTCCTAGAACAGATTGGAAGAACAATTTGAAAAATTATAGTTGAAAAATACTACATGGAATCTGCTCGTGAGAAAGAGGCATTGCGAACAAAGGCAAGATTTTAAGCAGAAACTGGCAGCTTTTCAGCCAGACTTTTGACTTTATTTTCCGGTTCATTAATGAGGAATACAGACAAATAAAAATATAGATATTAGCTACCAAATGGCCCAACTTCCAGTGGGCGCTCTGTGCTCTAGGAGGACACCTATCTACATAAACACCTGGGCCATAATTCGGACATTTAAAAACCAAAGGGTTGTTTAGAGATGATTAAGTACCTGAGCCAAAGAAACTGGCTCAGTGGATCTTCTGACACGACTATCATAAGTGATGAAAATTTAGGGAGTCAGAAGCAGGGATTTGAGGTGCCTCATGAGGTTATGCTGTACAGCGTCAGCTTACAGCCTCAGCATCAGACTGAGCATCAGCCCGCGACTGAGCTCAGTATGTATGAGGGCTCTCCTAATAGGGCGCCAAGGTTTGCAACCCTTGGGCTTGGCATTGAATTCGCAGAACACCCTTTTGTATATGCTTCCACTCGGCACCTCCACATGATTCGTCTTCATCATCTTTTCCCACAGCGATGGACAGTGGACCCGAGTTAAAAATACAGCCAAATCAATACAACCACTCAGCCCAGGGCATTGGCATACCAGCCTCATTGAATGATGCCCCTTGCCAGAAGCGCTGAGATGCTGGTATCACAATGTAAGACACATTATTGAGCGATGCTGGAGATCAGCATCACTAGCTAGGTCAATCCGTCATGGTATTCGATCCCTCGGCGCTTTGTCTGATGCGGCTTCATTGTCTGCGCCGGATGCCTGTCTCATGCAGCGATGCGGCTATCTTTGCAATGCTGACGCAAACCTTGACTCTTACTTAAAGCCTAATCAAAATCGAAAAGCAATAATATAGCAGTATTAATATTCTTGGACTTAAGTCATGAAAATCATTGAGCATATCGCTAGGAACGGTCATGTAGATTAATTCCATTGGGTCTTGGTTCCGTGCATATTGGTTAATTGATTGAACACATTCTTTTCATATGCTTTTCAAGACCAGGAGGATATCAAAAAAGAGACTAATGTTAAAGACTAGTGGTTCTTACCGGAATGGACTGCGTATTATAGATCAATGATCCTGAAAGCAGAATTGCGAAGTGGAAAACAGCAGAGTGGCACAGTGGCTGAGTACTGAGTTATTGCAGCGGCAGCAATAAGTAGATTTTGATATTAAGAGAATCAGAAAAATTAGCGTAGACTAAATCGCATGAGATATATGTAACTGTAATTAACTGTATGCACTGGCATATTTACCTCACTCTTTCTTGAAGATAACCTTAAAAAGTTCGCAAGCCGCAGGTCCTGAAACCAGCTGATTGGCTGAATGCTGACACCGCTGTTGCCGCGCCAATTAAATAACGCCTTTTCTAACTTGTCTGTTTATCTCAGTATCTCAGTTCAAGGTTATCAAAGCTTATCATCCCACTTTTCAGTTTTCTGGCAAAAACAAGTATTTGTTCCTCTTATTTTCTTCCATAAGAATTCCTTTACATCCATTCATTAATTTTTTTTATTTATAGCCAGTGCGCTCTTCAAATCAACTTGTTTCAGTTGTTTCGTGGTTCTGGAGGATCGATTGAACTTTAGTGTAACTCACTGATATCCTTGAGTCTTTCCTTATTGTATTACAACTTTTGTGTTTAGCTTCGAAAATGCGATTAGCTAACATTATTTTGTGTCCGCCGTTGTTAATATAAGATTTATTGAGGTGGGCTACTTCCCAAATATTTAAGTTGGAACCCTTTTCCCAGAGGGCAGTTTGAGCAAGTGTAAAGGATTTGTCAGTGTTTTGAATAATCCATCGTCTCTACCAAAAAATGGGTAACAGATCATCTCTGCTGCTCCAAGAGGAAGAAATAGCCCAGATTCAAGAAGCAACTGGCTGTAAGTTTTGCGCAGAATGATCTATTGTACAATATATGTTTGCCACAGCTTTCTGTATTTCCTATGTGAAATGAGCCTGACGGAAAATAGTGCATGCATGATCAGGCACTAGTACTTCATTGTAGAAAAGCCAATTTGAAGAAATTGAATTACTGCTTCAATGCTTGCACATGTACTCAAAGTGGAAAGCTAGGAAACAATGATGCTATCAGTTCTCCTCTCGTTGGATTTGGGGAAAGCTCTTCCAGAGAGTCGAGGAAGAATGAGGGTACAACTTTGCCACATGAGAGAATTCTCTATGTTTCCTAGAGTCTACTCCAAATAACTTTACCCACTTCTAGAGTGCAAGGTACACTCTGCTATAGGTATGGAGGAACGGGGTGCCGAAGTGGCAGCGCTGAGAATATCGGCCATCAAGTGACGTTGCAAGTCGTACCGTCTTTGCCGCGCAGTTCAAAATGAGGTTTTGGCAGATCTGGTAGCTTCAATGGGCTATTAGATGACTTTAAAAAATTGATAAAACTCAAAATAACGAAAAATTTAACTGAGAACATGAAATTGACGAGACCCACTCTCAGAACCGAAAGTAAATAAGTTTTCAATATGGCGTCGCAGTCATACCAGTGGACGCTGTCAAATCTTTGTGTTTTGACGACTTTCTAAAATTCCATTTGTCCATACCTGTAGTAGAGTGTGCCTTGTATAGAGTGCGGCAGAGGATCTACCACCTTGAATCTTGAATCTTGTCAGTGCTTAACTGAATCTTTTGTTGCACTTTTAAAGTACGTATACTTTTCTAGCATTGATCGACATTTTTCGTGCCAGAGTACACACCAAGTAAGTTCTTGCATTTTTTGATTGCCACTAAAGATCTGCCATCTCGATTTTTCTATTCACTCCCCATGTTAGACGGAAGAAAGCCAATCCTCTGTCACATTCTAAAATGTGAGAAGTATTTAAAGAGAACTCAATAAGACGGATTTATGTTAAGTTCATACCTAGTAAATTTACTTACTCCCTTTTCAAAAGTCACAGAAAAGCTAATCGACGGTGTAAGTCGGCAATCACATAACTCTGGTTGCGACGTCGCAGACTTCCTGTCATACTTCATTTTTCAACTCAAAAATCAAAATTAGTACTTGGAAACTTCCCTGATTTTTCTTCTCTGTTTTAAGAATTATCTTAGAAAATGTCAAGCAAAAGCGTTGATTTGCTCGCCATAGGTAGATAAAATTAATTTGCAGTGTCTCAAAACACGGCAAACAAGATATTTATTTCAGCAGTTTCACTGCCAACAGGCTTTTTAATTTAATAAGAGCCTGTCTGCTTCTTCTACCCCCTCTTGTCACTGGTAAAGTGGAAAAATTGCCAAGCATGTTTCTGAAGGTTTTATTGTTAAATAAAGTATGATCCCTCAAATTCCTTGACATTTTGTTGGGACTTAATTTTTTAATGCTCCTGAACAGATTTAATTATGTATTGATGTTATCTCTCATATTTTTCCTTTCAGTCACACCTAATCAGATTGAGAGGCTGTACAGTAGATTCACAAGTCTAGATCGAGGTGACTGCGGCACTCTAAGTAGAGAAGATTTCCTGCGAATTCCAGAACTAGCCATCAATCCTTTGGGGGACAGAATCGTTCATGCATTTTTCGAAGAAAGTGGTAGCGACAGTGTGAATTTCCCTCAGTTCATGCAAGTTCTAGCTCGATTCCGTCCGATCAAGAAGGGCAAAGAAAACAAACTCAACTCAAGAGAGGAAAAATTAAAATGTGAGTCCTTTCAAATGTATATAAACTTTTCAGCCCGACTTTTGTCCTTACCTCGCAGAGCTCCATATTAATGGTGAAACTACCAATCCTCAGATCTTCATTGCGATGTTTGAAAATTTCTTCAATGAATTGATGATGAGATGATGATAATGATTGTTGATGAAGTTCAGGCTGCTAGTTCACATGCGCAGACCAAAACCTTGATGGAAGGGCTCCCCACAGCCTGTGAAGCACCCAAAAATTATCCAAATCTCCCTTTATTTTTTCTCCCAGATACTCCTTGAGTTCAGCTTTTCTTTCCAGTGTTTCCACTTTGAAAGCTCTCTTGAAGCATGGACTTCTATTATTCCAATGGATTACTTGAAAAGACAAGATCAGGGGTGCAGAAAATTCTAGATAGGTATCATAACAGGCGTACGGAAATGTGGAAAGGCCTTAAAAAATTTGGAAGGAGGGAACATTTTTAAGGGCCAATAGTCAAAAGAATTAAAAAGACTTAGGTCGTCAGTACTCTCGAAATTGGTTGAAAATTTTGTGGAAAGCTGATGAGAAAATTATGGAATGTCAAGGGGGTGGGAGCTTCTGCACCCCTGGCCAACACCTATGCAAGCAGTAATCTTCGTAAGTATCCCATCCTATTGGTAAAACCAGACCTGCTGAAATAATACTCAGGATAGGTGACGACCGCACTTAATTTTGGCTTTATGTAGCCTCCGATTGCTGAGTGGTGTTGTTTGATTCATAGCTAAATGCCAATTTTTTTAAGCAACTGTGCGTATAAACTTTAATGCCTGAGCTATGCCAACGGAGAAAAATCACTATTTAAAACTTACATGTGGTTCTTGCTTAGCATAGTAGATATTCTCTTTAGATTGCAGGACAGTTTGCAATTGGCTATGAGGAACATCAATGAGTGACATTTATCAAATCGCTCTTATTTACAGTAAAGAAGTGACGAGCTTTGCACAAAACTTTTATAAATTTCAAATTTTTTTTTCTTTTTCTTTTTTCAATTTTCATCATCTTAGGAATTTTCTGCCATTCAAATTGTATAAATGCGATCAGTCATCTTTTTTCTTCATTCGACCATTTTTATTTCATTCTGAGAATCCTTTTGTTTCAGTTGCTTTCAATTTGTATGACCTGGACAATGATGATAAAATATCTCGCGATGAACTCCTGGCAATTTTGCACATGATGGTCGGAGCAAACATCAGGTGAGTAGTTTTATCGCTGAATTTGATTTAAGGCACTCCCCATACTTCAACAATGTGAGAGAACTTTGACTACACTACGTAGTTCAGCTTCATTTCACCAAACTATTTTCAGCACTCCACTTGTTCGACAAAGCATAAAGAGAGGTTATCCTTCAATCATTCTCAAATTTACTCGGAACATATTGAAGTTGTTTGAAAGAAGCTCACAAATTCAGACCAAGTTTCAGCTTTGAACATGAATAACTGCAAGATGAGTCTTAACTGCTTATTGCTACATTTCTTGAGTGTCGAATCAGTTCAACATTTTATTCAAGTTTTCAGAAAGATGATAGGCAAAAGATTAGTTGTGAGATTCTGTTAAATCAAAAGGTTTATTTATTCTTCCACCCAACATTCTCTACTGAATCCCTAAAATTATCCATCCTCAACTGTTGCATATAGATGAACACCACAAATACAGTTAAAAAAAAAGAACACGCAGATTTTACTCCTCATTTCAAAATAGTTCTTACTTACCTATTGTAGTTTTTTAAAAGAAAAAAATAGTAATGCATTGAGTTTTCTTGTTCTAGACTTTCTTGGTGTTGAGAAGAAAAGTCAATTTAAGTGAACTTTGTTTGCAAATTATGATAAGACAATTTAATTACTAGTAGTGATATTAACCTGAAGTGACAAGAAATGAACAATCTCACAAATCTGGAAACTCCTTTTTCATGCCGCAACAGTGAAATTTTAAATAGTTGTATCTTAATTGCAGTAATTTAAAATTTCTGCTCCACATTTTTTGAAACGGAACATGGCTGGAAAAATTTTTAGAAAATAGAAGGGCCGTGTGAGTACTCAAATTTTGAATTGAGTTGAGCTGAATTCTGCAAACTCGACTCAAAGGTGACGTAAAGCTCGTGTAAGTACTCGACTCTTCATGCGAGAGTCATTTCAAAAGCTCAAGAAAGCTCAAACTTGACTTGAAAAAATGGTACAAATACTCGAACTTGACTCAAGCCAAAAAAAGCAGCCTTGCGTAGCTCTAAAAAATCATAATCTATAATGTAAAATCATGAGAGTAAAGAGCCATGCATAATGCCGGAAGCGCAAAATACTTTGTTTAAGTTGGACCACGAAGTGGTCAGGGGGCATAGCCTCCTATATTAGAACAAGTACAAGAGGCACATAATTTTATGGAATAATGATGACCAATCATCCTCCGAAAAAGGAAAAGATGATGTTGCAAACAGAGATGTGGGAGTAGACTCACAATTTATACATCTTGCCTCACTTCTCTTAAAAGTATCAAAAGATTTTAATGAGACCAAAAGCACTTCCTATAGCCCCTAATGAACAGCCATGATCCCATTTCTTCTTTGATTCACTGGTATCTTCCAACTAAGTTTATTACCGGAATTATTCATACCAAATTATTTGATCCTAATTACACTTGTTTATTCTAATTCTTTTTTTCCTCAGTGAAGACCAGCTGAGTTCGATTGCAGAGCGCACAATCCTGGAGGCAGATCTAAATGGTGATCAAATGATATCCTTTGACGAGTTCTGTAAAGCTTTAGAGAGAACTGACGTTGAACAGAAGATGTCCATCAGATTCTTAAATTAATGTCAACTCAAGCATCTGGTTATTTCCTTTGAATTGATCAAGTTATTTTATACCAATGTAAGCGCCATTTTCACAAAATTGAGAAAATCTAGGTAAAGATAACAGTCGAATCTGTAAATTTATGCTTTGTTTCGAAGAGCAGTCTTTTTTCATGTATTGCAAAGATTGATGAGGGATTCATTACTATTCTTCTTTTTACTTTTCTCTCGCTTGTGAAAATAGGGCTCTTATTGATTGGAAAATAATATGCTCAACAAGATTTCTCCTCTTGTAGAAAGATTTTCCGCAAGAAAGATGGGAGGAAATTTTTTTTTGCACGGAAGTGATAAACATGAATCTCTCTATGATGTTGTTCTCTCCCATCTCTCCTCTATGAAGACCGCTACTAATAATATCAATGTTTCAGGTCATTGATGTTCATTACGGCTACTTTTTTACTATTTAGTTGTTTGTTTGTATATTAGTTTGTTTTGGTTTTTTCTCATGTGTTACTTTGAATTGTTATTTAGTTCTTGTAGTAGCCGGTTCAAACCCTTTCACAATATCTTTTGCTTTACATAATTTTTTTCTGGATGTGACAATTCATCCAGTTTATTGATCAAGCCATGATTTTTCAGCATTTATTTTTTATTTGCTCCATGTTTGTTAATTTTAAGATGTACTTTGCAACTTTAGTTTTTTTGCCTGTCGTCTATAGTTCTGTGATCTTGTAAGGATTGACAGGTTACAACCAGAAGTATTTTAGTCAAAGGAGCACAAGTGACAAATGTTTTTTTTTTTGCTTCTCGACAGAGTTCGTTTCTTGGCAGCCCTAACTGCAGGGTTTGGGTGAAGTAAAATCATAATTCCAAGAGGCAGCGAGTTCTCATAAGTATTCATGTAAAAGTTAATTATATAATGAAAATCTTGTGCGGATCTTTTTGGCCCCATGCTAAGTTGGAATTGCGGACTGAGCAGTAGTAACTCCTCTGGCCAGTTTCATTTCTCTCAGAATTGAATTTTGATTTTTAAAAGGTGCAAACTAGGATCTCTGTATACAGAGAGTTTCTTCATGAAAGAGACACTTTTGATTGGTTCCTCGGGCTCAGGTGTTCTTGGAACTCCCAAGACCCAAAAATGGCAGACTTTGGAAGAGCATTTATGCTAGAATAATCGAGAATGTACTTTAATTTGCCTCTAGTATCCTCGAATTTTGCCTCATCACTTAACTCTACGGTTTTTTACTTTTATTTAATCAAATTTTGGCATCCTAGTTAAGAAACTACAACCATAGTTTAATCAATAGGCAAGGTTGGGTGTAGGTGGCAACTGAAAAAGGTTCAATACAGCCTCCTTCCCATCCAATGTCAACACCATATTTTTTGGTTTCAAAGCCTCAATGAGAGAGTAAACAGACGTGATGGTAATGCTTTCTCTATAAAGGTACAAATTGCCAAATCGTGAATTTTTCAAAAAAAAAGAGTAAAGAAGAGAAAAAGGGTGAAATTGGCAATTTTGTAAAATTTCTATTGAAGCATAGGATTTTTCAAGTTTTGCCACTGGTATCAAGTGTGGAGCAATTTGCTAAGACTCGCTGTCTATTCTTGCTCCCTATAGCTAATTTTTTGCCTGTAGTGCTTTCCACCAAGTTAAGACGAATTAAAGAGGGGGAAATGTTACCTTGTTTAATCATTGAGTACTTTTGTTTCTTTTTTCTCTTCTTCTTCCGCATTATGCTGTAAATGCATGTAACTTTCCGGAAATATACACTCTACTATGGTTTTAAACAATGATTTCATAATTTCATGTTCTCTTTCCTTCTAACATTTGCCTGATTTTTTAAGATAGATTTAAAAGAAGTGTTTCGAGATTTTTCATTAGCGGTTTTTAGTCGCTACTTTAATCAAGGGCCCTGCATGCCCTGATTATTCCAGGCACCTCTTGTTATGAAAATGGTAAAGGGTATAAGAAAATATGTTATCGAGTATAAAAATCAGTTTATTATACTAAGTTGAAAATGAGATAATAAATCGAAACAAAGTAAAATAACTTACTTAGATTAAAACAAAAAATGAAATGTATTCTCATGGTTATCAAAATTATCACTATCAATGAAAGGCTACTCAGGCATACATGGACATAAATTTAAAATTGAATCTTTTTTAATTAGATGATTTTTGCTGAAATTAGGGAGTAAAATTTTGACGGAGCCAAATCAAAATGAGATAACTACACCACTCACATTTGTAATTATAATTTAGTAAAGGTGGTTTCTCTCTCCTTTAAATCTTAATCTTAAAGGTTTGCCTTCATTTATAAATATGTATCATTGAATTTTCTGGAAAATGAAAATAGTATAATTGTGATATTGCATTGGTTGTGATATTCTTTAAGCTAGGTATAAACAATTCCAGTACCCATTGATTTTGGAAACTTTTGTTTTTGCTTTCTCTCTCCGAATAATGTGCATTTTAAAAAAAAAGTAATTAAACCAATCCTATTACAAGATGTCAACAATTAAGAAAATAAAATATGTTAAACTGTCTTGCAGTTAAAAAAAGCAGACTCCTAGAATGCTAACATCACTTGAATTAGATACCTCTTTAATATACAGCAACATTGACGTGTAGTGCATTTTTAACAGATGCACAACTAAAATTTAGTAGAACATTTTTAAGGGTGGTTTTACCCTTGTAAATTTTTTTTTTTTAGAAAAGGGAAAACCTTGGTTTGAACATTTTCCAGCAACATGATAAATCCTCTCTATGTGCTTAAGTTTATATGTTACACGGGCAAAGGGTCAAATCAGGCATTTTATCAAAGACAGATAATCAATTATATTGACAATTTAAGAAGCTCCAGTACGTTTTTTACGAAGACTTTTCGAGTTTTGAACGTTTAGAAAGTGAGAATGTATGTAATCTACGAGCTTCCATTGTATTTTTTTTAGATGCTCATGTGTTTTAAAAATTCCGTTTTTACGACAGGTTGAAAATTTTGAGATAGATGTTGGTACAAAAGCTAGGAATCATTATGGATATCACTGAATGATGACCATTTTTATAGCAAATAATTTCTTACATTAGCAAAAAATTATTTTGTCTAAAATTAGCAAATGGGCCAGAATTTCAATCTAAACAATACTAAGCATGAATGTTTTACTATCTGCCTATGCATTTGACAAATGCCGGATTTGACTAATCGTCTGCGACATATATACCTATCAAAGACTACGAAAAAACTAATATTACAGAAATTTAGCTTATCGGCATAGGAAATCACAACATGTTTTCCAATCCAATCTCATTGTAACAGAAGGAGAAAGACATGAAAAACAAAAGAAGTAACACTTAAGTGAAGATAACAAAATGAGAAAAACGAAACACTTAACAACTTCAAACTTTTAGTCTATTATAAATTTTTGACGGCAGACAGATGTCAACAAAATTTTCACAGCTTCACAGCAAAATTTTCAAATTTTCACATTTTCAATTATCAAATTTTTTTCTATTTGAGAAGTTTTAAACTTATAAATTATTCATATAATTTGCTGATAGGTTTCTTGATAGGGCCAAATTTACGAAGCTCAGTTCACTTCCTCACTACCTACGAGTTATTCACCTGTTTTGAACAACAGCATGATTGAAAACTGCTATACATAATAGGATTAGAACATGATTGAGGCATTCATCCTAATATCACAAATTACTTTTTTTCAATATTTAATAAGTAATATGAGTCTTCTTTTAATTTCGAGCTTTTTCTAGATTTAGAACATAAAGTTCATGAGTAAAATTGAAGGTATCACCGATAGTCAAAATCCATTTTACGATGTTCATTTTGAGAGAAAAAGCTGTAAACATCCTCATAAAATTGGTTGTCACTTTGTAACTGAGCCATGAGATCTCTTTCAATGGAAAGAAGAGGGAGATGTGATATTCGTTCTTCCCCTGAGTTATATCGACAGTAATTTTTAACTCTTCTTAAAGTCGAAACAGAACTATTGACTGAGGTGGTGCTGATGGGTACTGTGTAGAGTAAGGACACCAGTCGATCTAGCTGAGGAAAACTATTTCTAAGAAAAGCGTTGGCATTAAGCATATTTGCCATGTCTGCCAAGGTTTTCTCGGAAAACTCTTCACTACTGTACACAACAATTAATTCATTTTTCAGACGGCCCTCATCAAAAAATTTACCATAACTGTCAAGAAGACTCTGAAAAGGATCATAAGGAAATGTCTGCTCGTACGCCCAAAAATGGTGATGAGAAAGAAGACTCAGAAACGTGAGTTTCCTATAATCTAAGAAAAGGAACTCTATTTGATTAACAATAGTGTCAATCACTTCGTAGTACAAAAGTTTGTAATCCGTACTTTTCTTCTTAGATGGTTCCCCAACTAATTCTTCAGTATCTCTATAGACATTTTCAAAATCATCATAAAGCGAGGCAATGTTCAGTTGGACATCAGTGATCGTCTGATGGCAGTTTAAGATGTCAGACAGCTGATCCTGTAAAACATCATGAAGCAGGTCTGTGTAGGCAAATATCTTGTTGAACATTTTCAGAAGGAAATTGAACTGGAAGTCTTCAAACAAGCTCAAAAAACTGTTTGCAGACGCCAAAATATCAGCTTCAACCTCATCAGGACATGCAAGCATGGTTTCAAAAACATTTATAAGAAGAGACCTGTTTCCACACAATGTGCTGATGAGTCGAGATGAATAATTCCACCCTGTGGGGCAAATCTGTGGAAGTCGCCTGGAAAGAAATTCATCCAAATATTTTCCACGTCTTGATGATTGAGAAAAAAAAGCTGCTATCAAACTTGCAGAACTGAAGAAAATTTTGCATTCAGGAATGAGTGTAACGTTCTTAGAGAGCACCTTATTGATTTCGTAAATGTAGCAATAAACAAAAGACGCAAAGGGGTGCGTGCCTTTGAGTTGTGCTTGGACACCATTTAAATGATTGGCCATGAAAAGAGCTCCATCATATGCTTGGGCGACTAATTTTTCATTGCATTCAAATTCTGTTAAGCATTGACGAATCTTCTCAACAATTGCTCTGGCAGTCTTGTCTTCAATGTCACAAAAGCCAAGGAATCTTTCTCTGGCTTCTCCTTTGTACACATAACGGAGAACAATCGAGAATTGTGCTTGAGTAGGGACATCCGTTGTTTCAGATACTATGATGGAGACGAAATATGCCTCCTTCAATTCTTGTTTTATTGCCTGTAAAATGGTTTCACCACAAGCCTCAATAATCTCATTTTGAATTTCGATAGCCGTGCCATCAAACTTAGTGGGGTTTTCCAAGTGATCGGCAAGAAGAGAATCATAATTCCCAGTATATTTTAGCAGCTCTACGTAGTTTCCACTGTTATTTGATATTTCTTTCTTATCTTTGTTTCTAAATGCAAGCTCTTGTTTTGTCAAAAAGCTCACAGCATTTATCAATCGTCTTAAAATTTCTCTATTTCGCCGAACTTTTTGATTGTGCAATGATATCTCAGCATCCAGTTGGTTATCCGATAGCTTGTCTCCTTTATTTGAGCCAAAAGTTAAAAAACACAAAGAGGCTCGCAGGTGAGTAACTGTAACTTCATGTCTATTTACAGCATTTACTAAATTGTTTAAATTGGTGAATCCTGTCTTTGTCCAACTACTCTGTCTGTCATGACCAAAAAGCAGACAATTCCAACAAAATAGAGCATTTAATTCAGGGCTGCCAGTCAACCAATTACATTTTGAGTAGATGGTTGTTTGAAAATGCCTTTGAAATTTTGCACTTTGATGAGTTAAATTCGGAAGTTCTGGAGTTGGCCGCCCAGCATTTACAATAGATATTTGTTCATAAAGCGGGCGAGCAGAAAATGGATGCGTGAGAAGGTCTTTAATGATACATCCTGCCAATTCTACTTTGATGAATTCCATTCTTCAAAATACAATGGATATACATAGAAAAACAGCAAAGAATCCTCTGCTGCAATGGGTACAATTAAACTTAATTATTCTAAAGCAGATTGTACCCTACTGATTATTTTTGCCGACTAGCTGGCGTGTTTTTACTAAATCTTTTTAATATCGTTTGGAGGTTTCAGATGCCAATTCTCATAATTAAGTTTTGTGTTCAACAATAACACAGTTCAAACCTATCTTACATTCCTCCATATAACATTTCTCTCTCCAACTGTTTAGCGTCTAGACTGCCTTGGATTGCTTCACAATTGGGATTGAATACAGAGTAAGCACTGATTTCTCCAGGTTTTTTGGGACTGGTCCTAGTATTTGCCCAAATGATGACGAAACCAGAAAGAATGACAAAGACAGCTCCAAATTCAGCAAAAACTGCTAGGCCGAAAAGGGAGCACCACAAAAGAACGTAAAGGGAGAATTTTCGCCAGTTGATGAAATATTCGTCAGCACCATCCGTCGAGGTAGACCCAAAATCTTCCATTACAGCAACCCCGGATGAGTTGCAATTAGCAGGAGTATCATCCGTTTCATTTTCATCAACTTTGATCTGCAAACAAAATCATTAAAAATGAAATGTATGCTTAGAAATTCAGACAAAAATTAATGTACCTTTTATCGAATTTGAAGATTTTAAAGAGCTGTATGATTTACAGATAAAAAAGGTCTAGATGGTAGACTAAATTGTTCCATAGATATTACATGTAGGCAATTTGTATTTTTAATGTGATTCATGTGCGATTTGTACCTTTCAACAATAAGATGTTCAAACAATGATGCTCTCTACAAGTTTGCAGGAAAAAAGAAGGCAAAAGAACAAAAACTAATTTAGAATATGTGTATTAGTAGTGTGTATAATTAATCTGTGCCAGCATGATGTAAAGTACTACTTTGACGAATTGAAGGAAAATATACTGTTATAAATTGAGTTTAATGATATAGGTGACATTAATCCATCTGAGTAAGGCATCACAAATTTTTCTATAACTATGCCTTTACAAATAGGATGTAGTCTTATGGTACTGAACCAATACCGCTCTTAACTCTACGTAATATCTGGGAGCTGCGTTAACCTCCCAGCTTGACAGGGGTGCAGAAACTTCCCAATCATGCGGTCTTGATCTTATGAAAAAATAAGAAGGCTGAGAACTATCTGCACCCATGTGGCTTGATGTCACAGATGCTAGAGCAATGCTTTCTATTTCTTAAATGACACGGCACGGAAACTCAGGCAATGATTGCAACTGGTTCTTGGTTAGACAATCTCATGGCTCTATGTTTCTATCATTAAAACGCTAAAATATGTCCGACCCAATTACAGTGCAGAAGCGGTCAGTAAGTAGGTTTCATCAGTAACTGTAAAAATTAAAAAAATAATGATATTATGAAGAAAAAAGCTCACATCATCTTGATCATTCATGGTAGTTTCCACTTTGTCATGAAGCCACGAAAACACATCTTTCACAGAATTTTGGACTTTCTTCACTAGTAAACCTCTTCTTTTCCTGGCTCGATATTCAGCTATCTTTTCTTCCAGTTCCATTTGATGTCACAGTTAAGGCAGAAGTGGCGTTCATGAAGAAGTTATAATCCACCATAGAATGGTGAGCGCTGAGTACATACTTTGAGGGTTCAGGAAGGTCAAGATCGTTCATTAAAGCATACAATTGTCTTAAGAAATCCTTAAAAATTCATTCTGAATGTTTGTATAGGTAGAATCACGCTTGTTTTAGTGAATCAACTTTACTTCTGGCTCTGAAATTGTTGATACGATAGAACACATGCAGCAGGAAGAGTTGACTTAAAAAATTGAGCAAAGAGGACTTAAACCGTAATAATGGTAAATTTGTTACTTCACTATTGTATATTATAAATCCGCACTTCAGAATAATTACTTAATATGGATTAATTGTCTTTTGGACGAGTTTACGATTGCTGCGAAACCTCTGGGTTTGTTAGGTTTGTTTACGTTACCGTACACGTCAGGCGTTTGAGTTTAGCCAGCAGAGGTTGTAAAACTGATTTTCAGAATGCACTTTAAAATGAGCCGATAGGCCGTGGCTCCTGGTTGTAAAATACGATGAATATTATTGCCAAATGCTTGGTTGAAGTCGAAAATGGATTTATATTAATTAAAATTAAGAGATTTCGAGTTGTTTGTATCATTCGTGTTATCAATCTTCGTTTTTGTTTACGACCGGATGGCGCTGACGGCGCCACCAGGGGCGCCACATACACCTTTGTTTACTTCGTTCTTTATCTTTTTATCATCGCCATCGCTATCAGTTCATCAAACGCGCATGTGAATTTTGTAAATTTTGTTATTTTTTGCCTAAAGTAATTATTACCGCAAAAAATGGAGGCTTTAGCAGGCGCGCAACTCACCGGTGCACAACGAGACGAATTAATGGATCAAGTAAAACAACAAATAGCACTAGCCAATGCGCAAGAACTTCTCGGGGTATGAATCTAACCTCAAATTTCTCAATGCTTCATATTCTTTAAGCATAAATTGTTAAGAAAGTCAGTGCCCAGTAATATTCCCCTCTATGCAAATTATTACTGACAAGGGGCACTTCTCAAGTTGCTGCCTCCGATCTGGTTGAAAAGATTCGAATGAACTATTTGCATGAATCCATTAGGACCGTGTTTACTTGTTTTTTGCAGTGCGTCCTGGAAACACCCCAAAAAATTCTGAGAAGTCCGGTTTTGAGTGCGTGCAGCGGACCCAGCGCACTCTTGGTGTCCAGTGCCTATCGGCAACACGCGCTTAAAACTGGACTTTTCAGAATTTTTGGGGGGTTTTTCCAGGACGCATTGGAAAAAACCTAAAAAGACGCTCTTAACGAATTCATCCTAAGAGCTCGTATGAATTTTTTCAGCCGGATTGGAGGTGACAGCATGGGAAGTTGCCCTTGTGAGAGGAAATTTTACTGAACAGTTGCTGCCTTTCTTTAGCTTTGTTGTATAATCAAGATAGTTCTGGGTTGACAAGGAAGAATTGCATTTTGCCTTTCTATCTGTCATTTTATGACCCTTAATTTAATTTTGTATTCCATAACTCAAGGGATTGTAATCTTTTCCATGTTGATGCAGAGGCTCTTATTCAGTTACTTTCATTTCTCCCTAATTGAGGCACTGGACGCGAAAGGGGCACTTCTCGATTGCTGTGTTTCAGAATCTCAGTTGCTAATTAAACCCTCGGAGAAGAATTTAATGGGGTTTTTTTCCAGAATTCTCTCCATAGAAAATTGCAGAATCATAAGGAATATTCAGTAAAATTTCTAGCGAAATGGATGCAATCACTTTCCTTACAATAAATGAAATCTTAGAGGAAACTCTGAAACACTACAACCGAGAAGTGCCCTTTTCGCATCCAGTGCCTCAATTGATGTCATAGATCCTAATTAGAGCTAGAAGTCAAGTATGTATCATAGTAATTGTCTTCTCACCAAAATTTCAGCCACCTGATCTGAATGCAGGCATAATGAAGTCTTCGAAGTTCAACCTAACTGCCAAAATTCTGCATTTTCCATATTAAACTCCCCACTTACCATGAAAGGTTATTTGAATTCAAGTGGGAACTAAACAAATTTTAACATGGATTCCGATAAAATATTTGTCTAAGTTTTCCGATTATTTGTTCCCTAATCTTCAATCGTCCTGCATCAGAGAAGGAAGGTAATCATTGCAAAACACAGCTAGGTCTTTGCCAAACGATATGTAAGTTTACAGTTGTCAATCTGATCATCTATGTTCATTATGATTTTACACTTGCTTCTCCAGGAAGTAAGTTGATGTCAGAAATTTCCAGCATGTCTAACATACACAGCAAAAGATTTTTAAGCAATAACATGACTTAAATTTTTCATTCCTAAACTATTAAATGGTCTACTACTAGATTGAAAATTACTTAATGGGCGATTGTATTACTTCAAGACCATTACTTATTGAGCAGTGAGCCATAGCCAAGAAAATAAAGTGGCCTAGTAGTAGTAAATTATTATGCTGTTACAGTACGTCTTTGATACTCTTTGTACTTCTGTAATTATTCCAAATGTAATTACAATTTAAAAGAGAATCAGAAATTAGGATTGAATGAATTCGAGCAGATTCTTATATAACAATAACCACTCCACTAACCAACATCTCGCTGTACTAGAATTAAAATAATGTCAACTCATTAGGGCTCAACTCTGAGGTTTTTATCACATACATCAATTACCACAACCAGCAACAAAGGAAAGAAGGCAGGCAGCCCGTGCTGTCTTGCAGAGAATGAAAGAATTTTAATTCAGTGACGATTAAGCCCACTGGTTAACTTCGTTTTGCAGATAATGCTTTGTATTCCATGTTTTGATAGTGAGAGGACTATGTCTTTGATTGCTTTCTGTTTTATTTTTCAGAAAATGACCGAAAAGTGTTTTAAAAAGTGCGTTCAGAAACCAGGGACATCTTTAGATAGCTCAGAGCAAGTAAGTATGATGTTTCATCCAGTCTTTCCAAACCGGTCTGAAAGTTAACAACTGACAATTTGTGAGATGGCATCTTTACTATTTTGAGCTTTTAGTCAAAGCGTTCGTGTTGACCTTCATTTTTCTCAATGGGAAAGTTGTTATCTGAGAAAATAGCCACATATTTTACTCAGTCCCCGCTATAAAATTGGAGTTTCTCAAATTATCAGCCTTTTTGTAGTCGTAATTAATTTTAACAACTTTAAGCGAAAAGAGAACTCAAAAAGAGATTTTTAAAATTTTAGGTTTGTTTTAGATTTTTTTAAAAGAAAAAAAAATTCTCATCACTATTTTTACTTTCTCGCTCTCCTTGTGGGGAGAGGAAGTATTGTTTAATATTGGAAAACATTTGCAAATGATGCCTTGGGATTTTTTGTAACTATTTTTTGGCAAAAGAAATGGCATTTTCTGTGAGGAAAGAAAGGCTCTCTGCTCCCACTTATCTTGATGGTTAATTTGGAGCAATCGTTTTTTCTACTCTAATATAAGACTGTTTTCGTTTTCAGAAATGTGTTGCCATGTGTATGGATAGATATATGGACTCGTGGAATCTAGTATCGAAATCATACAGTACGAGACTTCAAAAAGAAAGACAGCGGTTATAGTTCAGTCATTAAATATTATTTTGAATGGATTCATAGTGATTTACTAGCTGCTGTAAATTTTTTCTCCATATCTTCTTTTGTAGTGTTAATTGTTTTCATCAAGATTCTCGCTGGTGCTTTGAAAGCTTTTTTGTCAGCCATCTTATGAAAGACCAGTAATTTAGAGGCAGGCAACGTCACTATCTCCTGTTGCAATCTCTTGCCTCTTTTCTTTTAAATATTAAACCTCTACAACACTTATCTCAGTACTTGGTACCATCATTATTTTTTTTTAAACTGTAAACTGATATGCAGTATTTTGTGAAAATTTCTTCAATTCTCGGAGTCTTTCAGTAAAAATGATCTATCTACAATTGAGTTGAACTGTGCTAGATAATGATAAAATTTGGTAGAGTCTCAAGAGGTTTTTGGAAGTGCTCCTTGGCTCAACTTAATACTGGTTCTGTTCTATCGGTATTTTGTAGATAACTCTATTTTTAAAGACTCAATTGTAGATAAATCTCGATTGCTGAGTAGTGTGCATTTTGTCTGTATGTGAGAAATATTTTGAGGAAATTTCAAGGAGTAAATTTGGTCTGCCCTTCCGCAGAAATGTAAATCAGAAGTCTTAATTGTTAAAGTGTGTTTCTGCATTTAGCAATGGATAAATAGCATTATCCATTTAATTCTTTTCTTTCTTTCTTTTCCAGGGAAGAAACTACATATACTATGCTTTAGATCGTATTCTTACAAAATAAGATAACTTCTCTTTTGTAAAAATTCTTGCTTCATTTCCAGGATGAGAGTATTTTTTGTTTCCATCTGGAAATTTTTTTAAGAATTGGAATGTTTTAATTGACCACTAATGTTTAGGTTTCTTGAGGTATAATTATTTAACATAGCTCCTTTCCCTGCATTTCCACAAAATTAATGCCCTCTGTCCTCTTTAAAATCTGATTTGTTCAAAATTACCCAATCTCAAGATTTTTTCGTCAGAAGTTAAAATCTCAAAAACTGCAGGTATATTGTTTTAACAGTTAAAGCTACAAATGTTTCTTTTCCCCCGGTCTTTGTTTGAACAAGTTTGATCAAAATTAAAATTTTCATTTCTTCTGCACAGTCATTGTTGCAATTTTTTTGTTTTTGTACGTCTACAGTTTTCGAAAAATTAAAAGTTCATCTTTTTACATTCTTGCTCTTTTTTTCACTTTGATTTCTAGTAGTTTCATTTAGCTCTTGGATCAGCCTCTTCTACTGAGACACCTCTATGTATTCATACACAAATATTGTGTCACAAACTTTGCAAGGTATCACAGTACAATTTAAGCTCTTCGTAATTTGATCAACTTCGATCAACTTGACAATTATGTCAAGTTCGATAAACTCAACTCAAGTCATGAAACTCAAGGTAATTAATTCATCGCATGACTTTGTCTGTCCGATCAAGTTTGGTTAGGTCCGGTTTGATGGAAAGGCCTAGTTCGATCTTGTGTCAAGGGCTTGAGAGATTGGTGCCAGTAATAATGAAGGTATAAAATTTCTGAAATCATTAAAAAGTCAAGAAAGCACCTTGATTGGACGAGTACTAGTACTTATTACAGACCTGTAAGTTCTTTTAAAATTTTAGTGACATGGCATGCTTCTTAGAAATAGTTTAACCGCAAGGAAATCTATTCTGTTTTAACCTCATGCTAATCAAAATTTTCTTCTCTTCAATAGGGTTCATGACAGTTTGTCAAAACCAAAATTGAGACTTTTCAAAGAGTTGTACCTAATGAACAAAAATATTTTGAATAGTTTTCTAAGATCTTGTTAAAATTGCGGAAAAATTTGAAGAGCCAGCCATACAAATTAAAACTTCCTTTTTCCTAACACTGCATGCAATTCATGCAAATGTTATGTATGCATGTGTGTGCATCGCAGAGACGCCCCATTTGAAAAAAAAAAAAAATGATTCTTTTTCCTTGCAGTCTTTGACAAAAGCATAAAAAAGATCTACAATTTAGATACTTTGGAGTACATTCATGCAACCCCTGAAATTCTAGTATACGTACTAGGGATTTTTCAATGATTTTCTTCCCTGTTAATTTTTCAAGAAAGAACTCAGAATTGGTCAAAGACACATTTAGTAGTGAATCAAGCAAAATACTTTGAGTAAAATAGTGACATTTTATTGATTCATAATAATTGTAAGTAACATTAAATGACTAGAGGTACCTATAACTTCACAAATGAAAAATTACAGAAGTGAGTGAATGCAGTCTTGTCACACCTTTTACAAAAGACATTTCGCAAATTCAAGGACAAACGTAAATACACTTGCCTACTGCTGCAAGCTTAACAAAAATATCATTAACACAATATTCAAAAACAGGAAAAAACTGAATAAACTAAAAACAACAAAATTAAATAAAAGCAGAATAAATCAGGAGCTATCTTGAAATAATTCGAGAATTGGGTATTAATTAATTTGCTGTCCAGAATCCAGCTAATTTTTTTTTCAAATATTGAATTAAATTGTCCTCTTACTTCTACGACCAACTGTTACATTTCATTTAAGCTGATTCCTATAAATTTAAAAAAAAATAGGGCAATCTCCTTATTTGAGGTTATTGCAGCACTATCAATTGGGTACCTTCAAAGCAAGAAATTTTGTTTAATTTTTATAGTCTTCTATGAAGAGTTTTCTCCTAGAAATGAAACAGACAAGGGAATTTTGAAAAATCTGAAATAATTTCTGTAATTCTTTTTGTACTTCCCTTTTGTTGCCTGTGGCTATGTTTTACTAAGCCAGATTGGAACCACTATCTATAGATATGAGACGCTTGCATACTTATAAAACATCCTTCTTGCAAAGAACTATAGCCCCCAAAGGAGGCTTCTTACAAAGCAAAAAAAAATTGCAGTCAAAATATGATCAAATACATGGGGGCATATTTCAAGTGTGATGATGATTCATGAATAAAAAAAATTAAAGAAAACATTCATCAATTTAATGGGCCAAAATGCAAAAATATTATCAAAATCTGTAAGTTCCATCTTTAATCATGGCTTGATATTAGAAAGTAGTGTATTTGCTATTGGAAAATACACTAATAGCTATTTTAATACACGTGATAATCAGAACTAGTTAGACCGAAAATTGGTAAGTGAAGTTTCAAACCCTGCTGGTAAATCCATACATGACTATAACAATAGCCTGTCCAGAAGAAAAAAGGTTGATCAGCAGTTGCTGACTGAACTTATGATACATATTTCAATTGCAATAATGCTATTATCAGTAAAATTATTTTTAAGTGAAGTACCACATTTTTTTTTACCACTTCAAATAGTCCACAGGTTAAAAACACAAGTAGATAAGAGTACCTACATATGTGCGTACTCCTGAAAGGCTTAGTAGATTCAGTGAAAAGATGAGAGGACGTAGCAACAAATTTTCGAGTATAAAAATTAGAAACTAATAAGAGTATGTGAAGTCAGGAAGTGAAACAACGATACATATAAAAGGAAAATAGTATTATATCAGTAAAAAATAAGGAAAAACAAAGTCATGAAACGAAATTTCAAAGTTAAGTACAAATACCTGATGAGAAATTTTAAGCTAAGAAGAAAATCATGGTAAGTACATACAAAGCCAAAAGCTCTGTCCAGTTTTTAAAGGCCAAGAAACCCCAGTATTCATGAATTTACACAGGTTTTAATGTTACACTCTTGTTTCGATTCATCCAGGTAAAATCTTGAATACTCTAAAGTTACTTCACAAATGCCAAAGTCTACTTTTGCTAGCGCTGGGGCTTTACCTCATTGTAAATACTATATTGGTCAAGACAAGCTATCGTCTGTTTGGTGTTATTAAGTAGAAAAATATTAATACTGCTGGTAATAAACTAGAAATGATTGCTCCTCCACTTATTAAGAAATACTCAGAAAGAATCCAATGTTTTTTTCCTCTAGAAGTTGGAATTAGCATGACAAGATGATAAGCCAAATTTTATCACAACACAAGTAGGTACAATATCGGCTGTTGGCAATTTGAATTCTTGGATTATGTTGTGATGCATTGTGACAAACATTTTCTTAAAAAGAGAAATAAAAATCTTTGATGAGGGTCAACCAATCTGAGGTGAAATATGCTTGAGGGTGACCTGAGGAAGAAATTTCCTGACAAATTGGAAAATTTTATCTTTCGAGGCAGCTTTGTGCGTCCCAACTCTGCCATGAGGTTTTGACAGTGCACTTTCAGCAATTGTGGTTAACCTTTCCTTAAGACTAGAGATTAAATTTTTTACAAGATCATTTGACTTAGCTGCAATCATACAATCATGGCACTTTACAAAAAAATTTTCCAGGCAAAATGTAGACTATTTCCGAATGATTACTCGAGAATTTCTCCTCACTTTGAAGAGCTATGACGGCTATAATGTTTCACATCGATGGCTCCTACATTTAAATACTTAACATTCAAAGATTAAAATTTATATCGCACATCAAATCAAAACGAGAAGGAATTCACAAGGCAGAAATTTTGAGTTTGAAGAATTAACTCCTGCTTTGGCTGCAGGTTTAATGATGTAGATTCTTCAAAATTCAAAGAATAATTATGAAAGATGTTCCATTATCTCATTTATGATGTCAGAGCAGTTGTTCATCGATAAATGAGACAAGAGCGAGACAATTTTTAAATTTTTATTTCGACTTACTATTCGTATTCGTAATAATCTTGGGGTTCTGTTTTTATTTTCACTTCCACTTGACTCAATAGAGACTCCAATGCAGGGTTCGGTGCATCAGGATCTTCTTTAATTGTAACAGCTTCACTCAATCGTTCCGACACCATTTTTGACCAACGATCCTGTAAAAATAGAGATAATAATTTTTAGTACTATGCAAAGTTTAAAAGATCAGTTGATGGAAAACCCAATTGGAGTAAACAATGCAGCAGATATTGAACGTAGTTCCTTGAGAAAACCAATTTTACTTTTAATGTTTTTTTCTTTCTTTCTTTCTTTAAAAAAAAAGGTTTAATTTTTCATAATCTTCCAAAAACTCAAGACTGAGTGAAGCGTCTGACCTTCTTCAAAGGAGGGGCTGTAAGTAGAAAAAAAAGGTGAAAAAAAAAAAAAAAAAAAAAAAAATTGAGTATATGGTACCTAGCTTAGCTTATACCCTGCTTGGATGAGCGATTCAAGTCATATAAAGCTGCTGCATTTTGAAACTTGTTATCTTACAAGTAATGTCACAGCAGAAACGCATACATTGAGACAAACACTGTTTAACTCTAAAAAACAGCATCAGTTGAAATTTCTATCTGTCCAGGTTATTATTCCTTGTCTTTTTATAGAAAAGTGTAGACTAAAATTTATTGGTGGATGTTCTTGAAACTCTTAGTAGTCGCATTTTTAAGGGAATTTTCTTGATATTTTGGACACAAATGACTATTTGTTTCCTTATTTCCTAAATAATTCCATGCATGGAGGTTGTGGAACCTTGTCCTGTAGTCGGTCAAGATAAATGGTCATGCCCTTATCTTGTGGACCGTAAGTTGAAAATGAAACAGCAAATGTCATGTAGTGCTGTGTTCTGTCCTTCGTTTGATGAGAATATACTGAGAAAAATTCTCAGATAAAGAGACTTACCTTAATATTATCTTGCATTGTGAACTTGAATAAGGGAGCGCTTTCTTGCACAGGCGGAAGTGGAAGTTGAGGCAGCGCTGGATTGCAATTGCCACTTTTGCAGTTGACGCAGCAAGAACGACACCCTTTTTTCCTGGCAACAGAGAGTGAACAGTTCATACTAGGGATTTTCAAATTTCTGATAGAATCAAAATATGAGCTACTTCAAAAAACAAACAAAGACTTCATCAGGAATGCCTTTGAGTGATGAGCCTGGCATGTTTACATTCATATTTTTCCCGCCCGCCTTGATTGGCCTTGAACTCTCCTCGAATTACACGCAGAACTGCAGAGGCATCAGCTATGATGAATATTGCCGACGATGGAGCGACTCCTCTAACAAAATGTTCACCTGTGCCGTAGTATCGTTTTTGAAGTGGGGAGCTAAAAAAAACGCAAATTTCTTCGGCAGATTGTGAAGGTGTGAGTGCATTTCAGACTTTGACGATGCTCTTATCGTTATTTTTGAGGCATTATCTATAGGAAACAACTCTTGTTATTGCTCTAGCAAAAGTTTGCAACAGGCCCATTCCCTGACTTTCATCAAAACCTTTGCTTAGATTTTCTATCATTTATGTACACGGATTTTTGTTAAACTATGGACGAAATTTTCATTTTTAGAAATTCTAATTGAGTAAAGGCACTCCAAAGTTATTTGCACTTTCTGGAATGGCACTGACTAGAGTTGCTGGGTACTACTCCAAAAATTCCCGAACTTTCTCTAGGAATTCCCTGAATTTTTCCAGGTTACAGAGTTCTCTGAGTTTTCTGGACCAGCAGAAACCCTGAGAAACCAAAAAAGTTGATAAAAAAGTTACAATAAAAGACCTTGTGCACAGTGGGGGCTTGCTGGCTCTCAATACATTTTGATGATATTTTAGTAGATTATCAATACATTCATTAGTAGGTCAAAGCCAAAAAATAGGGTGATTCGGTCAGGTGGGTGCAAACATCGTATCTTTTCCTTCCCCTTGCATCTCTTGATTTTGTTTTAACGTTTCCATGCCATTTCAGATGTGACTAGCGCAGCAAAGAGTTTGTCTGCTCCCTCATCCTGAAATGAGAGACGTGGCACAGTATGCTATACTCAATCCTCCTCTATCCTGCAATCTTTCCTGATTAAGTCTCGGCAATCCGCCTTTTACATGCGAATTAAATTATGAAGCTCTTACCCGACTGAATCATTTAGTTCTTAATGTTTGGCCTAGTATTGAACATTTTGATGACCTATTAAAGTTTCATCAAAATTTACCAAGAGCCAGTGAGCCCCCACTGGCATGCAGGGTTCTTTACATATGCTTTGAGGGGCATTTAGATGAAGTCTGAGTTTGACAGCCCTTCTAGCAATGGCTTTTAAAATTTGATTTTCAATAACTTTAAAAATAAACTGTTAAAATTCATGAAGAAAGAAACCTGAAGACAAGTGAAAAAAGTGCTAAAAGACTCTTTAAAAAACATGATTTTTTTAAACAATTAATTAGAGTAAAATTTACGTAAAAAGTGTTGAAAAACCAGTGTATTACTTTTAAGAGTTCTTTTTTCAATAATTATTGTACTTAAACTTTACCTCTCGTGTATTTAACGTAAAAAAAATCCCAAAAAAGGGTTTCTTCCTTCATAAATTTCAACAGTTTTAATGAGAGATGTTTTATAGTCCCTGCTAGCGGGAAGATGCTGTTGTAGCTTAAGATGACAGGACAAACTGCCCCTGAGCTACTTCAATATGAGCAAAACCAGCATGGATAAAAACCTTCTATTCTATTCTTCTCCTATTTGGAGAAAATATAAAAGTGAGTTAAGAAAAAAGTGGATTGAAGCGAACTTTAATACAGTATTGCAGCACTTACTTGGGAGATTTCCGGCTTCCTTGATTATGACCATGAAAATTCCTCATGTGTTTATGGTAATCATTTTCATCTAAATAAATGCATGAGCACTCATCACATCTCAGACAATCTTCCATCCTGACTTTTGTGAATCCTTTCTTTTTTGCTGAAATGAATAAAATCAATTATTGAATTATTATTAAAGACTAAGCTGAAAGAAAAGTTTCATATTAAAAAGCTTCCCTGCATGTCTCTTTTTACCTACATAAATTACAAAAATAGACAGATAATTTTAAAATTAACTTCACAACCAAATAGTCACATATTAACAACAGGGTGTCCATAGGTAGCACAAGTAGGAAAACTTTTCAGTGGAGCAAATTTTTCCTGAAGTTAGTAAAAACTTGAAATTTGAATGTTCAACCAAACATTTTCTTGAGTCCCAAAGAAAGATTAGCAATTAGTTCTATTTTTCACTTTTGTGAAGAAGAAGAGCATAGAGTTGTCAAATTTTACAAATCAGAGCTCTGAGCATTGTAAAAAAAAATTAAGAGGCCTTTTGAACTTAATCTGGTTTATTTTTTAATTGTAATTATTCTACAAGAAAGTAACGTTCTAATTTTCCAAAGTTACCTAGTCGCACAAAAACCATAGAGCTGCCATCAGAGGTAAAAAAATTTCACGCTTTTGAATTAGTCCATGCAGCTGGCAAGTTGGCAAGGCGACATGGATTGCATTTTGCAAAAAGGAAACCAAAAAATTCCAATGATGCTAAGATCGTGCAACTTTTTTTCCCTTGCAAAAATAGGTAAACTGATCATATAAACAAGTTTTATATTTATTCCCAAAGAATTATAAATTCAAGACGAAAATTACCTTTAAAAATTTAACTTTGGGCATGATTTCAGTAATGTTGTTACAAAGAATGTAAGTTGCACAACCTTAGCAACATTGGAATGCTTCTGGTTCCATTTGGCAAAATGCAATCCACATGTCCAATAGGTGGACAATTTTAGTGCTTGAATCTGATTAATTGGACGTATTTAAATGAAAAGGAACTAAATCCATCCTGACATGATCCATAAGGTTACTCGCATGACAGGACTCATATCAGAATGGATATAGTTCCTTTTGATTTAAATGCATCCAATTGTGAGGTCAAAGTTTAAGGTAAATAATGGTGTTCATGAGGAGTTACTTACGAGGCGTTGCCGGTGGAGGAGTGGGTTTCTTACGCTTGGGTGCTTTCTTCTCAGCAGATTCATTTGTACCGCTTGCACTTGCTTCAGCCTCCCTGGCAGCAGCAGCAGCGGCAGCCTCAGCAGCCTCTGCTTCAGCCTCAGCAAGTAACTTCTGTTCTTCTGGTGTTCCATTGGCATGGATTTGAGTATGTATCTGATAGATTTTCTGGTTTCCGAATTGCTTGTTGCAAACTTTGCACACAAAGGTTCCTGTTCAAGAACAAACAGAGAAGATATGAGAATGTTATTTTTTCTTTTCATTTTATTCTCAGTTAGAGAGACTAAAGCCATTATGGAACATCTACTTGCGTCACTATATTCAGTGAGTTAGTCCATGAAATTGCTGGGAAATGAAGTGCATGGGGCAGATGAACTGCATTAAACAGAAAGGAAACAAGCCACATCAACTATTGCCAAATTTTATTGGGCAATTTAATTTTTTAGATGAAAACGGTTGTGCGGATTTTTGTTCAAATTTCTGTGAACGTTTAGCATAGTACAAAGCGAATTTCTTAAAATTTTTAAAGGAATCCCCACAACTGTTTTCATGTAAAAAATTCAATTACCCAATTAAATTTGGCAACGGCTGATGTGGCTTGGTTCCTTTCCGCTAAACGCGGTCCACATTGCAACCCCTCCATTTCGCCGCCAAAAAGCTCTCTGATGGTAATAAAACCATGGTTGTAGCAATGGGAATGCTTAATTTCATCACTGGTAGGTCTGTAGAAGTTTCGAGAACATCGCCAAAAATATGCTCCATACCTAGGTAACTGAATAGGCAATGAAAAGATTGCAAGTGACATGACACTCTCAAAGACATGCAGTTCCTTCATTTAGAAGGGTTTTCTTCACAGACTCATGGAATCGAAAAAGCACAGGCAATTTACAGTTTAAACAAAAAAAGAAGGAACAGGGCTCAGTTTTCAGATGGTAATGTAAATTTTATCTAAGCCAAGGAACTATTTACAATTAGTTAAAACCTGCTCTTAATGATCATATGAATGGCGGGAAGGACTATGTCGAGGCATTCTTTGACCCTTTGAATGTACGATTCCCATAAGTGGGTGAATGACACTGATCCAACGACAGAGCCCCTGCTTTCGTAGCATTGTTCTGTTAATATCAGTTATGGACTGGCAAGACTCCCGTTCTGATTTAGCTGAGCAATCAGTTCGATGTTCAAGGAAAAAAATGGTATGAATAAAACATTAACTGTATCGCCTGGTCATGTTATCAATGTTAGGTATTTAGATTCTACTTAAACTTCATCCAGTTGATGATCACTAAGCACTTTCCACTTAATTCTTTACCCTGTTCAGCAATTTAAAAAAATGATCTTAAGAGTTAGGAAATGAGCCACTACATTACTTTGTCGCTGACACTAAAATGAAATGTTGTCTTATCCTCTTATCACTTATCAGTTATCTTATCTCGTGTATGATCTCGTGTAGAGTACCTGTAATCTCGTGTAATCAGTTTGTTTACTTTCAGGTTTTACTGGTTTTACACTTTACACCAACAAATTCCTCAGACAAAGCACCTGAGTCCTGATTGGCTCTTTTTTTGCCGCTCTTACAAGAAGCGGTAAAATTCAAACGCGCCAATCAGGTCCCGACTTGAAACAAACCTGCTGCCCTTGCCATTTTTCCAAAAGCAAATAGCGCAGATGGAACTCTCAAAATATTTCTTACTGTTTGCTTGCACTGGCCATTTACTTATTGCATCGCCAACGAGGAATTTAACAATGAAAAACAAGAGGAAAAAATCAGGCAAGTAAATTATTAGGAAAGGGCTTTCAATCAGAGAATTTTTAACATTTTTTGGTACTGAAACAACTCGACATGATACAGTAGAGGCAAGCAGAACGAGAAATAGGTAAGTTTGAATGAAAACCATCCTAGAAGTAGCCACAGGAGAAGGTAAGCCTTGCTTTTATCCTAAGTTTTTTAAAAATGTAAGTGCGAGTATTATTCTTTTTAAGATAATTTTTTTTTTTTTTTTTTTATTTGGCTCTGTTACCCATGCACTTACTTAGGTACTTATACGTCATTCGGATACAAGCGGTGGGCTGTGAAAACGATATTCTCAAGCCCTCGGGACTGATAGACATAAAAGTTAGACTTAGATACTGGGAGTCTGATTAGGTATGTACATTATACGGCAGAATCAATAGGTAGGCACTGGAGGGAACATGTCAGGCAGATGGAGACAGGCTACAATGATTTTAAAGTTCGTGTGATGATAGAACAGATGAGGTACCTTTTTTAAGCAGAGCATTGTAATGTTCATGGACATGGACGGTATAGTCGATTTTATTCAGGAAATGGGTCCCGCAAAACGAACAGTTGAACCCAATCTTGAGCCTCTCGTAAAGTAGGGACTTGTGGTACTCGGTGAAAATCATGATTGACGACGAGAATAAGAACACGGGGAAGGAAATCGACTCGCACTGCTGGAATGGCCTACGGGAACCGATCGAAGGGAAGCGACACTGAAACTGCTGAAAATGTCCGATGCATTATTGATTTTCCGCGGCTCGACAAGAAGCGTGAGGGCTCGGCCTTTTTCGCGATCCTCGGAGCTGCGCAAAAGCGTTAGCGGGGGAAGGAGACCGGGGTTTTTCTGCGGAATTTCACGAACATTTAAAGGAGTTAGGTGAATGGAGCAGAGAAAGGCAACGGAATGGAGCGAACTGTGCGTGAAACGCTGAAAACATTGACCGACACTGGGTTTCTAAAAATAGGGACCCCACCCCTCGTAGTGTAGAAACCCTTCCCGCTCCAACCCCGCGGCTGCCCACAGGAGCTCCCCCTTCTCAGCGCCAGATGTGCTCTCCTTTATTGCGGATGGCGCGGGGAGCGCCCCCCCCCCCTCCCCGGGAGGGTAGGGTGAGCTCGAAAGGAAGGAAGCGGTCGGCGAGTCCAAGAGGGATGCAGGTTCATATGGGCGCGCGGCCGCTACACCGCGATATCCCTATTCCCTACGCGAGGTTGCATGGACGGTGCCAACGTGCGGTTCGAACGCAACCTCCCCCCCCCCTTCAACATGACCCTCCCCGCCCCCTTCTTCCACCACCTCACGCCAGGCATCCGTTATTGAGGCTCCTTGTTATGGCTTGTCATTGGCAGATGATGGTGGTATGGCGGTCGTCACCTGAAGCATCGATACCTCCGCGAGTTGTTCGGGGAAAGATCCCTCAAGCATCAGAGCGCATTTGCATTGTTCGGCGACGATCTTATCCTTCGTGCTCCTTTCGTGATCAACCCCTCTACTGCCGTGCTAAGGAGGGACGCCGTATGAACATTCGAGAGTTGTCAAATTTCCTCCAGCACAAACTTCATTTTTACGGAGAGTTATTATTTTCTCCTCAAATTTCGGAAAATTTCGAGCTTATCGCGATTATTCTTCGGAAAATTAGAAGACAAATTTTCATAGATTTCTCTGAAAAGTTGTGTTTCATAAAATATTTGGCAACGTCTGAAGGCTCACACGGCGTTCTTCCGTAGCATGGTAGTCTACCTTGTTGTCAAATTTTTTCCGATATGATATCTATTCTCGTGAGAAGTTATCATCAGGGCCGGATTTACCTACTTTGTAAACCTATCTCTGTGTGGACAAGGCCTTCCATTCATAATTATTGAACGAAAAAATTATGAAAGAACAAACATGAATGTGGTTTAATGATTTACACTTCCGCCGCCGCGCCGCGCAGACCGCACCGTGTTTGGCGCAATACGTGAAGTATTCACGCAGTCTTGTAGGCGCCTTGCGTTTCACGCTGACCGCACTGTAATCGGCGCGATGCGTGAAGTATTCATGCATTCTTGTAGGCGCTGTCCGTTTCACGCAGACCGCAATGACTTCACTGTGTTTGATGCAATGCGTGAGGTATTCGTGTAGTCTTGTAGGCGCTGATATATGTTACATGCCGATGGCATCTCCTTTTCATCTCAAGTCCTCGTCATCATTGCTCTCTGCACCGCGCCGTTCCAGGCCAAATTGCATGTTTAGTTTCTCTCTTAACTCGAGTAATTAAAGGTGCTGTCTCTTGTATCACTGAAAGACGACAAAATTAAAAATTACTATACTCCCAGGAAATGAGAGATTTTGTCGCATTTTCTCGTTTGTAATTTTTTTTTCAAAATCCGATATTTTTTTATACCTACATTTAAAAAAATTGCAAAATTTGCCGCCATGGGCCGAGGCCCATGTGGCCACCCCCTTAATCCGGCCCTGGTTATCATTATTTTTCTTTGCAATTTTTAGGCATCTATCAACTTTAAAAAAAAATAGATTACTTGTACTAGTGTGATCTGGGTATCCATCGGGCCGATTCTCACAAAATCTAAGTAATATTCCGAAACTTGTCAATGTCGCGATAAAAATTAGCAATAGTGCAGTTCGTCGGTATAATGGCGGGCAACGCTGCAATTTAGTTACGGTGCAAGAGAAACAGGCACAGCACTCCAAGTTGGCGTCGAATGCAACGGCCAATTCACCAATTGTGCCGATTTCATTTTAACTTAAGGATGCAACTATTCGGGCTCAACGGATGTCCGTGTTGCATACGCGCGGGAGTGAAGGCGTTTTGTTTGTCCAGGCACTTAACACTTGACCTGCGACGCGGTGCCAACGGCAGGTTTTACTACATGAGGGCACTAAGTGGTGGAGCGCTTTATTCCTCTTCGTTTATACTACATATGGACTGCATTTTGCAATTTGGAACTATAAATTCTGGCTCCTCTGGAAAAACACTTATGTGCATAAGGAAACTAATGGCACATACGTTGTTTTTAAACCGGGCTAGAATCTATAGGTCCAAATTGCAAAATGTAGTCCATATATGAAGATATATGTTCGAATTGTTGCGGAAAAAATGATACAGGCATATGATGTGAGTACCTTTTGTGCTTCAGTTTTGATTCGTACAGCAACATAGGCATGACATCCAGACAAGACATGTCTTCGAAGTATAAATATAAATGAAGAAATGAGGGCACTCTGTCATTGTAGGTCCTCGCAGTAAAGCCTGCCTCACATTGAAACGAGCCTTGAGATTGGACTTGAAATATTTGACTGAAACTGCAAATTTTGTTGTGAATTTCTTCACATCATAATTGTGTGAAGTACTATTTGAAGGATATTTTACGAGAAAATCAACGAATTCACTTCTTAATCCTCTACGCTCCGTACTTAGGTACATCGATACTAGCTTTTAATGTTCCCAAATTTTGTCCGACTCCTCTCATTGGCTCGCTCCACTGAGCGCCACTAACAAGGCGGCTAGTACCTGAAGCCGAAACGCCTTCACTCCCGTGCTTATGCAACACGGACATCCATGGAGTGCAAAGAGTTGCATCAAGGCGTTATAATGAAATTTTGTTAAGTAGTAAGTAGTGTCCGTCGCAGGCGACACTAACTAAAGTTTTGATTGTTTCTCTTATATCTTGACTTTATTCCAGCATTGCCTGTCGCGCCGATGAAGCAAATCATTACAGATTTTTATCGCGACATTGTCAATTTTTCGAGAACTGCATTATTTACACGTATCACAACGGAGCCGGCACTGCACTGCCGGCCATCGAAATTCGTAAACAATTAGGTATCAATGGTATGTAGAGTTTCCCCCAGAACTACTTTAATGAGTCATCTTTGGATTTGATTCGTGTACTGATTTGTTTTTTTACCCGTTGGGGAAAACTTATTTTGACGTTTCAGTGCGAAATTTTCCTGGAACAATCCTATTGAATAGCACGGATTTTGGAACAAAAATGATAGCCTTTCGTCTTTCGAAGAAATGGAATTCAATCGGAAATTTGCATCGCAAGCTTAAATACACACGCATATGATTTCCTAGCCGCATCGACGAAACTGAATCACAAAGTCTGGGAAATATGATGAAAATTATATTATGTCTGTCTCTTTGCTTCCTGAAATGAGGACTAAGTATAATATGAGATAAAATTTCAAATAAAATAACATAACAATTTGAGGAATAATATACATTGACATGCGAGGAAATCCGGCTTCCGTCAGTAGAAATTTGGCAGCGCTTGAATGCTCATATGACATTTTTTCCTATGAGGTAAAACCAGCACTGCCTCCTATCGTCCCCAAGGAATCCTTAACACCCTTAAGCGTAAGGGTTAAGGTTTGACAAATAGGCTTTTGTCTCTAATGAAGTGGGAGAAGAAGAATAAGAAGGCATTGTTTCTTCCAGGAAAGTACAAGGGACATTTTTATCCACCAACGGCAACACTGATGATGGATCCAGGCGGTGTTGTCAGGTTGCCGTAAAAGTGAAGTATGGCACTCAAAAATAGGAGAGGAAAAATGAAGAACAATGATAAATATAGAATTTACCAGGCAGCACCAATATAAAGCTATTCAAAAACATATTTTTCTCGCTGCAGGCTCTGAGTGAACAAATAAACGATCTGTATGTTCATGGTTGATATCGTTTACTTGAATCTCGCCTTCAATTTCACCGCATAGGCAATAAATACACGTAAAATAGCGAATAGTTATCTATCCAAAAACACACACATTCATGAGCTTCGATTGAACCGATAAACGATGATGTTTATCTATTGGTAGGTATAGTCCATCTAAAGGTCGCCTTCAATTTTGCTGTATAGGCAACAAATATACTGGAGAACGGAAATGGTCATTCGACCAACACCTTAGTATCGATTCATAAACGTTGTTAAACAAAAATCACTTGCAGTTTGCCTTCAATTTTGTCACTTAGGCAACAGACATACCAGGGAGCACAAATAGATGTACAAATCGTCACTTTCCGGCCAAAGTATCACAAACGTCATGCGACGTCTCAAAATTTCCGCCGCCATTTTATTTTTATACAGAGAAATTTTTCAACGAAGCTGTCCGAAATTATCACTGAATTTCCTTTGTGCTGCCGATAAAATTCAGTACAATTTTCAAACAGATTAAACCAAAAATGTCTTCGTAAAAAAATAAAATGGCGGCGAAAATTTTGGAACGCTGCATGGCGCTCGCGATACTTTAGCTGGATGGTGACGAAATATATTCTATACCTTAAAAGTCAAAATCAAGCTCACTCCATACCTTATACCTATTTGATATACGATTAGACCATGTTTAAGCACGTACTGTAACTTATTATCAAAGGTGTACATGACCTGAGATGTTAGGGCACCTCCTAAAAATAAACTCAATTTGCTGCTGCTTCCTTCCACTACCTTATTTTTTAAAATTGGGAAAAAATTCCGTCATATTGTCTCGAATATCGTACAGTTAATTACCTTTCCGCGTGAAATTGTGTATCAACGTCGGAGGGATATTGCAATGAAAGTTGGCAATATTGCAACAACGTTGATCTGCAAGGCGGGAATGTATTCACTAACCCCATGCACGCAAGCGGAAGGGAATCTGAGAGTCGCCACTAGAAAGGTCCCGTTCGCTGAGGCGTCACTTATTAAAAGATTCGGTTCTCTCTCAAGTCCCGAAAAGGTACGAGTGCACGGTTGGCAACAATGCTACCATACTGAGGAAGAACGCCGTATGAACCATCAGGCGTTGCCAAATTTCCTCCAATAAAATACGACTTTATTGGGGAAATTTTAAATATTATTCAGACTATTTTGCTCGCTTAAAATATCTGAAAATTTTAAGGAAAATTAACAAAAATTTCGTCAAAAATACATGTTTTATACGGGGAAATTTGGCAACTCTCGAAAGTTCATACGGCGTTCTTCCTTAGCACGGCAGAATGGATCCCGGGAACGAGAGATGGGAGAGGGAGGATCGATACATTCCTCCCCTTCTCCTTCGATCTGAAAAATGGCGTACGATGGGTCATTATTTCCAGCGTAAACAATCGAACTTGAGTCGATAGTCTAATGGTCTCAGCGAGCGGCAACCGCTCTGCATAAAAGGAGCTCTCTTCTATGATAAAACGTATATTGTTCTTACTTTTGCAGGGTTCTATATTAAACTATATCTTCCCTCTATTTAAGCAAATTATTTTTACGATACTCGGAGAATTTCAATACCCCTATACGCAGGACTCGAAACTGTCAGATTGTGATGTTAGTTTGCGTCTATATTTAATGCAAAAATAAATAAAAATAGAATTACAACAATTTTAAAAAAAAAACCGAAAATCAATTTTGTAAAAATAAAAAATAAAAAAGTAAGAGTAAATGAAAATAAATTTCAAAAAAATAAATTGAGGAATAAACAAAAATTTTTAAAAAATGAATTAAAAATATTAATCAGAGAAAAATAAATTAAATGAAAAATATAAAAGTGACAAAATTTAAAAACAAAATTAAAAAAGGGGAAAAAATAATAAAATTAAAAAATAGAAAATCATTGAAAACTTTTAATTGCGCTACTTGAATATTATTTTTTGGATTTCTATAGATCAGACGGCGTTGAATTTGAAAATTCAATGCCATTAAAACAATTCCTTTAAAAAATTGCTGGCAGTTATTTTCTCGTGGACGGTCACAACCAATTGTTTATCTTTCGTTGAATACATATAACTGACGCGACAAAGCTATATCTCGCAAAGTCACACCTACCATAATATGTGGGAGGCCCCCGAGATGAAACCCCTTCATCAATTTCAAGCTGCAACTATTTAGACTCCTTTGTCATGGGGTTGCAGACACGTGATATTGAAGGCGTTCTTGCGGGTGCTGTAGAGTGTAGAGCCTCTCCCCAAGGTTCAGTTAGCCGTCATTCCTCGACGCGCTGTAGGGATGAAGATTCCCCTTGGCTGATGAACTATCCGGAGTCCTTGATTTTAGTCAATATTTCGGAAAGTCTTGGCCCGATTTTGAAAAGCTTCAGTTTTCTATCGAGAGTATCGAAATCCGCCTTCTCTATATCGTGACATCGATCCTCCTCTTTCGAGGGATATTTAGTGCAATATTTTGGCCCTGTGGAAAGAAGAAGACAAAATATGAGTAGAAAGCACAGTCGTTGTTGATTTCGAAGAGATCTACAGGGTAAATTAGGTGGAATTCTGCCGAAAAGTTACTCACGAAATATGTACTCCATTCTAATGGCACAGCACGTTAAATAACTCGTATAAAAAGTACCTATGAAACGCATGATTGTCTATAAGTTTGAAATTTTGACGCGAAAAAGCTCGTCGAGTAGACGCAAATGATCAGAGTTAAAGAATTTTATGGAAACACATCCTGAACAAAGAGGTAAAACAAACGACGGGGAATCGGATTTTTAGATAGGTACATTTTTCCCTAAAAAAATACCACATAGTATTTCCTTTTTTGTGCACTTAGTGTTATTGTCAGTTATGACGGAGAAGAGTACTTCTCCCCAATGACTTTATATTGTGCACTACTTTGGATACATATAAAGTCCGCTGTAAGTTTTGAAAATTTGGGATCAAATTCTCAACTACAAGATACTTTTCATCTTTGTATTTCCATAAAGCGGCTGTAGAGTTTTAGTGGACATCGAAAAACAGCTATATATCCTCCTTAATAGCTACTATGTCTATTATGGAAATTATTCTACCTGAGCATGACAAAGTCTTCAAAATGGGAATAGAGGATTTTCAATGCGTGTTTTTACCGAGTAATCTTTCACACAAAGCGCTGATTCCACTCCAAGTTCTGAAATCGATCGACTGAACGTCCTGCCAACCAACCAACCTCTCGAAATCGCTTAGATCTTCTTCTGACAGCTGCCGACCCATCATCTGACTTAAAGCTGGTTTAATTCTCTGTGAAAATGTAAGGCACAAAAAAACGTAAAGCGTGGTCATCTGCACGCAAGCATTAGCAGCCGACGAAAATAATCATTGAACTGAATCCAGGTATCATTGCAATACTTCAAACTCGTTTTGACTTTGGACGGTTTTCACCTACAGTTATAAAAATTGTGCACAAAAACTTGAACCCTCTTCCCATTAGAGCATATTATCAAATTTTGAAGTTAAAGGAGGGTACCCCAAAACAATGCCCGAGGAATGGTAATTATTTCAATACGCCTTCAATCTAACGCGGAGTCTCTAATTATAGAACTTTTCCCATTAGTGTTGGGCCAGACTTCAAAGTTTGGTGATAATGCCCTCGGGACAAGGAGATCCGATTTGCCTGGAATAACGAATATCCTCAAAAAAAAATTAAATATATTACACATGAAAAAAAAAAAATTATTCATTGAGAAATAAAAGGTCTCTACATTTTTTTTATGTATCTCATGTCAGGAGTTAGGTATTCTTGAATTCTCTAAAAATATTGTGTAGGTTAGTGAAAAAAAGTGGCAGTCATCATTTTTCCACTTACTTTTCCTTTAATTAACAGTGTCAGAGGGAAACGGCTCTATCAGCTGAATGAGTTTTAAAAATAACTTATAGACTGATGGGATGCGTTAGTGGATACGCGTGTTTTTCACAAACCGTCACGTTTGCGAACTCGTCATGTATGTCGCCCCTTCAAAATTCTAAGCAGGCAAACTATCGTTCACTCATGTCACACCCCGTCTGAAGTCCGAAGACGACCACCGGAGAATATCAATGACTTGAATCGGTGGAGACGCAGAAACTTCCAGGAAATTGCACTTTTGCCCATTAATAATATTTTACCCAGAAAACAAATCGCTTTTATCCTATGTGGCTCCTTCCGATCTTTCGTTTGCCTGTAAGAAATAATCTCTGAGAAAGAAGAATTCGTCAAATTTTTTTAATTACTTAATTGTGTCACTTTATTATTTTAATTATTTTTTTAAGTACATTTTTTAACAATTGTTCCAAAATTACTTTCAGTCAATTTTTCGTAGTTTTTTAGTAGAAAATAAAATAAATTGGAAGGATTGGCCATGATTTTATAAAAATCAGTTTAATTGTATTTCGCGTTGCCTAAATCCCTCTTCTTCTTCATTTTTCGTACATTAAAAGGAACAACATACATGCCATTGGTTTCCCTATGCAGATATGCGCTTTTATGCGAGTGCCAAAGATAACCACTGTAGTGGTTTCTTGTTGCAAAATGTAATCCCCTTCTGCTTGCTTTTGATGAAAAAAGTAACCTTCTGCCTTGAGATTTTCTGAGTCAACTTTTTTAAATACAAAGGAAATTCACATAAATTGTCAAGGTATATTGTTGCTTCATTTTGTAAGAGGAATGAAACGTAAAAAAAAATTAGGTGGAGTGAAATGCAGTTACAATAATATTAGGCGAAGACTGTTTAATCATCCTATATCACCACGGTGAGAATGTGTGATTTTAGACGTAAGGTATCTCTCACTCTTTCGCAAATTCTTTTAGGGGAAGCGAATCCCTAAATTTGAGCCATAATTAACTCATCAAGAGTGCATTCTCACCTGAGTGTCCATGTACCGCTTTGTCAAATGCAGGGCATCCTTTCTGGTCATTTCGACGTTTTGTTCATTGCATTCAAACACCAAATTGTAGAAGAGTCTCCTATCTCTCGTCACGATAACATGCTGATTTATGTATTCCAGTGGTGTCATACCTTCAAAAAAATGCGTACGTACATTCATCATCATCCGTTCAGCAGCTTATCTTACACTACAAATTCTTCACGAACACATACTATAAATCATGAGAGTAATACGCGTAACGCATAATGCTTGAGGAGCAAGAAGGCACTTCAGGGGGTTGAACCGCGAAGCAATTTGGGGGCGTAGCCCCGAGCCCCCCTAGTATTTCTTATTTCAAATAAATACTCATTTTCACATTTAGACTGAGAAAACCAACTTCTTTTATTAAGACTAAGTACGTATTCTATCGTTTCTTTTTTAGGCATTGATCCTCAATTTCCTTAGAACTTAGGGATTGAACGTCAAAGTGAAAATGCTAATCAATTTGTGAAGCCACGGTTTGTTTTTTACATTGAGATTGTCCTAAAAAATCAATAAAATATAACCGCTCCAGTTTCAAAGGTTTTAAAACTTGAAATTAACTATTGAAAAAGATTCTAAAAATGCAGAAAATTAAATTTCTCCCATGTTTCAGAACTTCAGGAAAATAACGCTCACGGAAGATCAGGAGATTTGCATTTTAATCGAGTCTTCGCGCAAAAGTTCACGAGGAACAAGGTGCTGCCACTGACTTTTATTTTCCGTCCCCCCACTAAAAAGGGTCTTCGCGAGGGCAAGAAAAATACAGCGTGGTTCTAAAAAAACCTCTATTGTTTCCCCTCCTGCGACACCCACAAGTACCGCTTCAGATCCCGTGAACGAGAGTTGGGTATAGAGATCATTTTAGTAAAGAGAGAACGATTTTGAAATGACGTCATTTATAACTTACTCTATTTCAAAAACTCATTTAATTTAGAGTTTGGTAAGTGGTGACAACTCTGCTCGATGTAATATTGAGTTTTGAAAATAGATTCTATAACACCAAAAGGAACGCTTGGCGAAGGTTACGAGTCGTGACTATAACTCATTGGCGGATATAGGAAACTGGCAACATTGATTTCTCCATTAAAATCCATCGAAAGCAGGGCCGGATTTACCTACTTGCCGCCCGTGGGCCGCCTGTATTTTGCCGCCCCCTTCTCGTTCGTTTTGAAACATCAATAAAAACCATCAAATGAACGTGCCAGCGGGGGAGGGGTGCCTAAGACGCGTTCAATCGTGTTGGACACATTTTTTGCGAAAGCCCAGTCAACACTACTAGCAAAAGTTCACGGAACTTTGTGCGAAAGTTAGGTTTCGTAAACCTATCTCTGTGTGGACAAGGCCTTTCATTCATAAGAAATGAACGAAAAAATTACGAAAGAAGAAACACAAATGTGGATTAATGATTTTAACTTCCGCCGCCGCGCCGCGCTGACCGCGCCGTGTTTGGCGCAATGCGTGAAGTATTCCGACAGTCTTGTAGGCGCTGTGAGTTTCACGCCGACCGCTGCTGAACGCACTGTGTTTGACGCAATGCAGGAAGTATTCACGCAGTCTTGTAGGCGCTATCCGTTTACGCTGACCGCACTCTGTTTGATGCAATGCGTGAAGTATTCGTGCAGTCTTGTAGGCGCTAATATGTGCTACATACCGATCGCCGCGCCGAGGGCTTCTCCTTTTCATCTCAGGTCCTCGTCATCATTTCTCTCTAAGTAGCGCCATTCCGGGCCAATTTACGTGTTTTAACTGTTTGGTTTCTCTCTTAACTTGAATAATTAAAGGTGCTGTTTCTTGTATCTCTGAAAGACGACAAAATTAGAAATTATTATGCTCTCAGGAATTCAGAGATTTTGTCGCCTTCTCTCGTTTGTAATTTTTTTTCCTAAATCCGATTTTTTTATGCCTACATTTAAAAAAATTGCAAATTTTTGCCGCCTGTAGATTTGCCGCCATAGGCCGCAGCCCATGTGGCCACCCCCTTATTCCGGCCCTGATCGAAATGTATCGATATTGGAGGGGTCAGATGCTCCGACAAGAATCGATTATTTTACATAGGTTTAAATGTAGGAATTGCTGTGTTGCCAAATTGCTAGACCCGCCTCCGGACTTACGTTCTAAAGTGCTGGTGTCCAAGGGAAGCTCAAATCGAGCGCTTTGCCGTGAAAAAGTGCGTGGCAAGTTCAGCAAGTTTTGGGCGCTGTTCACGTTGGATTCGATTTCATTCTTGACCGCTCGTACCTCTAATCCAGGTGCTTGATCAGTTTTTGCCGCGTTCATTCTAAGGGCCTCAGCTAAAGCTTTTTGTCTCTGCGAAAAGGAAGTTTGTCTCATTAGCGTAACCATTTGCTCAACCAGAATTCAGAAAGTTCCACGCTACAAACGGATAGTTGAATAATACTTAAAAGGAAACCTCCGCTTATGTTCTAATATGAAATAAACTCGGTGTGTGCATTTACCTCCTTTTTTATAACATTTTCCAGCATGATAATACATTCATAATTCGAAACCTTGGTTGAAAGTGCAAGCATGCAAATATGTGGGCATAAAAAAATCCATTTTCCACGTTCGTCTAAAAAATGGACTCAAAGATGAGTAGCGGAAACGAGAAAGAGAGACCAGCAGCTGATTATCAAAAAAACATATTATTGTGCTGTGCAAATGTTTATGCTTTTAATAGGTGTAATTCGAATTTTCGGAGTAGAACTTACACATCCGCTGTACCGAGTATTTAACTTAGATCTGCACACAAATTTTCTGAATTTCGATTTAATTGGAAATGATCAAGATGATCAATCAGTTTATACTTATGGATCTAGACTTAGAAGCTAACTTTGATATGATGATAAGCATGATGATAATGAGATTTGTACATGAATTAATTATTGATGAACAGGTGACAAATTGCCATGTGATGTGATGCTGCAGCCATAACATTGCAATCTAACGCATGCATCTTTTACCTCTCAATGGAGAAAATTTATCACAGAAGAGGCTAATTTTATTTTTATTTCAGGGGCAACTATACACGTGTGGATCGGTGCTTTTAAAAATGTGCCCCGGAATTTATACAAAATCGACTGGTTGCAGTTATTTCATTTAGCACCTTTGCTTGTTTCATTTTGAATTGAAAACGCTACCCAGATAATGGAAAGACTTAGGGCTTGACTTAGGACTTAGGACTAAACTTAGGGCTGGTCAGGAGCAGAATATTCTTAGATACCTACGAAATTTTTAAGTTCGGTGTGAGTATTACCTCACAACAGTGATTACCCAGTGTATGACTGTCAAGTTTTCAGTAATAAGTCTTATCAGAAGAAAAACAAAATTCCTGAGCATTTTCTGCTAAGATGTTCGATTGAATAGTTGTTCTTGTGTACCTACTCGGTTTTCATCTTAGAGCAATGCAGCTAAAACTGAAGAATTTCACTTCTGAAATGTTGATATCATGACAGAAATATCAAAATTGGCACGTCTTATATTCTTATTGAAATTATATTACCACGATACACGCCACCATGAGACGCTCAAATGGAATCAATATGCTTTGAAAAACAACAAAAAAACAAGAGGAAACCTAAAAAAAAAAAAAAAAAAAACCCTTCATAATTTTTATGGGCGTGGCTAGTGAGGTTTCAGGGAGCCTTATTCCTCCATACCCCAGAAAGGTTCTGATCGTATATTCATTCAGTAGCAGTAGACCCCCGTTGAGGGATAATAGGCCCTATGCCCCCCTCTCCCCTACACATTTTTCTGGTAAGCTGATAAATTTTTAAATCAAAGTGTCTTGAAATCACCTTTTTTACTAGTTCTTATTTTAAATAAAATCATAAAAAAACTAAGCAGACCCAATAAAACTTTTGGGGCGTTCCTCACTTTGCATAAACAGCCTTTTTTTATCGAAAAATGTGCCAACTTCCAAAGTTGCCGTGCCCTGTTAAACTTTATACACACTTTCTTAAAAACAATGATCGCTAGAGGAGCACAAGCCATTAGATTGATGCTGCCATGCAAGAGTGGGTGGCTTTCTATGGAAGCTAATTAAAAATATGGCCGAACCCTTATATTGAACTCGTTATCGACGACCTGGATATCGATTTCCCTTTGGAGGTGTTTAAGGATTTCAGGCTGGATGAAGGAGACAGGAGGCTCACCGATGGAATCCTCAGGGGGCTCTCTGCTCGGGGCGGGCGCGAGGGTGCCACCCTCCTCAGGGGCCGCAGCCGAGACCGTGTTCACTGAGTGACGCGCGCTCCCTACCCGTGAGTCACTCACGAACGCTGAAATCTGCAATCCTCAGTGTAGGTATTCACCGGTCGTTGCAATAACCAAATCCTCAAATTCTTCGTGAAATATACACATAGAGTACATAGAGTCGTAATGTAAATGGGAGAGCTGGCGCCATGTTCTGCTCGACGAATTCCGAGCCCGGTGTGCGCCGAGTTCGGGTCGCTTTTTCGATACATTTTCGATCCAAAATGGCGGTGTGGAGTACGTGGTAATTCCTGTCTCCTTTGTTGTTGTTGTTGTTGTCATCGGATGGCTGGGTACCCGTGTATCGCAAGCAATCGATTATGTATCGAAAAAGTGACCGCACACAGGAGTCTCGGAATTCGGGACATGGAAAATGCTTAAAAGTGGCGCCAGCTCTCCCACTTACATTACGACTATGTACTCTATGAATATACATTTTACTTAACACATTAACACCTCCCTCCAGTTCAAAGGCCATGCGGCCAAATGTGTATCTCGATTGCAACGTTCACAAATCTCATTTCTCATGAGGAAAACTGATCACGATGCTTCTTTGTCCTTATTTTGTGTACGTTTTTTTAAAGAATGGAGATGTTGCATGTGTGAGGAATTAGCGATTTGACTATCAGTACTTATGTAAAAGTTCGCGAGAAACACGATGGTGCCACTGGTTTTCTCTGAAATCAACTCCCAAGCTCAAAAGCTCTCAAGTTGAGGTCAAAATGGAGGGGATATCCCACGCTATCTTGAGAGTCCACTTCTACATCAAGACGAACTCTCCATGCAAAGATAGGGAGCAAATACATTAGCAGGCTGCCGTGTTTTCAGTTTTAGAGTCCCCAAATAAAGTGGCAGTCCTTTCAATGTATTTGCTCCCTATCTTTGCATGGAGAGTTCGTCTTGATGTAGAGGTGGACTCTCAGGATAGCGTGGGATATCCCCTCAATTTTGGCCTCAACTTGAGAGC